TGCGTTCTCATCGTATAAACACGAAAATGAATACTACTCTGTAGACAAAGGATTTCGCGAACAAAAATTTTTAGATTTCAATTTTCTCTAAAAACATTGCGTATCGTATATCCGAAGATATACACAATCGCTCTTCTTCTTCTTCTCGAGAAATCTCCGCGTGACAGCAAGCCTCGGTTGAATAAATCTTGCCGTATAACGATCGGCGCACCCGTGTTTTTCGACGGAATTAGTAACGTAATCCTTCAATTCGCCCGATATCTAATTTGTCGAAATTCCTATAATTCGTGGACCGTTAATATTCTTTTGATCGAGATTATCGGCTCGCTAGGGGTGGGTGGAAGGATGCACAGATAGGTTGCGCGCCGACAAGATGCTTCGATGCACCCGGTGACGTCAGGGGGTTTGCGGTCTCCAAATTACAATATCGTTAAAATGCGACGGCCAAGAGAGTGGAGAGAAGCGGAATGAACGCTCTTCTCTTCCCACTCGCCCGCCCGCACTCGCGGAAATAATAGGCTCATGATTATATGCATTATGTTGTGGGCTAAGATTAATACGTAATAAAATAATCGAAATAATCGTACATTATGTGAACGAGTCGGTATTGGTAGGCTGTCCGGCGAATGCGATACGCGAGACAAATTGATGTGCAATCGAAGACAAGTACATTCGATGATTTCTATTATTTGTATACATTTTAACGAATACTTGCCGGAAACGGAAGAAAGAATTAGGAATTGGGCATAAACACGCGAGCTGAATAAAATATGTTTCAGATATATACGTAAACGTTAGTTTTTGACAATAGTTCTTTTGCGAAGGAGAATTTATGTGGATACAAATTATAAGAATTTTATTTGAAAATTTTTTTTCGACATTGCTCATAATTTATTTTTATAATTTATTGCTTTTTAATATTCTCTCTTTGAATATAATACATATTGGTAAAATATTTATTACACTGAAAATATACCTATATGAACTTAGCACCCGATTTTTTAATACAGAAAATAATAACATTTCGATGGTAATTAATTAAGAAATAAAAAAACATTAACAATAAACAGCACCTGACTTAAAGATATCTCAAATTTGATTGCGCAGGATATTCTAGAATCAATTGTAGTTGTTTGTAGAAATTTTAATTTCGTTTCTAAATGCGCGGTTTAAAAATTACATTTGTTTAAAAATATTATTAAAAGCGAGAAAATGATTAGTACAATGGGTCCTATTTGGAAAAAAATAATTATCACTTTAAATACCTGAAACTAATTATAAAATGAGAGGGCTGGTTTTAAAATATGGAAATACGTCTATGAAGTGCTCTTCAGTTTGATAATAAAATATTTCAAAATTTTAGATACAAGCCATTTCATTTTTTCATAAAAATACTTAGGATATTTTTTAGACAATTATGCAATCCTTAAAATTCATGGATAAATTAAATTATCGCTGGTACTGGTCACTTTTAAATATTTTCGCTTTAAGATCGACATTGATCTATCTCTCTATCTATTTTTTAATTAGTTTCAGTCATTTAAAAAGATAATTAATTTTTTCAAATTTAAGACCTATTGTACTAATCATTTTTAATCGCTTTTAATAATATTTTTAAACAAATGTAATTTTTAAACCGCGCATTTAGAAACGAAATTAAAATTTCTACAAACAACTACAATTGATTCTAGAATATCCTGCGCAATCAAATTTGAGATATCTTTAAGTCAGGTGCTGGTCATTGTTGTATTTTTTTTTCTTAATTAACTACAAACAAAATACTATCATTTTTCATATTAAGAAATTAATTTTTTGAAAGTCAGATGCCAGATTCACATAACTAAATACGCAAAATTTTTAAGTTCGAATAAGTCTTTAAGCGAAGATAAATCAATGTCGATCTTAAAGCGAAAATATTTAAAGTGACCAGCACCTCATTTCAAGATACTTCAAATCCGTATGCGCAGTCTTTTTTAGAATCGTTTGTAGTCATTTTTGTTTCGTTTGTTGTTGCACGATTTAAAAATTACAATTTTTAAACAAATGGTTAAGAGTGAATTTTGTCAATTTTAAAGATTTTCCAAATCTGCTTTTTTCAGATAATTCAGACTCGTTTGTAGCTGTTTGTATCAATATAAATTTCAATTGCAATTGCTACAAACAATTACAATCGAGTCTGAATCATCTGGAAAAAACGGATTTGAAAAATCTTTAAAATTGACAAAGTTCACTTTTGATCATTTGTTTAAATAATTGTAATTTCTAAAACATGCAACTAAAAATTAAAGCAAAATCACTACAAATAACTATAAATAATTTTAAAAAAGATTGTACAAGCGGATTTAAGATCTCAATGTCGGGTACAAGTTATTTTTAAAATTTTTAATTGTTTTTTAATTGATGAAACTACAAACAAAATTATTACTCCCACAAACAGTTACAAACGAAATACTATTATTTTCTATATTAAAAAATTAATTTTGAAAAAGTGGGGTGCTAAGTCACATAGGCTGAAAATATTCAGCTTCTCTAATAGGACAAACACATGTTAGACTTAATATTCCTGCTCGAGTACTCCGAAGAGTATTTCAATTATGGCAAAAAGTATGTTTGTTCGTTGAAACGTAACGAGCAAGCTCGTTGTATGAAAGGAAGAATATCAGGAATCTTGTGCAAACATACACTTTTTGCGGCTTCTATTTATTCGCGAGCGAACTGTAGTAAACCGTAACATTTCCCGAGAGATATACTTCGTCGAAGTGCATTTCCGAGTATATGGAATGCTTTTATTGTTAGTAGAAATGTGAAACATGGATCATAAATATATATATAACAGAGTGCAGCAAATGGAGAAATGGTACTTCTACGCGCTCTAATTTATAATAAATATATGAATAATTATTTATAATAGAGAGAAATCTCTCGTACAATTTATCATAAAAAATGGTAATTTTATTATTTGCGTATGAGAACTACAATATCATATTTAAGTTCTGAATATATACATAAAAATATAAATAAATATAAATATAAATAAAAAAAAAATATATATATATATATATGTGATAATATATATATGTATATAATAAATATATATATATATATATATATATATATATATATATGAATATATAGAAATAATAAGAATATAGAAGCATGAAATCTTGTTCGTGTGAAATTCTTTAAAGATGAACACTTGTTCTCATGTTAACAATAAGAGAACACATTTTTTAAATCATCAATGGAATAGCCGCATTTTTTCTCAGATGCAAATTTTAAATAGTATCACTGTATTCATCAAAATTTTTAGGGTTGATATGTTATACGTTATTTGTTAAATAAAAAAATAAACAAAAATATATAAAAATAAAAAACCATTTTTTACAAATATGTAAAAATGTCTTTAAAATGCATTATTTCACATTTTATAGACGCGGTTCTTAAAGTTATGAAAAATTATCTATGAATAAATAAACTACAGTAATTAAGAAAATGATATATAAGTTATAATTGAAACATGTTAGATTAAAAGAATTTTATTATTTAACGAGCAATCTTTTTATATTTGTGTGTGAGCTACAATTACGGAAATGCTTTGTATGTACTGCATTGTGAATTGACTCCCAGCACCGGCTAAATATTTATAGTGATGGCGCCAGTACTAATAAAATTCTTATCTAGATCGTTAAGCCACTGCCAAGAGGGTGGCAATAACGTCGGCGATTGGCCACAAATCAAATAATTTACGGTAAAGCGTCCCTGTTCACACTATTTCCCACTACCTTTCCTCTTTCCTTTTTTATGCTCGCATTTTCCCAAGCCTAAGGAGAATGTGAATAGGTAAATAGATGAATAATTTCCGCGAGATAAATAATGACTGCTATTATTACGTTTTTTACTGCGATCTGTTCTGTGCAGAACAAGTAGCATACAGTAGATTCAAAAATAATATTTTGAATAAATAAATATTCAAACTTTATTATCTAATAATAAAAGTGATAAAATATATGAAATATATATATACACGGAGAGAATTTCTCTTAGAATTTAAAATCATATAAAAAATACAACAAAACATACATATACATACTATGTACATAGTAAAATTAATTGAACATATTTTGTATCTTATTATGATAGATATTAATATTTTTATTGTGGTAAATATTAATTAGAGAAATTCTTATAAAATTCTTCCAATGCCATATTGTCCCATGATTACCATGATTTTCAGGGTAAATTGTAAGAAAAAATTCTCTGTGTATACATATGTAAGTGTATATACTAAAAAGAAAACGTTTTCTCAAAAGAATAATTGATACAATTTAAAATTTACACAAAAAAGAAATGCAATTACTTTCATTAATGACTTATTTAAAAATATGACTTCTTATGTTTCCTTACTGTAAACACGAAAACAAGTGTTTATCTTATTGTTAAAGAATTCCACACGAGCAAAATTTCATCATGCTTCTGTTAAAAAAAATTTTTAGATAATTTTTTAGAAAAATCAATATATGTATATACGCAATAATATTTGACACGTTTTATATTGAAACCATAATGCGCAAATCAAAATGTACAATATCGTTTATAATACATACAAAACATTGATATGTAATATAGCAGACCATTGATTATGTAATAAAACAGAATAAGTAATAGTACAAATATATACATACAAATAAATAATATAGACATGTATATAAATCATATTTTTCATTGAAGATATATATAACTGTTATATTAAATTGAATATTGTTAATTACGAATTGTAACAATTTTATTGATAATTAGATATTTTTATAAGCATGATATATAAAAATACTTGATATTTTTGAAATAATAACAAATATTGAGAAAATTGTTTTAAATAATTAAATTTTTTATGTGTGAGCTATAAAATTAAGTTAAATCGTTTTAATTTATACGAAACATCAGCTTTACACACCCCTATATTATCCCTATAAAAATGTTATAAAAAACAATTTCTCACTCACCGATACCTGCAGTAGCTTATCAGTTGTAGTACGTAGCACATTGATCTGAAAATAAAATATTCAAATTATGCGTATACCTATATGTGTATGTGTATACATAGGATATTTTGAAAATCTAGAAACAATCGAATATTTCATGAATAAAGCAGTTTAGAAAAAAAATGTTTTTATTTTGCATACCTCACAGTTGCCCCGCTGTCGCCCGATGCCTCCCCGGGCCTCCTCCTCCTCTCTTGGTAGCACTCACGACACTCGCAAAAATATAAATAATTACGATCGCCCAATACTTTACACGGCACTCCCGATATGCGAAACTTTAGACGGCACTCCCGACACAACGCGTGAATCGCACTGTGTATCGCAATACTACCTGTAACAAATAAAATACATACATATGTTAAAATAATCTTATTATCAAATTATAATATACACAATATAACTGTGTTTAAACTAAAATTAATGATAGATATATCCGCAGATCGCAAAACATACGCGCGCGCCAAAAAACAGGAACATATAATACAGCAGAATAAGTAATAGTACAATATACATACAAATAAATAAATAAATAAAAAATATATATATAAATATAAATCCTTTTGCTGATTATACATATAACTGCTATATTAAACTGAATACTGTTAATTACAGTATTTACATTACAAATTGTAGCAACGTTATTAATAATTAGATTTTTTATAAGATTTTTTTATATGTAAAAATACTTATTATTTTTATGAAATCATTAAAAATATTGAGGGAACGAAAAAATTATTTAAATAATATAATTTTTATGTGTGTGTGTGTTTGTGTGTTATAAAATTAAGTATAATCGTATTAATTTATGCTTTTGAAAATATAGACATTCGGATCTAAAGAATTATCTTCAAAAATATAAATTAAAACTATACTTAATTTTATGAAGAATTTTAAAACAGTGATTTTTTTAGAAAGATTAATATGTGTGTATACTCGATAAATACACATGTTTTTACACGTATATGCACACATATCGACCTTTCTAAAAAATTTATCTTTTTACCGAAAATATTTGCATCAATAAGAATAGAATTCATTCACTGATCCTGTCCCCCGATGCAATTGATTCTGTTGAACTGTTGCTGTCCTGGACAAGAGAAATTCTGCAAAAAATAAGGGAAATGATTAGAACACAATAATAGTGATAAATAATCTTACATATTACTATATAATTTAAATTTTTTTATTTAATTTAGATAGCAAGAGGGAGAGCAAAAGGAAACGAGAGAGAGAGAGAGAGAGAGAGAGAGAGAGAAAGAGAGAGAAAGAGAGAGAACGAGAGAGAACGAGAAAGAAGAGAAAAAGAGAGAAAGACAGAAAATGAGAGAAATCTTTATCTGTTTAATAATTAATACACTAATTTTACAATCGCAAATCCCGAAATCAAGTAGGAACGATAAATACACAATAAAGAACAAGTAGCAAGATGCTTTGTGTCGCTCGATCACACACACAAACATACACATATATTATCTATACAATATGAATAATGAATGAATTTACTCACCAATATATCCTGCCCATGCAGTTTCCGATTTCTTCAATTGCGGATTAACTCATCAGATTGTGTCAGATCGATCCTGGACAGGAGAAATCCTGCGAAAGACACGAGCTGTTGGAGAAGATGGCGATAATTAAGACACCGGCGATAATTAATTCGACAAATTATTACCATTCCATCGTGCACTACTATCTCCGCTTCTCGCGATCTACTTTCAATTATATATCAATACATGTTACATCACACACGCGCATACGAACCTTTTTATATGCTAATTAGTCCATTCGGATCGATTAATTAACTCGCAAAGAGAAGAAGGACGTGACTCCGACTCGGCGTCGACCGGTTGAGAAAGATTCAAATTTTCAGCTAACAATAAATAACTTAAGCAATGAACTTCACTCCGTAGTGACGTTCGCGTGACGTAGTATGACGTATGACATATGATAGAATACCCATGAATGCAACAAAAGAGATAGCGATACCGGACGATTATATCTCTTTTTTTCTATCGAAAATAAAAGTGACATAAAATAATGAAAAAAAAAAAAAAAAAAATAGCGAATTCTGTTAAATAACTCATATATCTTACCTTTCCACTGTAATTAATGCTTCTGTAAATTAGATAAAAGGCAATCAGTGCTTTTTCTGCCGTAACTCGAGATGGATTTTTTCCGAAGTATCCGATTGACAAATCAAATAAGGTAAGAGAACTAAAATCTTTATATAATGATTGACAATTAATCGCGAAATAGCAGTAGCATCAAGCGACATGCACTCGCGATCGATTCTTAATTACTGCAAAGTTTTAATTGATGTTTCAAGGTTAATCGATTAAGGTTAACTTTAGGTGCGAAAGATCACTTGCACTATGTATTTACATGTGAGAAAAAAAAACAAAGCAACGATACGCACCCTATGATACGCCTGAACGATGCTGCTAATAGACGTAACTGTTTTATTGGCAGAACTGTCATTCGCGTTTTCGCCGGTAAGTGGAATCTCTACGAAACCAACAGATCTATGGTTGAAACCGTGACGTCGTACATCCGTGCCGTGCTTCTCTCCTCTCTCGTGTTGTTCGATACGTGGTGTGCTGCGATATTTATTATTGGTGCGAGACAACGTGTACACACAAAAACATACGAGGTATCTGTCAAAAATCCATATCGGGGAATTGAGTCGGGGAACGAGTGTACGGAGCCTGAATGTACGTATTTCACTTCGTTCGAGCTCGACTCGGCGAAGGAATACAAGAGAGCGAGATGACGAACATTCAAAAATTTAACGAATCTACGTGCTAGTCGCGGTCCAAGTGACGTCACTCGACGACCGAGGACGTAGCGTGCGTAAATCGTAGGGCGAAATTCGTTCGCAATGACGTGGAAAAAGAGCGTTCCCTCGCAGGTTCGTATCCCGCATTCCGGTATAGACGACGAGCAAGGTTAAGTTTGCGGTGCAGTGCGGATAACCGCCTCGCTCGCCGGCCGCCACGCGGCAGCACCGTCCTCGGCGGTATCCGGTAACCAGCTGATAGCGCGAACGCCGGGTTGTTTTTTTTTTTTTTTTTTTTTTTTTTTAATTTTTCATCTTTGATCTCACTGTAATTCCTAACCTAATTTATTACGACAATTAGTAGGGTTGAGTGATGGAATTTCCGAGGCATTTCCTAGACGTCAGACTTAAGAACGGCGAACGATATTAATTTTATAATTCGAGGTGAGTGATTTTTATAATTTGTTGTATTAAAATAATTTTGATCTGACTTTTCACGGCTGTCATTGTTAACAATAGGTTCGCCGAGAGCTTTCCGAGGCTTTTCGCGATTCGACGACGGCCTCGAGGGTTGAATCTCTCGATCGGAGTAACGTGGTGCGGCGCACCTTCTCCGAGGTCGCCCATTAACCGCGTGTCTAGCGATCCGCAAAAGCGAGACGACATTGTAAATGGGGAGGGACGGTCACGCCGCGGCGCCAAGGCGGCTCTTCTTCTTCGGGTAGCATCGCGGGCGAAACGCTTCTCCGAGAGAAAGAGAGAGAGAGAGAGAGACGCTTCTCCATTATCGTAATTTGCAAATTTCCCCAGGACCGCGATGAAAAACGACGAGAGGCGCCGTGGTTTCACCGTTGAAACGCTCGATGAAGGGAAGGAAAAAAGAGAGGGAGGAGGAGGTCCAGAAGAGCGCTAGGGGTGGAAAGAAAGGAGAGGACGACGAAGTGCTCGGAGTGAAAAAAGGCGGAGGAGACAGAAAGAAGAGAGAGAGAGAGAAGAAACATAGGAACCACAAAGACGGTGGCGGATTGGCGGCCTCGGGCGCGGTTGCGGATTCTCGGCGTGATGCCGGTGATTCGCGGCTTTGGTGCCCAGTAATCCTCCTGGCCGTATTTCCTCCTCCCGCGCAGCCTCTTCCTCCTCCTCGTCGTCTTTGATGCGGCGCGGCCCCAGGTATGCCGGACAGGGGGCTCTCAATCTCGCGGTAAATACAGCAATCGCTCGCGATGTGCCGTCCGCATTAATATAATTAGTCACCGCGAGCGCTCGGATACGGGGAGGAAATTCTGGCGGTATCTCGCCTGCGCTCCGGGCGCTGTGCGAGCACGCACACACGCCGAAATATCTCGCAGCCGCGCTTAAGTATATTTTGGGAGGGACGCGGGTATCGGCGACGTATGCCCCGAGGCACTCCGCGTGTCTACGGATGCGACAGACGGAGGTATCATCCTCCTCTTGTCCTCCGTTAGCTGATTATGCTCCCTGGCACTCGTTTCACGGCTCTCTATTTTGTTCAAGAAAATTGGAATTGGATTAGAAATATATTTTGTATTTTTTAGCATGGCTCCGAAGAAGGCCGAGGAACCTGAGCGGAAACCGCTGATCGGGCGCGTTGGCACTAACTTGAAAATGGGCATAGTCGGTATACCGAATGTAGGAAAATCAACGTTCTTCAACGTTCTCACCAAGAGCCAGGCAGCGGCTGAGAATTTTCCTTTCTGCACCATCGATCCTAATGAAAATAAGTATCTTGATATTCTCTCAATCCTTTTGTTCTCTATATATTTAATATACGGAGAGAATTTTTTCTTAAAATTTACCCTGAAAATCATTAATCATGTATTCCTGAGACAATGTAGTATTGGAAAAATTTTATAACCTCTGAAAATATCATCTAACATATTTAGTACAATTATTTGGATTTTATAACAATTTCTCTGAATATCTACTACAATAAGATATATAAAAAATATCTTTGAATAATCTTATATATACATAGTAAAATTTATTTTGTATATTATTAATATTTTTAATTGTGGTAAATATTAATCAGAGAAACTTACAAAATTTTTCCAATATTTTTCCAATTGTCCCACGATTTTCATGGTAAATTCTAAGAGAAAATTCTCTCTGTGTATATTTAATATTAATTTAATTAATTCTCTTGTTCTTTTTTCTTTTTATCTCTCTCAATTATTTTATTCTTTATCGACCAAATTTTCGATTTTATAAACAGCATATAAATTTCCTTGTTTATTTATTGCACATCAATTTTACTTATTTATTTATTGCACATATAAATAGCATATATATATTCACATTTGCATATATAACATTTACATATTTATTGCACATATAATAACATTTAAATATTCATATTTATTATTTATTCTTATACATATATATATATGTATATATTTATTATTATTTATGTATTGCACATATAATGAAATAATAATTTAGATATAGTACATATAATATAAACAATTTTCGACGTCGCTTGTTTAACCTTAAATATATATATGTTAAAATATATACATAAGTGAAATATATATGAATAAAATATCGAATTAAAAATTAATTGTTGAAACAAGTTATTCGAGAATTATTTAAAAAAGATGTGTGATCAATTTTTAAAAAATTCGAAACAAGACCATGTTGAAAAATTATTTATTAATGAATCGTTTATTACGAAAAAATGTTTTCTGAAATTAACTAAAGATCGTTCTGATTGTGTACAAGATACTTCTGCAAATGTACTATCCACAATTAAATATCCAAAAGCCAATTTGTATTATGCTTCTTCCGAAGATACACATCCAACGAAGAGGATAATTACTGTTTCTAAGTTGTTTGAAGAGCAAAAACTTCTCTCGTCCTCCGTGTCATATAAAGAACGTTTTATTAATCAGGATTTTAATTCAGAAGATGAAGCTGTAAATCACTATCTTAGAACCGAACCACCGAGTTTTGTTATTTTTGGAAAACCAGGATCAAAGCTTGGTATTAACTTAGCATCAGCGATAGCCGATTCTTGGAACTGTGTTTTAATTTCACCCATATCATTAATTCAACAAGAAATCGATGCTGGAACTCAAAAAGGCCAATATATGGAAAGAATTTTACGCTCCGGCAAATGTATAAAATTTGAAATTATTATGAATTTGATACGATGCAGAATCAAACAGAGGGATGTCAAACACAGAGGCTACGTTATTGAATATTTACCATCTATTCCTGGCGACATGGACTGTGATAATTCAGATTCCTGTTCTGTTGTAAATATAGATCACACTTGCCCAGAACTATGCGAAAGCACGGCAGATGAAAATCGCGAGACACACAAAGATCAAATCACACCTAATAATATAGATAAGACAGAATTTAAATATGAGCAAGAAATCTCTCAACAGATTGATGAAATGTTTACTGCATGGCCGAGAAAGCCTCTGATAATTATTTATCTCGTATGTCCGAAGCAAGATGTTGCGAGTACATGTGCACGCTGGCATCAGGATATTTCTACAGGCAATTATATTTTCGAAGAAAATGAATTCACGCGACCATTTGACGACGAATACGAACGCGACGAATCGGATACTTGTACGATTTTTCTCAAGTTATAAACGAACAATTAATCCTGAATCAAAAATTGCTAACATGCAAATTTGACGAGATACAATGCAATCGTTACGAACGATATGCGTTACCAGTAATCGACAAATGGATAATCGCACATGATCCTCAGCATGTAATTCGCGTGGATGGTCGTAGCTCAACGCAACGAGCACTTGAGATTCTCGAAACGCGTTTGCACGCATTAGCATTGCAGCCGTCGATTCTTCCAAAGAAAATGATCGAACAAGATGACGTACATATTCCGGAAACATCTGCGGAAATGAAGTTGAACGACGAGCTTGCGGAAAAATCTACGGAAGAAATTTTCGAGACTCTGAGGCAAAGAGAAATTGTGTCAGTCGAATTTTCCTGGAAACTTTCCGCGTGGAAGTTTTATTGCCCCGTCGCGCTAGCTCAAGGACGGACTATTAAAGGACTTCCGAAGCATGCGGTGCTATTTCTAAGTAAAATTTTTTTCCTTTCTTCTCAAGAAGCAGTGAACTTGTTTATCGAAAATCCGCGAATATTTTTATTGCCACCGAATCCACGACCAACCTGCAAAATAGCGGTATTCGGACCCAAATATGCTGGTAAGTCGAAACTTAGCGCGCGATTGGCAGAAGTTTTTGGCGGAATAGTGATAAATGTTAATGAGATTATGGGAATATCAATTAAGCAGCGCGAGGAATCTTCGAGTCAAAAGTTGTATAAGAATGATTCGAATGTAGAAATTTCATTGAACTCTGTCGACAGATCTGTTGGTGAAAAGGCCGATATTATTATACAAAATATTAAGAAAATACCCGACGTGAAATTAGAAGACGAATTACGAAGAGATGGTGGATATGTCGTGGACGGAATGTATGTGGACGTTGCAGTCTGGCGAAAAATTGTCGATGATGCTAACATTGTTTTCGAAGATATCATCGTTTTGTTCGAAAACGAGCCATATGCCTACCTGCTGAATAAATTTCGCAATTTCTTTTATCTTTACAATTCCGAGCATGAAGTGAATTACGACATGGAAGAAGATCATGAAGAATATAAAACGTTACATGAAGATGCAGAATGGGAGTATCTTGAACATTTAACACGATTCGAATCGGAATGGACAAAATTCGAGGAACAAATCCTTGAATTTGGAAGAAATGTAATAAAATGTAATCTTGCAGATATTCAAGATGTGCCGGAATACGTTATAAATCATATTAAAAATCGTTTCGACATCTCTGTAAGCGTCGAAAGAAAAGATGAAGAGAAAGAAATTCAGGAAGAAGCAGCAACTGTGGAAACAAATTTGACTATTGAAAATGCTGAAGAAAGAAAAATAAACGTATCACCGCGTACAACATCGATCTTGAAAAAGCCGAACAACTTCTCGATTGCGGGTACTATTTTTCAGCGCCTTCAAACGATGGTGTCCTGTGCAGTTGTACACCAGCAAGATTCCTATTCAGATGTTTCTACCGATGAAAGCACGCGGCCAAATATTTCCAGTCATACGCCATCCGTATATCTACTTTCTTGCAGGCGAGGAAGCGCTTGCCACATTCCTAAACGATCCCTCGAAGTATTTGACACTTGACTGTCGTCCATCGCTTATTCCGCTTCGAATCTCCATCATCGGACCGCCGAATTGTGGGAAAACAACCCTGGCGAACCGTTTTGCGAAAACATACGGCATGAAGGTAATTAGTCCCTTTAAAGCACTGTGTAATGTATCGAAATACTATTCTTGGATTGAGTCGGCGCGCAGGATTAAAAATGACCTTCGAACCGGTAAGGCTGTTTCGATCGAATCCGTAACGCGTGCCTTAGAAATACTTTCCACAGGACTACGCTCAGCAGTTCAAGGTTATATTCTAGACGGTTATCCCTCGAATCGTAAGGAAGCCGAGGAACTGGCTCTCTTGGGAATGCAGCCGATGATTGTGCTCGATCTCAAGGCGGATCTGGAATTCTGCATCGAATGCATCTCTTGGAATGATCGAGATGACAACGCGAGAAAGTCGCTGAAGTGGTCTGTCAACTTCTTGTCACGTTGTTACGCTAACTGGCAGACAGATCAAGCGAATTTCCGAGACTGGTTAAAAAGTTTTCGCACAACGTGGTCGAGCTGGACGCTACTAAAAGTAAATGGCACGTGTGGACACGCGCGGATAGCGCAATACGCTCCCGATTCGCCGACGTTATGCTTTACTTTAATGAAGCGGATCTGGACAAGGTTCACAGTTTGAAGCACATGTGCGTGTCACCTTACGAGTTTCGATCACGACAGAGTCGATACGAATCGTACTGTCCCGTTTGCTTGACCCTTGAAAAAATCTTGAAAGCTTCTGGCCAATTAGTGGATGGTCAAGGAATGGTACAGTTCAGAGAATATTTTTATTGGATCTGTCCTCGACATATGGATACTTTCATGACGGATCCACTGCAGTACATTTCACCTAACGATGCAACGATGTCTCTTCTTGACGAACGACCTCGAATACTTGAAAAGATAGTCGATATGGAACACGCTTGCTGGGCGCAACGTCTTCAAGTCAGCGGTTTGTGCCTGGTAACTTACGTCGATGGTCTGCCGGATCGCAAGCTGACGCAAGGTAGAACCGATCTGAGTGTTATCTTCAAGGATAAAGTGTATCTTTTCTGCAGTGAAGAGTGTCGTGAAAAGTTTCTCGAACAGCACGACAAGTACTCCAAAATGGATATTGAACTTTCTCGCAAAGTTCCAATCGAAATGTGGCGTCTGCCGGAAGTTGACTTCTTGGAGCAAACGGTGATAAAAATATTGGTCGAAGCTGTGACCCTAATCGCCGTTCGTCGACCAAAGATATTTGGTTTATCAGCGCCTGTCAGCGCAGCGATTTACATCGGCATCTATCTGAAGACGCACAATACGTTTGAAAAGTTGCACGAGATGGATATTTACGAAGCTACGAACAATCGAATAACGAGGCTACACAAAATTATAGAGATTGTCACTAATACCATGAAGAAAAAGATTAATCCCTACGTATCTTTGCCAAAAAATTCTAGTTATAAATGATCGACGAATTTATCTTTAAGTTATGTTTGTACGTTTCAAAATAATCATCATTAATCACTCCTACACCTTGTCGAGTGTCAGCTATCTATTTGTTTTTTGTTTCAGCACGTCGTGTTCCGGTACCCGATACGAGGTTCGATTATCTCAGCGAATATTTCAAGCCGGCTAGGTAAGAAACAGCAACGAACGTTCCTAAAATACGTCGACGGAACGGATAAATGTGTATTGCGGAATAAAAGCATATAGTACACCGCCTACAGATGCACCGTGAAGGGAAACGAGTCGGAATAACCGTGGGACATTTCCATACTTCTTCGCTTTTATTCTCGCAAGACGGAAATAGGGAGTCAGGGGCGATCTGCAATGCAGATCGGTCTAAATTCGTCTACAGAAACGCAAAGTTTCCGTATTCGTCGGCGCTACACATTCTTTATTCGCGTTAGTACGTGATGCAGCATTCTTAAACGCGAATAACATCAGCGGAACGACGTGTTCCCAGAATAATATAGTATTGATCAAAGGAAAGCTCCAGCAATATTTGATTAAATTGTGTTTAATGCGTCTCTCGTTACACGCGAAAACGTCACTCTCGTTGCTCCAAATGAGTCGGGCGAGCAGTTAATAAAACTCCTCGATCGCGCGGCTTTGTTGCGTAAATAGCTAAATGTAAATCGTGCTTGTCTTGCGATCAGATTCGACGTGAATCGAAGCGAATTGAAAATGCGAAACAGCGCCGGATCAAAGAGCGGCCGATTCATCCACGGCCTCTCTAGCGCCCGCCCTATTATCGTCCCGCGTTTCTCGTCGTCAAATGTGTCGGAGCCCCGACCTCGACTACCGGCACGTGTCGGATGATTCGACGATCCGTGATGAAAGCCGGCTAATACACCACCTCCTTCTCGCCACCCTTCATCCATGCCTCGTCCACTTTCACTGACGCCTCCCTTCAAAGGCTAATTGTTTAATGAGCCCGCTAGCATTAGCATTTAAATACACCTCGTTGTCACTGTCGTCGTCCCTCCCTTTCCCACCCCGGTTCGTGCATCACGTGGCGCATGCCTTCGACCTTTATAATCGCGATCATCCGTGATCTCCGTTTCGAAGGGAATCAATGTGCGAAGAACGAAATAATACCGTCCATGTGACTAATCACACATTTACACTAGCAAATATTTAAACTGATCCGATAATTTATTGCTATTTATTTAATACAGTTGAACATGCTGCATGTTAAAATTATCATGAACGATTAAACTGGGTTGAAAATATGCTGCAGTGTAAAATTTATATAAAATATTTTATGTTTATCACTTTTTAGCATCCACTCTATTTAAAACACTTATATTTTAAAATTATTGAAATTTTACTATTATATTTTAGTAAAATTAATCAAACGTTTTATCTTATTACTATAGATATTTTTTATTGTGATAAATATTAATCAGAAAAACTTCTTATAAAATTCTTTCATATTGTCTCACGATGACCTGCACGATTACCATGAACTGCAGGATAAATTCTAAGATAAAATTTTCTCCGTGTAATTTTTTTCTCATTATTTATTTATTTATTTCTAAATCCAAGTTTATTTATTCCTAAATCAAAGATATGTGTAATTACAAATTCGGATTTTTCTAGTAAAGTTCCGGCCTTCTTGCACGTGATGGACATTGCTGGATTAGTGAAGGGTGCCGCCGAAGGACAAGGCTTAGGAAATAGCTTTCTTTCGCACATTGGAGCTTGCGATGGCATATTTCATCTTTGTCGTAAGTATGCTATATCACATTGTTGTTCCTCGGTGCTATTTGTCTCCTCGTTAATATCGTTTTAATGTTCGCGCTGACGCGTCCCAGTGTAAATAAATGAATCGCGCGTTTTCCCACGGAATTATTTCGAATACGAAATCATGATAAAAGCGATTATAGCGAGGGAGAGAAATTTTCACCGATGAGATCGAGAGATTAGTTCCGAGCGAGATATTTATTTACTTTACTTGCTCACTTTACTCGTTGAACGTTATAATATCGCAGATGCGAGCTTATTTTTACAACATACCTACATATATTCCGCTGATGTTATGAGCACGTGTTATGACCGTCGTTAACTATTTTCCTGGAAGTACATTACATTATTGTTTCTCATGATAATGCAAATCGACCGTCCTATGCTTATATCTTGGCAGGTATATCTACGTATCACATAAACAACAAATACGAGAATAATCTTTAAGTAAAAATAAATAAAAGATTAAAATTCCTGTTATACACAATTTGTATTTTGTTATAAGTAGATGTTTAATTCGAATTTTGATGTAACTTTGTTAGAATTTCGGATCTCTTCGTAACGCACGTTTAATTAAAAACTGAAAAATTTAACAGATATTTTTTTATGGAATAATATCAAGGCTAAGTAGAATCAGATATAAAATCCATAATATATACCGTGTTCTTCGTATCTACAAGGGTCATTAACACACATACTTTACATCCCTATAATGTAACACATAATAATTCACCAAAGAGCTGCTGATTCGTCAGGGAGAACCGCGCGATTGTTAGGTATAAATTACATTCGTACTGAGAATAACATTTTCAAGGTACTTTTGCCTGTTAATACGTCTTGGCAGACCGCCGACAGGTGGTAATTTTTTCAATTAAACCGACCCGGCAATTTTCGCGTGGCGGTACGGCGGCTCGCTTAAATAGTCGACATGCGAGCTTCACATTGAGGCGAATGTTACAAGAATTTCTTCAGTAGCCATTTCGATTTTGAGATACTTTTCTGTACGCGAAATATATTTACTCATGTTTTTTTTTTAGGTGCCTTTGAGGATGACGATGTCACACACGTGGAGGGTGATGTTAATCCTGTGAGAGATCTCGATATTATTAGCGAGGAGTTACGATTAAAAGACGTCGAATTCTTGAATGTGCATCTCGAAAAGCTCGGAAAGCTTGTAGTTCGTGGTAATGACAAGAAGCTGAAACCTGAATATGTGAGTAACTTATTATATTTTACACATACGTACATATACATCGGATTAATTTCTTTTAAGAAATCAGCTTCGATAAAAATAGTGTTTATATAATTATAAAATGTATATAAAGCTATATACATATATAAAATTATTATTGTAAAAATTTTGTATTAATTAATAATTGTATAAAGTTGTTCTTTTTTATCTTCAAAAATTATTTTAATGTGTTATCACATTTAGAAACCATACTATGCATCTTGTATACTATAATCGATATGACATAACTGCGACTATTCCTATACATATAGATATATAGTAATATAGAATTAACTAAACTGCTTGAGCCATCACGATACTTCCGTAGGAAAATGCAGATGTTTCGAAAATTGCTGTTCTTAACAGCGTTTATATACGTCAAATCGACCTATTTTCATCGATGCGTAAATAAATGCTCATTAAATGCAGACATTATTTTTATAAACAAACGTGATTTGCATCATTCATTTTTACTTGTATCTATCAAAATTGATTACTGTAAGATATTATATAGTATTATGTTAAGTTAAACTGTGGAGATTGTGTTGGTACAAATTTTATATTTTTATTTTAAATCTTAAAGATATATTACTTCTCTCGATTATTATTTTCAATCAAGCTTATTAAGCTGTTCTTGTCGCGAGAATCTAAAACATTTATTCGCGTTTTTCCTTGATGTTCATACGTGACGCTTGAACGTTTACCAAGTACAGTTGCAGCCCTCCTCGTCAGGCCAACTACAAAATTACCGAGAAAATTAAGAGAACGCGGGCGAAGCAAAGAATTCCTGGAACGAGTCGATCGTTGGATTACCCTCCTTCCGCGGATTGACCCACGGCAATTACCCATCTCCCCCTCGTTCCCGACTTTGCAATTTGGCAAAAAGTTTTTCGAGAATTCGAAGCTACCTTTTCGTCTCTTCTCTCTTTCTTTCTCTATCTTTCTTTTTCTTTTGAGAGAATTAATGGGACCACGCGTGCTTGGCTAGCCAGATCCTCTAATCACGATTCGATCGCGAAATTATCCTACTCAATGACCCGCGTTCGTGCATCTGAATGCCTGACGAAATCGATGAATGACGAATTCGTTGCGAGAAACAAAACAGACGCCATTAGTGTTTTAGAGATTTAATAAGAATTTTTAATCTTTATTTTGCAGGAAACGCTTCTGAAGGTGAAGGGCGTCCTAGCAGACGAGATGAAACACATCAGGTTCGCCGATTGGAGTGCTAATGATGTGAGTTTAATCAATTTGATTATAAAAGTTATTAAAAATTTTTTTTTAATTTTACTTTACACAATGTTTTGTGATATTTCAGATCGAGGTACTGAACAAATATTTGTTTCTTACGTCAAAACCAATTCTATATTTGGTGAATCTATCGGAAAAAGATTACATACGCAAAAAGAACAAATGGTACGCATTTTATAAATAACAATTAAACAAGTATTGTCACCTAGAATTATAAGTTTGGTACATTTTTTATTTTATTTAACAGGTTAATCAAGATAAAAGAATGGGTTGACAAAAATGATCCGGGCGCGGTATTAATCCCTTTCAGCGGCAGCTTCGAAAATAAGATTTTAGACATGGATGACGCGGAACGCGCAAAATACTTCGAGGAACAGAAAGTCACCAGGTTGGTACCAGTTATAACGATTATTATGTTTATCCTGTAAATGTTTGTGGCCTATATTGCTGTGTCGCGCTCGCAAATAAGAGGGTTCATTCTTGCGTCGCTTAAACCTCCACCTTAAACCCGACGGAGATTCGCATACGTCGTTCGAGTTTACCAATCGACGAGGAAACACCGCAAGATTGCAGGAAAAAAAGATTAGACGTAAAATCCGGCGAAAGCGTCTCCCTCGACCAAGTTCGGGTTCCCACACATTTAGCTATGCACCGAGTTATATCCTCTAACGGTAATAATAATGTGGTCGGGTCCAGCCAGTGTCTAGACTCCGTCCCGCTCTCTCTCTTTCTTTCCACGTGGATCGGCTAATAAAAACCGTAGCTGTGCTTCGACGTGGCGTATTATATTTTTACGAACGGCTATTCAAATTCTTGCAAAATTGCATAAAAACCCCTCCCGCCCTTGCGGGCACACTGGCATAATCGAGGAGGTAGGTGGAGCGAAAAGTAATCGGTTCGAAGGTTCGGCAATTCGATCAGTTAGTGGGTCATTCATACCCTAGGGCTCCCTTATGTCGTACGTAGACTCATGTAACTTGCTTTATCCCTTTTTATTTGTGAATGTGCATTTTCAATCACGCTCTGCATACAATATAACTAAAATTATAAATCTAAACTGAATTAATTATTATTTAAATTAATTATAATGTAAAATTAACTTTACATTATAATTATGACTTTATTATAATTAATAAATATATTGTATGTATATATTAAACAATATTTTAATAAAAATGGAACAGATATATTCATAGATAAAATTCAATATTTAAAAAAATATTAAGGAGAAATATGAATTTAAGATATTTTATATAGAATTTATATTTTATAATATTTGCCCTAACTTATACAGTGTGAACGGAATAAGAGAGTATTCACGATACCTAAATTTGCTTAATAATCGGACGATACGAATGAAGGGACGAAAGATACCGTGATTTTATTTTCAGACCGCAGATAACTGAGGCGCCGCTGGAAGGTCTCCGCTAGAGTCAGAATGATAAAATTGCGGTATTAAGTCGTTCCCCTTTATGTGTATTCTCTGAACTCTCGGACTTTCATCAGGCCCATCGCGCGTTCCACTTGCGCTAACCCGTCATTAGACGATATTTGGTCCAAGACAATCTTTCTTATTCTACAATGCGGCACACGGTCACTTCTCATTTTGAACGCGGACTTATTTTTTTATTATTTGAAAAATAGAAAACTTATACCGCGTATGTTCGATAATAAATAGATTCTCTATTGTTCAGTAAAAAAACACATTATTTGCTATATCTTTTTTTCTTACTCCCTTCTTTTTTGTTTAGTGCACTTGACAAAATTATTGTACAAGGATACAAGGCGTTACAATTACAATATTTCTTCACGGCTGGCCATGATGAAGTTAAGGCATGGACAATTCAAGTAAGCACAGATAAATAATAAAAATAATTTAAAAAATATAATAAACAGAATGTAATAATTATTGCACATATTTGATTAAATTGCATGATAAAATTTTATATTAATGTTGATAAAACTTTATATATATATTTTTTAGATGTATTAATATTATAAAAGAAATTATAAATTATTATCGTCTTTATTACAATAAACTAACTGTGTAATATTGAATAAAGTAATGTCTATAAGTATAATTTACTTTTAACACTATAAGAGTATCGTTTGCATTTTATAGAAAGGCACAAGAGCACCTCAAGCTGCTGGAAAAATACATACAGACTTCGAGAAAGGATTTATTATGGCGGAAGTGATGAAATTTGACGATTTCAAAAACGAAGGATCGGAAGCTGCAGTGAAGGTATTTGAAATAATTCTTTATATTAAACTATAGACTATATGTAATAAGTTTCCTTTGCATTTATTCTATATTGTTATCTGTGTTTAGGCTGCCGGAAAATACAGACAACAAGGACGTAGTTACGTAGTCGAAGACGGCGATATTATTTTCTTTAAATTCAACGCAGGTGCCGGATTAAAAGATGCGAAAAAGAAGTGATGGCACGCGTTTCTCATGTTGTTGCTCGTCCATCTGTACATCAACATGATTCTGTTATCTTGGTGCACGCAACATCCTCGTGTCAATTAAGTCAACTCGTTCTCCCTGACTTTTTCATTCATGTATACATATTAATGCGATGATAATGATTAATTATTTTTATATTCTATACAAAATCATATACAGAATTAACGGGTGCGTGCTCACAAATGATGTAAGTTGGAATAATATTCAGTGTTTTTCTTGTTCAAAATTATGCACGTAAAACAATATTCACGAATATTGTGACCCTTTTGCAACAAACGATGAAGAAGAAAGAAAAAAAATTGCATTTTCACGTTCATTACTATGTACATAATTAGCAGACTTGCTAAGTTGCATTCTGCACTTCTTATCTTTGATGTGAAAATGCGCGAATGTGAGAGAAAAAAGGAATGAAAAAGAACGGGAACGACATGTACGTAAAACATTTCTTTGTAATCTTCTGTATTTATTCGATATATTAAACTTAGATTGACATAAAACATAAAAATATTATAATTTATCTTATAAGTTTACCAATTGGTAAATTCGTAAGTTAAATTATTATTTTTCTTTTGAATAAGACAAGTTTTGAACACATTTTTGTGAACATAATTATATTGTTAGAATTCTATTTAATTTATACTTTTTTATATCATTTTTGATATCTATAATTTATATCATTTGTTTTCAATATAATACTAATCTTGATAAATTTAACATATACTTCTGTGAAGTTTTTAAATATCTTTTATATTATATCCTCTCATGCGACAAAGAAATATTGTTACGGACAATTATGATCATTATGTGCTAATATCTTTATTATAGAAACGATTAAAAAAATATACTATCAAAAAGAAAATATATTTTCTTGCCTTATATTACAAATATTAATAAGAATTACAAACAGAAGAAGGCAACAAAAGATGAAAATAATAATCAAATGAAAAGGCTCTGATATGTAAATATAAAAATTCAGATAAAGAAAATAAACTTATAAGAGCCAAGTGCAATAAACTTGTCTTAAAATTGTCTTAAAATCTTTATTTAATTTGTAGATAAAGATAAAAACAATAGATTCAGCACAATTAAAATTCAGAAATATAATGTCTACTAATTTTACATATAGTCGCTACGATTCTATTTATTATTAATGTATTGTCATTGTAAATATATCGTTATAATTATTATGTAATTTTTATCATTACAAATATCCAGCATTTCACGCTGTTAATTGCACATTTTATAGCGATTTGTTTACAAATAAGTTTTAACAGATGTAATGTCTAAAGGATCGTTATTACATTTTTAATTTATCAAATATATAATTTGTAATGCAAAGAAAAGGTGCGATGTCTGATACTCTATTTATATAGAGTTAAATATTTCTACAAAATACTTTGCATGCATTTTTTCTATAATGATATACGTTTTTATATTAGAAATTTTTATTTGTAAAAATTTATTGTAGGAATTATGTAGATATAGAACTATTATGTGTTATAGATTTATATTTATAAAAACATATTTAAATGGATGTAGCAGAGAACAGAACCAGGATATGAAACTTCTCTTAGTATTATCTATTGAGGAAAGTTATCTATTGAGTAATATTTTTGTAGTTCTGTTTTCAGAGTAGAGTTGCGTTCGGAAATTGTCCATCAAAGTGCAAAATTCGATCTCGACCAATCAAAGACCAAGGATCTCTTTGTCCTGATTGGTCGATCGAGTGCTTCACTCTAGAATACATTTTTCAAAAACGCGGGTGTCGCTGCTCGTCGCGAACGAAAAAAGTGCCGCAAATACAAGTGTTTCGAAGCTTCCATCTTCTACGAGGATAATTCCTGAGGTTGGGTTTCTACAGGAAAAGTGGTGCCGGCGAGAAAACCGGAGTATTCCGAGACGAAAAGAATAGTCGAAATGTAAGTCGAATTATTTATTATTTCATTATTTATTCATAAAGCAATGTAGGAAAAATATACGCCTAAATATTAACTGGGTTATATTATGTCAAGATAAACTCAATATAGCACGTTTACAATATTTTGTGATTTTTTTGTGCGTAAAACAAATCTGTAAATTAAAATCCAGGTAACTTTTTTCCTACTTGATTTTTAATTTACATATTATTCATATTTTACGCACAAAAATTCATAATATTCTGAAGTTTCGGAGAGGACGGAGCTCTCCTTCAATATTATCATTTTTTATATATATATTATACTTAAATACACCAAAAATGTATTTTAATATATATACGTGTATGTACATATACATATCACTCTCTCTCTCTCTCTCTCTCTCTCTCTCTCTCTCTCTCTCTCTCTCTCTCTCTCTCTCTCTCTCGTGTAATTAACTTATCAGTATCTAATAAACTAATTGGCTTAATTAATAATTAAATAATACATATACACTGAAAAAAAATTGTTAACTTGACTGAACTTTTCAACTAAATATTATTTTGTTAATTGAACATACAAAAATATTTAAATTAAAATAACAAAACGTATATTTGATTTAAATATTAATATATGTTCAATTAATAAAATAATAATTTAGTTGAAAATGTAGTCAAGTTAACAAATTTTTTTTCAGTGTAGTGATATTAAAATTTTTTCGTTTTAAATTTCATATAATGTTCTTCAACATTATTATATTATTTTATTCATATTTGAGAAAATAAATGTGAGAAGAACGCATTATTTTTATTTTGCGCATTATTATATAGAATACGAATAGGAAACTTTATAATAAAGACTATGTTTGGTCCTGACAATTTCATGTTACGATAACAATCGACTAGACTACATTCTCACAATCAGTCATTGTTGAAAGTTTTGTTGAGAAGTCGAGATTTCAACCATTGATAAAATTCAACTTCCTGTGCAAGAACTTTTCTTAACGATGCATCTTTAAGTCGTAATTTTAAAGTTACTGAAGTAGACAGATTTTCTTTTGATCCTATATATGTAGAGAAATGAAATCATATGTAATATAATAATGAAAAGATGATTCAATCGATATAAAATATTTCAACAGATATGGCAAAAATATTTACACAAATACTTACGAAATTGATTATAAATATTAATAGCACCATTAAAAAAATAGGGAAACTCAATTGCAAAAGCGTTTAGCGATTCCTCCATGTAATCCAATATACCAACAACAGGATACCATCGAATAATATTTGCTTTAGCTCTCTCTAACGCCCACGTGTTATTCCGTTCCCTGAAGAGTAACATGTACATATAACATAAGAATCAACAATAGCTAATATCTCTCTTATTTTTTTCGAAAAAATGTTTAGTTTTCTCAAATCGACATTTAGATAAATTAACAGAGAATTGTAATAAAATATATTACATAAAATTTATGTGATATATCAATAACATTTATTTAAAAATCAATAAAAATATACTTACATACAGCGCGGTTCCTGTCCACAAAAATGAGGTATTGCTCCGTGATAAACCATGCCTTCTTTTCCTTTCCTATATTATATTAAAAATCAATTTCCGATATTATATATAATATTGTGTACGCACATTATTTCAATAATGTACTCTACACTGTAAAAAAAATATGTAAAGTTACAAAAAATATGTAAAATTACATAAATATAATAAATGTGATTTTACACTTATGTAATTTTATATACATGTTTTATGTAATGTATTATATATATTTTTATACAGTGTAGTATTTTTTAATATATATTATATATTTCTTTTTTTCTTTCCTCAAAAAATATACTTTTAAGAGAAAAAAATATAATTATAGGTACCATTGCCAAATTCGCGGATCCAAAGGGTCTCTCACTATAGATATAAAAGTAGGTCCTTGTCGCCCAAATGCCGAGAAATTTAAAAACTTTATGTCTCCATCAAAAGTTAAAGGGATAGCTTCTTGTCGGATGATACTCATAATTTCTTGCACTAATAACTCCTGCAGAGAGAATTAAAGACATTTTATAATTATATTTTGTAAAACAAACAAGTTGATTTGAATTATCACTGAAATATTTTGTAAAACTCCGTAAAGAACAATATTTTTTATACACAGAAAGAATTTTCTCTTAGATAATTTACTCTGAAAATCAAGGTAATCGCAGAATTTTTATAAGAATTTTTTTTTATTAATATTTATCACAATATAAAAAATATTAATATTTTTCAGAGAAACTCTCATAATATATAAAATTCTTCCAATATCATGCATTGTCCCACGATTATCTTGATTTTTAGAGTAAATTCTAAGAGAAAATTCTCTCTGTGTAGATGAACAAATTACTAAAACTTGAAATTTTTTTCATAAAGAGATAAAAATAAAAAGAGAGTATTATTAACCTGTTGTACAACCGATAAAAATCCATAATCGCTCGGTGGTAGACGTATATGTTTAAAGGCGTTGTATCCTTGTAAATGTTGTAGAATCCATACCATCAATTCGGCGCCTGTACCAGGTATTCGTGTCAGCATAAGAATATGCTTGTACTTGTACGGTATATCACTCAATTCGGCGAGAGAAGGTGTGACATATCGATGAGTCTGTTTGAGATAATTATAATAATTGTATAAATCATTTTTTATTCCCTCCTTCCCCATACAAATGTTACAATATATTTTACATAATCGAGTGAATTTTTTAACGTTTTATCTTTTGAATGATTTTTATGTGAAAGAAATAAAAGTACCAAATTATTTATAATAATTACGCAAATAGAGGAACGTTTAATATTACAATGATTTTAAAATAATTGGAGATACACGACAATGCGCTTTCGTTGATGCATCTTGCACAGATTCATGGATAATGCATCTCCGTGAATTACCTAAACAACACAAGTTATCCTTAATCCCTAGCACATTGCTCCGAAAGCTGCATTCGCTTTATAGCGCTCAATAATTAAATGCATAATTAAATCAAGATGCATTCTGTAATGTGCACCTTCGCGCCTTGATTTGGTATGCACTTAGGAGTATGCATATATATATCATTGTTCTTTAAGATTGAATAAATATTCTCTCATCAATAAATGTTTGTAAAATTTTCACGGAGAGAAATTTTCTTTTAGAATTTATTGGGACAATATAATATATTGAAAGAATTTTATAAAGTTTCTCTGATTAATATTTATCACAAAAATGTTAATATGTACATAATAAAATTAATTGAACATATTTTATATCTTATTGTGGTAGACATTAATATTTTTATTGTGGTAAATATTAATCAGAAAAATTCTTATAAAATTCTTCCAATATATTATTGTTCCATTATTACCATATGATTTTCAGGGTAAATTCTAAGAGAAAATTCCCTCTGTTTTTCGGTAAACGCAAACTTTAATTATTTATTTTATAAAACAAAATAAAATTAATAAACACGATTCTCAATCGACGAATTAATTTTAATCGATTGTAATTATGTAATTTCACCTGGCTGCGAGCGATCCATCGATCATCGTCACGCGATCTTTCCTGTTTTTTGAATGAGCCACGTTTTTCGCTAATATTTGCGAGATCAAACAGATCCGTAGACGATCTTGCGTTCAAAACGATAAAAACCATTGTCAGACACATTGAAAGCAATAACAAAAAACCGCGATTTCGACGCATTTTTTATTTATAATTAATTTTTAATATTTTTTATTTAATATTTCGTCTCCCTCTCTCTCTCTCTCTCTCTCTCTTATTTACGATATATATATAATTTTGTTTACGGCCCCGTGTTTGTTATTTTTTCTCCTTCTCGATAAATAATACTCGGTAAATTATCGAGATTGAGACTACGCCTGCCGAGTAACTGAGGAGAATGTTAGTGGGTCAGACTCCGGCAAACTTGTGTGATCCCCACATCTTCGCCGTAGCCTACGACCCCCACCGATTGGTTGATTGGGTGAAACGCAACATTTCACTTTCCAATGCGTGCTGCATAAGCATCTCGATCTCATATGACTGATACATATATATATATATATATATATATATATATATATATATATTTCTACTTTCTTCTCATTCAAACATTGAATAATAATACACAAACTGAAGTATATCTAACGTGCTGCAGATTCGATCGTACAATCGAATACCCTATTTTGACAAGAACTGTAAAGAACAATGATCAAAACGAAGCTTGACATTTCTATTATCTGAAGGATTTAATTTTGACAGTTCGATCAGCTGTTTTAATAATCGCATCATAAATTTGCTTAAAATAATATTTTTTTACGCATATTTATGCGTAGTGATCTTTGTTTGATGAAACGGAAGCAAAAATATTTTAATACAACTGGAAAGAAGGAAGAAATCATTTGGCATTAGAATTTCTCGCGCTTGAAAGTAATCGCAGATCAAACGTCGCGGCCGGTGCCGAGACCGGCCGGTGCCGAGGTGGCGCGGCTGTCCACGTGTTATAAGCTCTTTAACATCGTCTCTCTACTTACCTACGTACCGACCTACGACGGGTCTATATTTGTAAACACGCGAGCAACGAGTAAGATGGATGTATATGAACCGCGCAAGAAAGATTGGGAGGATTTGGAAGTGTCGCGCGAGGAATTGGAGAACATCACCGAGTGTCTGAAGAAGGAGGAATTCCGCAAGTTGTTAATCGAATACGCCGAAGAGGTGTCCGACCCGAATAACAGGAAAATCTACGAGAAGGAGATTGCGCAGCTCGAGAAGGAACGGGGCGTAGATGTGACATTTGTCAATCCGGAACCCGGTTACGTCATAAAGACTAGTGTAAACGGTGACAGGAAGTGTTTCCTGAACATCAGCAAGAACGCGGTCATTGGACGACCCACCAGTCAACCCTCGTGCGAGCAAGGTCATCGCGGTCTTCAGTGGTCCATTCCATATACGCTTATACCACCACGAGATGACTTGGATAAGAAAAATGTGCGATGCATGGTGTTTGACGTGGTCTTTCATCCGGACACCATCTACTTGGCGTCCAAGAATGCCCGATTCCGCGAAATTGTCAACAATACAGCGATGGACGGTGTGGAAAATAACTTTAAGGTTCATGTCCGTTTAATATAGTGCTACATTTTTATTCCATTAACATATTGTTACATATATTTTATTACATATGTTTTCTGTGCATTTTACCAGGTGAAATTGGACAGGAAGAATTTGAAGTTTCCCAAGATCAACTTTAAAGGGGTAACTCATCCTACAGTGATCAGAAAACCATCGAAAGAGCCACCAAAGGAATCGCTAGATTTGGAACCAGAAATTTATCAAAAGCTAATGTCAAGCTATGATGAAAGTCGTGAGAAGTTAAAAAAGAAAGAGGAGAAACCACAACATGCCCCACCAGTTACTACTTATTACAAGAGCAAACAGCATCAATCAACGGATGAAAACTATGTTGCTCCTAAATTTTCCATAAAACACCAATTTGATGTGGAAATGGAAGATTTTATTTTAAGTAAAGATGCAAAGATGAATGCTGCAATTCCAAAAAAATTTGTGATTATTATAGATTTGCCTTTGTTGAAAAATGCTAACGATGCAACGCTTGATATACATGAACAATCTCTTACCTTGAAAAGTGAAAAGCCTGCAAAGTATCTGTTAGAACTTCCATTACCATATCCTGTAGATGGGGATAATGGAAATGCTAAATTTGATGCAAAGTATAAAAAATTAATTGTAACCTTACCAGTCATTCGGCCCTTGATACCTATGGATAAACCAGATAGTGGAGTTGATAGTGATCAGAGTAGTCCTCTATCGGTAGCATCCAAAGATGATGAAAAGAGTTCATCCAAAATAGAGTTAGTGGAAGAATATAAAAATGTGTGTAAAAATTTGGCATTTGATAAAACGAGTGATATAATAGAGTGCGAAGATACTGCCTTACGGACTTATATTAAGACAGAAACCATTGATGCATTTATGAATTCTAATGTCAAATACAATCTTCCTCCATACTCTTGTAATATTTACAATAATCAGTTAGCCATTACTATAAATGTAAAAAATGTGAATCCTGATTCAATATGCCACAAAATTTTAGATAATAATGCAGGAATACATATCTTGCTGACATCTATAGGTGCTGGATTTTTTTCACAATATTATTCATTATGTCTTAAGATAGGAGATAATTGTATTGAGCCAGAAACTCTTACAATTGAACCATGGGACAATAATGTCGTGTTTAGCATAACAGTGCAGGATATTGAGAATCTAACACAATATTTGGTCGGTGTGAACATGGAATTTATGGAAAGAAAGGATCTCCCTACTGCAGCATCATTTACAAACAAGTTCAAGGAATTAATGGTATGAAACACATTAAATATATACTTGTAAAAATATAAAATTGTTACATATAAATGACAAATGTTTTTATACAGGTTTGTACAAGAGATGAGCTACAGGTGGAAAGACAGTTCTCTGTGCAGCCAGATGGTGATAGCGTTGTTATAGACATTCGTCCAAATCAACAGGATTCTGATGATGACGAAGAGCAGGAAGACATAAAAATTGTACAGCGACGGCAAGAGAAAATGCATACCATAGAAAAAACTAGATCAGTTTCTGAAAGCAGCGGAGATGAGTTGGCAAGCAGCAATGGCAGTATGAGACTTTCGAAAGGAATTTTAAAGTCGCATCGTGCCCGTAATTTCTCACGTTCTATGTCTGAATCAAGTGCCGATGAAAATAGCCTTCCTGCATCGTGTACAGATTATCATTATGATTTCATACACGATGTTAATTCCGAATCGGATTGTTCCAGTTTAAAAAAGACTGTACGATTTAATGATGTAGTTTCACGACAATTATTCAGGTATTATAATATAGAGAAATAAAAATTATCTTCTCAACTAGAAGTGACATTAATGTTTCTGTAATTCAATTATAATTCTATTTAGGTCCAATTCGAGTATCCTTGGACAGCGAAAGAAGAATCAACGTAAATTACGAAATAAGAAACGCGCGCATGATCGCCGAATGAGCGAAAGTGAGAATTCTGAAACTGAAGAACGAGACAAATATAAAACGCATTACAAACGTTCTTCGAGCGAGGAAACTTCAGAGATTGTTAAACCTATACTTACTCGAGACAAACATTCGCAGCAACAAAGAACCGCTAATATCGAAATCGCACAATCAAAGGCGGATGATAAACATTCTTTACATCAACGTAAATCTAATTTCGAAGAAAAGCTCACCGAAGATGTTCTAGCCGACACTTCGAATAATGTCACGAAAGATGTAGGTCAGCTGGAATTTAAGAATGATCTGATATTTGACCTCGACATGTAGATTTAGATACGAGATAATTATGCATAATTGTGATTACATATATAAAGCTAGTAATAGCAGGGTTTAGTATCAAACAACTACTTAGATGGGAATAATTTTTTATTAGTATAGAGGACTAAATAATTAAGAAAGCATTAAGCCGAATCAAAATCGTTAATACATCTTTAAACAATTGACTCACATAGTATATTATAGTAATATAGCGATAAATCATTTTATTAAATTTTGCTTAATATATATAATATACAACAAACCTTGAAAAATTACCGTATTAAAATACATTGATAATGGATAGGAGAATGGGTAACGATACGAGAGAACACGATATTTTTAATCGGAATCTCTTAAAAATTGCAGCTGATTAAATTGTTATTGAAACGATTTGAATGAATTGGCCGAAAGAAAATATAATATTCCCTTTTTATGCCTGTTGAATATTACTGCCGCACAATATATGTGATTTTTACCGAGATAATGCTTGATTAAATCAAGATAAAAAGTGTGATAAATTGCAAGTACTTTAGGATAAAAATAGATACAATTTTAATTGAAATTGTATCATGTGCATTTACACAAAAATATGTTTAGGCCGCGTAATACGAGATGCAGCACATTAAGCATACGAGTATACAGGCGCATTGCAACAAACGCTTGTCAAAAGATTGTAACACACACATATATATACATATAAATGAAAATATCGTTTTGTTTTGATTAATTATGTATTATGTGGCGCAGAGTGTTTGGTGCCTAATATCTAATTATCTAAGTCATTATATTGTGAGAATATTGAAAGTCGTCTATTTAAAAAAATTGTAATTTAATGAAACACGCAAAATTGAGATGTTTATTGTTTTTATATATTATATATTGATATTTTGTAATTATATAAATGTACATAAGTTATTTCGATCAGGAATCACAATTGAAAGGTACGACGAAATATTTACATATCCGCGCTCTCAGCATGTTCCATTCCTATATTATATACTGCGTTTAAGAATTTTAAGGATTTCTGTTCTGAGTAATCTACATATATAAATCAACAACATATTTACGTCGAAACAATATATGTTATCCTGTAATAGTATAATACAATGATGAAATAAACAAAATGTTTTTACAGGTGAGATCTTTTTGCCTTATTAAATCGATTATTTATTATTTTAAAAATCATTTAGATATTTATGTATTTTCAAATATGATTTGACAATCTAGGCATAAATATTTATTCATCTCTGATATATGTATTATTTATAATTATATGTATGTATATAAAATTTATAATTGGATTCTGATTTTATAAATATCTTACACAATAGTAATATTGTACTTTTAAATAACAGGTTTATTGTTACGTTTTCTAAAACTATGCGTGGAAATATTAATTCCCGATATTGGGAGCGAATTGGTTGTTCGAATTAAGCCGATCTAGAAAAATGGATTACGTCGATCGTATATGTCACGACAACGATGTATTCGCAAAACATCGGGAGGCGGCTGTCGGGTCGTGCAAAGCTGTGACACGACGTGAAAAGCAGGATCGTAGGGCAACAACGATGCGACGAACGAGGCGAAACGTGTATGATCGAAAAGTAGGACACGGCCCACACAGCGGAAACAACCGGGCCGAGGCACGGATGAGAGTTCGAGACCATCGATCCCGCTACTTGCGGGGGTTGTAAGGTCGTTAAACTCCGCAGTGTACCTATGTATCTCTTTCGCCGCACCGTCGTGTACTTCTCCCGTATTATTCCTATTGATAGTCCTATCAGAGGATAGAAGGAGGGAGAGATTCGACGGAGCCACCCACGCGAATGCTCTAATTTCGCGCGATCCCATCAGATTTATCGTTAGCATTTTGTTACAGATTTATTTTAATAAGATAGTCTATTATAAAACCATTACCAGTGACAATTAGCAGGAAACTACAGTCTTTGTTATATTTCACGAGACGATTTCATTACAATTATGTGATGGAAAAATTCAATGTACTACATACATATGTGTGTGCATAAATTATAAATTAATAATGAAACTCTGCTATTTTTCAGGATATTCTGAACGATTGAACGCGACCGAGAGTCAATGGGCTTTTAGCTCTGAAAAATCAACTATTTTTCTAGCTCTCTCTCTCTCTTCCCTTTGATTTGACGATGAATCTATCGCAAAATACTTCAATTTTTTATCCGGGAGTTTTTTCTCGTTATAAATCGATGCAATGTTTACGATGTGAAGCTTTTCATTCGAAACGCGGCTCGAGCAACTATCGCGAGTAAGAGTATTCGTCCGAAGGGATCCGAAGAGGGTAGGTCGAAGAATAGACGCAGCGAGAAAGATGTAATTTCCGAATAGTGATCGAGAACAACCACGTGATTGTGCAAAGTATCAACGGGGATTAAGGGTGGTAGGCCTGACTGGTCGATAAGTCGTCCACCCCTTAAGGTTCAGAAAGTCGGTGGCCTGTCGGTGCCTGAGGGTTGTGAGACGCGAGAGGGTGGAAAATAAGTGTTGTACCCCTCGTGCCGCGGTTACGGCCGGCACGACATCGGCAATGCGGCATGCCGAGACCGGGCGTTTAATGTCGTTTCTGTCCGTCGACCAGTCGTTGCACCTGGCACCATTCGCTGGCGAACATACATCTATACAGGTGGAACGGGGTGGCGATATTAAGGACGCCGCGGTCGCTCTCCGTGTAACACGGTTTCGAGATCGGGCACACACGATGGCAATATATATCGATGGCTCCCGCGCTAACGAAGATAAAGACCGACGAACACCGGTGAACGATTTGTTATACGCGTTATCTGTAGCACGCTACTTCACAGCGAGAATCGCGATAACGAAGAGCGATAAGGTTTGAAATCGAAGGCACCTCCGCAAAAACGTATAGAAAAGAGTTTGATTCTTCCTACAATTAGTGCTATATATATACGTATTATGATACGGAGAGAATTTATTCTTAGAATTTACCCTGAAAATCATGGTAAATCAATATGATATTGGAAGAGTTTTTATAAGAGTTGATACTTACTTTTATCGCGGATATAAAATATATTAGATTAATTTTACTATTTTATTGTGGTAAATACTAATCAGAGAGAAAGACTCTTCTAAAATTCTTCCAATATAACCATTTTGTCCCACGATCACCACGATTTTCAGGGTAAACTCTAAGAGAAAATTCTCTCCGCGTATATACATGGTATTAATTGTTGAAACGTCTGTTCTGTTTGCCTTTTTATTATTTTATTTTTAGCTTATAATGTTCTTATTTTATCGCTCGTGCAATATTCTCGTACGTGATCGCGTTAATCCAGCCAATAACTAGCGACTAATTTTGTTAACTGTTACCCGAAACGCTGTGCATACATCTAGCTTAATTCGTTAAACTAATCTATTTCGCGCTAAAACCGCTAATTTTAATGGAATCTAAATATATGCTCGTTCTCTCGGAATGTAAGCACAACTATCGTCCTACGATCGTATGAGATAATAATGCATAATTGTGCGCGGACAGAGATCTCCGATTTGCGGTATACACAGAAACGCGCGATTTATTTGCTATCGCTCTGTGAACAAATGATACGATTGTCGATGATTTTGAGCAGCCACAGCTCTATCTTTCAAGATTTCACACTACCTTTTATATTGCTCCTTCCTTCACCTCTCTCTTTCTTTGCTCGTGAATAATGTATAAGGTTCCGGTGTATTTGTTCGTATTATCGCTTTGATGGTTTAAAGTTTACAATACCTATCGTACGGAAAAATCTTACGTTTAAAAGAAAATATTAGTCTTTTTTTATTGTTAGCTAGAAAAATATCTTAATTATTATTTGAGAAAACTGTGAACAATTGCTAAATAAATTCTGTCTTCTCTCTTCTGCGTTGGCAGCATATTTTATTAATAATAATTATTAATATCAACGTACCGTATATAATCGAGATAATTTTTAGATAAAATCATTGACCTATAAATATAGTTGGCGATTAAACTGCGGAAACTATGGTGCGAAAAAGTATATAAAAGATTTATTAGATATATTGCGAGAGAGAGAGAGAGAGAGAGAGAGGGATGAAAACGAGGGATCGTATAAAAGAAGACAGAGGACAATTAAAACTACGAACTACGTCGTAAAAGATGAAACTCCGTTAACATCGCAGCCGTTCGTGCCAATGACTTTTTATCCATTCACTGTTAAAACGAGCATGCCATGTTTCCTGTCCCATTTTTCATCCCCGGCTTTCTCATTTTCATCTTCGTATCCGACTGAAGAGTCGTTCTCGAAGTAATAAAGAGTATCGATTATATAAACCCTTGCCGAGTACGCTATCCTATACGGATAATTCATTAGTTCTCTCTCATACTTTTGTTAATTTTATATTGTTTTTTCCTTTCTATAGAACTGCCCGTTATTCGTTTGACAAATATTTGTTATGAATTGTTTTTATTTTAATTAAAGCCACATCACAGAAAGAACTAATTGGAAACGTGCCACATGCAATCTCGCGGTAAACGAATTTTTTAGCTTTTACAAATATGACAGTGCAAAAATGTATAAGAAAATTGTATCTTGATTGAGAGTACAATTTAATTTAAAATATTGAGTCAATATTTTAGCGCGCATTATTGTAAAAATCTGTCTTTTATTTCTCGTAATGTCCTTTTTATGAGAGAAGGTACTAAAGATTGTATACGAGCATGGAAAGTATCGAGATGACAAGCGAGAGAACCGGAGTAAAATTGCTATAGGTGTTTACTTTATCGCTTCCAGCGTAATTTCTCTGCAAAGTACTTTGCGAGAGATGCACGGAGAACTTAACCGTGCGATATATACCGTGCTTTGGTGGCGCGACGGAAACGTGTAGCTTTTAAAATTAGGTCGCGGCTTTGTAATCGTGATATAGCCGAAGGTGGTATTCTTAGACCAGCAGGGTTGTAAGTCCAGCGTAACTAGTTGCTTCGTAAAAATTCAATTTGATATATCATCCGACGTGATGGCACTCGGGCGATGCATCACCCTTGAAACGAGGATCGACGATCTGACAGATAAACATCCCATCTCTTATGGGGTAACGACACGATTACCATCGTTCTTGATTCATCCAAATGTCCCGACTTTGTCTTCGATAATGAATAGCGCGAATATATACTTCAACCCTCTTTGATCTATACATACTTACAATTAGACGTATATGTTATACAATTTTTTTCATCAACGAGAATGTATATCCATGTATTAGAGATTATAATATTTTAATATACATATTTATGTGTATTCAAAATTTGTGATGAGATATTTGAGGTAGAATTTTGCTATAACTTGGTGTAATAAGATAGTATTTTACTTTAATCAACCTTCTCTGTGATGCAGTATCCAGTTTCGATCTTGTTTAAGAGAGGGGTATATTGTATATATGTTGGGAGATTTAAAATAACCGAGTTGCGGGGTAAAATCGAGTCCGCCCTGTGAACTTTTTGTGACTAAGATCTATATCGAGAACGTTTGCAGATTGCGCGGCCTGTTCATGATGGACTAGCACGCGAATACAGTCATCGACCCTCTTCGATATATGAGCACGTTGTACAATACCATCAAACTGACCTGCAGCAACGTTTTATTCAATATAGACCTCGATGTGGCGCGGCGTGGCGAACGGCTTCCTATTCACGAAAAAGTCGATCCACCCCTGCTGAATATCATTTTTTACATTTCAGATTATTCTACATTGTATAACACACAATAGACCCGGAGATCCAATTGTTTTTCTTTTTTCTACGGTTCGTTAAAACATGTATAAAAAGTTGAATTTTTCTTTTCTGTTGCAGGAGGAGGTGCATTCTTCGCAGCACGGTTCGATTTTGAATATATGGTGAATTATAAGGTAAGAGCTGCGCGTTAAAGAATCCTCCGTAAAATGCACGTCGTTAAAATGATGAACGAAACATGATGAAAATTCACTTGACATAACACGTATTTTTTTGTGGAGTGAGTGATAATGTTTGATCAGATGGACATCGCGTAGACGTGAACGAAATAACGAGATGTGTTATCTTAAGTTGTGTTAAGGAAAGAAAACATTCCCAGTAATCTGTCATCGTGTCGCACGGTAAGCTTTTGTTTTAACTAGGTGATAAGTCGAGCTGATCTTTGCTCGAGAGGTTTCGAAATTCAGATCTCCGGAAACAGTTACAAAATTCCTTTTAATACGTATACAATTGTACAAACTGAGTGATCTCAATTTATTTAAAAGTGAATACTTTGCGTATACGTAAATGTTATTAGACATACACTGTATTACGCAATAATACGCGCACGTGTTTACTCCATCCATCGATCCGCGCGGGCAAAAGGAAGAAACGCGTAACGATCGAAGCTAAAAAAATTATTTGAGGCGAAAAAAAATGGAAAACCACGAATTTCCGGCTCGAGTAATAACTGTACCAGATTTTTTAGATATATACGCGCGCGCGCGCGTATATGTCTAAAATACATATATAAAAAGGGGATGATGTACCCGAGCGCGCGCGCGCGCGTTCGCTCGCAACCCCTAGTACTAGTCGCGGAATGGTGTACAGCGTCTCGAGAGAGGGGTGCACACTTATTGGGGATGCACACTAGCTCATGCGTTCACTTACACATAGGACGCGTGTGTCGGTTACCTACCTACGGTTTACCACATGTTGCGCTTCGAGGTGCGAGGGGCGCAAGTCAGCCAGGAGCCCGGGCCATCAGGATAGAGACGGAATCTCTCCCTCTCGGCTCGGTCAGTTACGCGATTGCTAGCGTACGATTCGTGCGGCCGGAGTGCGCCCCGAGCTTTTACTGATCATCAACAGTGTTGATCGGTGCTACATCGAGTGCATCGAACTGACAGACGAACGCGATCGTGCTTTCATCTCGAAACGAATACGAAGGTAAATCGAGTGTGATATAAACGGTGTTAGTGGCTCGAAGAGATGCTCGAACAGTGAGCGGAAGCCCCGCTTTCTCGACAAGGTCGGTATTATCGAGGAAAGAAACCTTGTCGAAACCTTCCTGCAATTATGCACGTCGCAAAAGAATAATGAGATTACGCACGCATAAAATATATATGCCATTATTGAGATTAGAACAGTAGAAAGCATCCATAACTGTAAAAGGTGATTCGTCGTTTTACGAGTTTTAATCGATTTAATTTATAAGATTGCTTCAATTAATATATTATAATTATCTGGTACGCGATATTATTTATGAAATATAATATAAGCATATTCAGTAAAATAATATAAATGTCATATGCACATAATTTTTGAAAAGAATTCTTCGCAAGTCAATAAACAACCTGTTGGTAAAAGAAGCTCTTGAAATGAAAAACGAGAAGTACATATATCATATAATGTCATATGCAGTGTAAAAAATAGTACAGCATTATTTTATTATATAAACAGATTAAATTCTTTTCAATTATTTTTACAATTATTCTCTTTATATACGAGAACGTTATTTTGTTAAATTAAGTATTTAAGTAGATAAAATCTCATATTTTTCTCATCTACAGAAAATGTTTAGTTTCCTGAACAGTTTTTAGATTTAATAATTAATATGAATAATTAATATATTGTCTATTTCATACAATATCTTGTGCAGAATATTGTATATAAGTTTGAATGAGTCAGACATGAGTTCTCATATTTCTTAAGCATTCATCTATTTTAATTGCTTTAACATATACAAGTAATTATTGTAATATAATTACTTTAAAACAGATTTGATAAATCTGTTGGAACAATTTTATGTCTATTAAGGCAGGTTTTTCCTACCTCAATTGGTAAAAGTATTTTAATAGCAGATTGAGACCTTTCCAATTTATTAAATTTCGATTATTACACATGTTTACAAATTAATATAAATTACATAAAATTTCTCCATTATGAGAGATATGTGTTTATTAATATTAACATACACGTACATTTTATTTCGCTCTTTCATATATTAAAAAAAAGAGTTTGTTCAATATACATAATTGAGTCCGTCAATGAAAATTTTGATAAAAAAATGTAAACGATTCTTTATTTTTAACGTTAAAAAAAGGCAAATCTGTAGCACACATTTTCGCGTTAAAAGCGAAAAATTGTAAAACCTATACGAGAGGACTCTATCCTTTTTGAGAGCATTAAAGAACGTCGTATGTATGCAGCGCACGAAGCTGGAATAATTTATACTGGATGCGTACAGGAAACACAGAGATTACATAAAATGTCTCTTATCGACAATGTGAAAAGTTTATCGATATTTTTATAAATATTTAATACACATTCTGTGACGATTTGTGATGTTTCGCACGTTGACTTATATAAATACTTCAAAGATTATGCAATAATAACTAACTGCATCATGTAGTAACAAAATTAAGCATTTAGTCGCGTTATTATATATACGTATAAACATACATATATACATATCTAAAATAATTAAAAACATTTATTTCCCCCCAAGTAATTTTGTGATTTATATCTTTATGTAAAATTGATATACGCTATGAATATAAACGGAGCCGGACGGTGAATTCATATAATTCATTAAATACACAAATGTCATGTGTACGGAATACACGAACGAGGCATATAATAACGAGCACGCCTAATTTGCATATATATTTCCGAGATAGACCGCAAGACGCAATAGTATAACCCGGTTATTCGCAAACGGTCAATGATTTCTCAGCTACTCGGAAAATAGAAAACGATTGGATTAGTTCCAGAAAATATATCTTATCGTATCGAGATGGAAATGCGCGCGTTACAATAGCACTTTGTCTGGTAAAATGGAGAGGTTCGATTGACGTTGACTTACGGAATTCTCCGATGGGTTGTGTATTTCCGTAAAATACGTTGTTATGCGCGCGACGATGAATTCAATACGAACGCGGGAATTTCGCCGAGAACCCAGCGACGTGAGAATTTTGCTGAGAATGTGCATACAAAGATTACGAAATCATCTCCGAAATATGCGCTTCCCACGTCTCATCAGTATATCTTAATACCGTTTTAATAAATCATTTCCATTACAATAATCTATCTTATTTATTTTGCAGGTTCGTGCGCTTAACAGCGCGGTGGAGCGGCCCCAATGCCGGTCAGGAAGGGCCTTCTCGCTCCACAGAATACTTTCTTGGATACCATCGCGACTCGTTTCGATGGAACCCGTAAGTTCTTTTCTTCTTAAGTTATATTTCTTCACTGAAAAAAATGCTGTTGATTCAATTAAACGTCGACGTTACGAGCTGCCATCAACATATGCAGTTGATTCATCAATATTTTGTTAATTCAATAACATTAATTAATCAAATCAAGATGTCATGTTTATACTAATATATTGATGAATCAACTGCATATATTGATGGCAGCCCGTGACGTCACGTTTAATTGAATCAACAGCATTTTTTTCTCAGTGTTCGTAAGTTTTATTATGCATTATGTTACATTTGCGTATATTAATTTAGTATTAAGCGAAACAAATGTTGACGGAAAAAATTTAAAGGCCCGAACTCTATTAATTTATTAAATTAAGAATAAATTCTTTATTCACTCTACTACGCAAATAATTCGCCTTTTAATTTGTCTTTATAAATCGAGAGAAAGTTTTACTCGCACAACTTTGAATAGTCGAGAAACGAGTCGACCCTTTATTTCGTTTTAGCTTTGATCCCTATATGCAAGGGGTGCGCTCCCCTATATGTTCTTTTCGCATGTTGCTAGGGATACGAAGAATGATATTCAAAACGCGTCTCGATTTCCGCCCGTGTCGATGCGCGAAAAGATAAATTATACAATGAGAGATTTAAGATTAATAATATTTATATTATGTGATTTTAATTTATAAACGACATGCTAGAAATAAATTCGGCTCGCCAATTCCATGTTTATCCGCTTCGTTTATTGAAGTCTCGCCCGAGTTTACCTAAATATCCATAATACCAACGTCCTCGCATCGCGTAGCTTCCCTTAACGCCTCGATGCGTACATCGGCATTAAACTGCAGAGACATTAACGATGCGAAACGTATAGGATGTCGGTGTCGATGGGCCACAGCTGATGCAGAATCATAATGACAATGCGTTGCATGCATCCGTTAGATGCATGATTGAAAACAAATTTTCTCGAAGCGTCAAGATTTTTTATCAATCCAGAAAGTCACATAGAATTTTATAATTTGACATAAATGGATCGCAAAAATGTAATAGCCGAATTTTCATTGACGCTAGGTGCCCGACACTATATTATCTGAGTTGAGAAGATTAAGAAGATTAATTTTCTATAGATTCTCTAATAAAGATTATCCGTACAGATTCGAGTGCCGGTACACAACACGGCATTCTTGATTGATCGTAGACATTCCATCCCGACCGCTTATCCGTGTAAATTATCTTCTCCTGATTTCTGTCTTGTGAAACCATAAGTTAGTTAACACCTAACTTACGTGGGTCAAGTTGTACCAGCACCGTTATAAACTTTGGTCCTACAAGCTACGAGAGGAATCCAATTATGGGAAGTAGGCGGCGGATCGCCAACGTCGTCATCTTAAGCGAATTATAGTTAGAGTCGCATCCTTAATAAGTATCGGCGTCGTACTTTTTTTCGCGATACCGAGAAATCCTGCTGACACTTTTACGAAAGATTTCATGCAGGTTTAATACATTCAATTCGTATCCCTATATTTTTTCTGTCCTCATCTTGCCAATTTATTCTTTTTTCTTTTATATATTCTTGTGTCCCTTTATTCTGTTTTTTTTTTACATTTCTTTTTTAATTATTCCAAAGTTAATACAGCTTTTGCATTCTGATTTCGATTTTTTTTGTATAATTACTTTTTTTTTTGAAAAATTGAAACTATTTCTCGTTGTGTTTTCGGTTTCTATTGTTATGTCAACGCATTATATACACGATGCATGGACAACCCCTCGCTAAGTGAACACGTGATAAAACTTTGCGACCATCGACCTTGCGTTTCACTATGCGTCCGCCAGTAAAGCATATAATATTAATTCCACATCGGCGCCGCGATGGAATCGATTCTGTTGCGAAAATTGAGCATTTTCGTTCTAATTCTTATCAAGTATTTTGCATGAGAAACAGTCTACTTGTATTCTGTTAAAATACTTTATTAGCAATATATCGCGCAACTTCTGATATCAACATTATTTTACGTGTGACGAATAACAATTATTCTAAAAGGACAATTTATGATATATATTCAAAACATAATATATATTATGTAAAACTCGCTGCACGAGAGAAACCAAAGGAGATAATGTATTAAATAAATACTACCACATTATATACACGCACACATATACACATATGATGCATCTCTTGTATATATTGAAACTATAAAATTTGAATACATATTGTTTATATAATTATTCGATCTATAATTATATATTTATATAAAATATAGGTATGTGTTTTGTACTAAATATCTTTTATACGTAAAATGATTATTATTATATTACTGTTATTTTAGATTGTCGTGATGGTTTGGCTTTAATTGTTATAACTTTGATATAAATGCATATGTATTTTGATATAAATGACACGAAGTATCTCGAATATAATTTTAAACTGTTATGAATTAAATTAATTATAAATTATTGTAATTGTCAAAGAAAGAAGTTGCTCGTATTTTCCGAAAATTGCATTCGATAAACTACGGCTGGCGCAATCGTGACAGTTACTACTTATTTTATTATAACTCGCGACGAAATGGTTTAAACTCTCGATGATAGTTCAAATATAGCAACGAAATTTCTATTTTATTTATTTTTAACACTCATGTGATATATATAAAGGTATCGTAAAACGATGTTTTTTTTTATTTGAACACTCCTGGCTTCTACTGTTAAATTTATTTTTATTTCTCAAATATTTTATACTCGAAATTTGAATATTTATCGCGAAAGCGTATGCGTATTTCTTTTTCAAAAGCTATAGTAATTTTTTAAATTTGAAAACCGATTAAGTGAAAGAGATGCATAAAATATTATAAATATAATATTTACACGCGTTTACGCATACGCGACACTCATTTACTCTATACACAAATGTAATGTAAAATATAAATTTCCAATAACTAGGGCGCATCGCATAATGCTCTCGACTTGAAAATCGCTTTAAAGACGCACGGGAATTCGAGCATCATAAAGGAGATAGGTGCACAAATGGACGCAGAGCGCGAGCCAATATCTCGGTCAGTTTCCAGCTTCTAGTTGTACTTGGCAGTGCACGGGTCGTGTATCCGTTCCGAATCGCTATCACAGCTGTCACAATGTTTGAACGTTTGTGCATTGAATGACATTGACGCACTTGCAGGGCGAATTTCAAGCTATGTATCACTTTGTGATATCAAAAAGTTTGTTCATGCTGCTACGTGTATATAAATATACATATGTAGGTATATATATATATATATGTATACAATATCGCGACGATAATTTTCGAGGCTTTATATCTCGTATCTCCATATATTCAAAGTGTCGCTCTAACACGTTAATTGCTACGATCACTTACATTTCTCGTGACATGAGACGGGTTGTATCGACAATGTTCGATCAATATTTAACAATAGCTTGAATCGCCGTTTAATCTTTTTGCATTTAAAGTGCCACGTGTGTTTTTCGCAAATTTCGAGCAACAATTTTAAGGATAAAGAGGCTTTAAGAATCAATATAATTAGTGACAAATCATCCAAGTTGAATTAACGATTCAATAGTCACAATCTAAAATTTGTGACATTTTAATACACATATATCTCGATAATATTTTCCACGAGATAGTACTGATAAAATGTCAGAATTTTCATGTGTAACCGCCTGATTGTTTATTATGACATGCGGATAAAAATATATTTTGATGATGACATATGCATATACACATATACAATATATATTTGTTGAAATCCTTCATAAGAAATTTATGATTAAAAATTAGTATTATATTTGTCTATGTCTTATATTTGCTATTGTAACATTAAGTTGGAAATCGTATTTTAACTACAAAATATGAATCTTATTATCACTTATATCAATCAAAATTCTAAAAATGCATACAAAATAGTGAATATATCTATGTGTGTGCAAAGTTCGCCAAATATACATGTATATTACTCTTGCAAAGTTACGATGTAATTAATATGTATATTCTTCAGCATAAAGTTTACGTTAAACTTAATTTATTGTACATATGCGTATATGTATTGTATATTACAGCGGCTTGCTGATGTAATGTATAACCTTTTTGTGTTAGCGGCAATACACTCTTCGATAGATAGGAAGCGCATAAAGCAATCTAAGTATCGATCCAAGCGACGAGGATAATGAGATGATTACTAAATATGGATAACTCGTATCTTATCGTAAATAATAACGGGCACTGACGCAGATAGATAACGATACATACACCTTTATGCTATTTTAATTATTGTAAAGATATATATATATATATATATATATATATAAAGAGTCTACTTTAAAACAATCACAAAAATAATTTGAGATGTAACAGTGAAACAAATCAGTCAGTTGATAGGACATAATTTAATTCTAAAAATCATTTATTTTTATGATAAAATTTAACAAGATTATTTTTATTGTGTTATTAGTTGCAAACAAGATATATAACAAAGTTTAATTTGATAAATAATTTTTTAACTAATTTTTTGCTCAAAAAATATTATAATCGAATTTGTTGTGTAATAGCATAAATCAGCATTATTGCGCCTAGTTATATTGATAACATTCAGTCGTCATAAAAAAAGGAAAATTTGATCAAAATGGGACATCAACCAGATATGAATTGGAGAATCCTATTTCCCAGAAAAAGAATCCCACAAAATATATTGGACGCTACTAAGGGACAAACTTGGTCACACGGGATCCCATAAGCTTTAACTCTCGTATTTCTCAAGGTTAATCTCTTGATACCCTCGCCAAAAAGACATTGTGATGCAAAGGGAGAACTATTATTTTTCCTTAAAAAAATGAGGAAAACTGTATCGGCATCAAGGGAAACTGTATAGATTAGATGAACTCCTATTTGAAAAGAATAAAGATTGTTTTCTTTCCATTAAGAAGAGAGAAATATTATATATAATTCTCTATTTTTTCGTAAATCATTAATTTTGCGTTTACGAATGATATTTACAACGCATTGTTAACTATAGCAAATATGGAAAATCTTTTATGATATTCAATACATAATGAAAAGGAGATATAATATTATATAATAATGTAATAATATTTATACAATTAATAATAATATTAATTATTAAGCAGCAATAGTGTTATTAAATCGCAATGTTTTAGCAATGCAAAAAAATTTTAGCAATTAGTAGTGGAAATAATAAAACTAAATTATTCATTAAGACATCTCTCAAAAGAACTATCTTTCTTTATTTTAATCTTTTGAGCAGAATACGTGTTCATTGTATATTAATTATTAAGATTTACGTTAAACTCATACACAAACATCTTTGATCACTTGATGACAAAATCTTGAATTTTTATGTTCAAACAATTTGCGACAATGCTATGGAACATGAAAATTGATTTAAACCGCGATACAAAGATAATATATATAGGGGCTCTTCTCTCCATCGTATTCAAAATTTTGGGAAGGTAAGATTAAAACCGAGGATTCATCGTTCCCCTAGCGGAGATTGTCAAGCACTTTATAATAAATTTGCGTGAATAATAAATCTTATTTCCGCCCTTGAAATTATCTTGATAAGCGAAATTTCTATGCGACAACACTTTTCTCATATAATAAAGATTTAATGTTTCCAGGAAAATTTATTTAGCCATATAAAATTAATTATATATTGCAATTAATATATTGATATGAGGACTGCAATTAATATATTGATATGTTACGTAAAATACGTATATATGAAAAAGAGTCTTATAATCTCAAGCGCATACGCGAATAACTATCTAAATCCTTAATTAAAATCAATGTGATATCTAACTCTATAATAAGATACCCCCTTGTCACGAGTTGCACGGAATATAATCCTGAATAAGACGTTCGAATGGAAAACGCACCGCCGCCGTCTTCCAATTAAGTTTGCAATATATAAATTAATATTACAACTAATTGTAAGAGTCTGCTAATCAATTATCAAATGCACTTCGGAGACGGCGAGGCTGACATTGTTCCATTTTCGAGTTAGTTCGCTCTTCTCGAAACGAAGATGTAGATCTATGTCACTTATGTAGTCATCTACATCTGTAACGTAAATTGCGCATCCATACTGTTGCAACACGGAAATAGAACGCGAATATGGAAAACAATGGATAGTGCTCCTTGGATAGGTCAATAACCGTTCGCGTAATATCGAGAAGGGACTATATGCATATAATATCGACCCGTGGTCTACGCTGATAATGTATTTTAACCTCGCAAGAACATCTCGCGCGCAAGAATAAGCGTTACTCCGTAAACTCGAAAATGAGTATTGGTCCAAGTTAGATTGCTTCAAAGCGAAGCTTTTGAACCAGCTTCGTATTTTGGACACGACTGGTGGCACAATGTCACCTTCGTCAAGCAGTCACACTTACACGTATACTCGTCAACTTTAAGTCTCTCAAATATATAATATTATATTAAGTACCCCATTTGAGGGTCGTCAATCTCTCCCTCAATCTCTTCACGACAGCACAAAACTTTTAAGTAGACGCTTCGAATTTTTTTTGGCAGGAACGTCTTTTATGCAAAGTCTTTTATAAGGAGGAAGATATTTTGTCACCTGTTATAAAATTATCGTTTAAAATTTTATCCGTATTTGAACTTACAACTAAATTCGCAAAACGTGATGAGGCTTACACAAGGTCATTTAGTATCTATATTTGTTACTTTTGTAATCCGTGATAATATCGCGATAATATATTGCGATTAAATATTGAAATGCGTGACTAAAATAGTACTATGTAAAGTAATTATTTATTTATTATTTTTGACTGAATATCACGTATATGTAAATCCACATGGATATTCTGTGAGCTAAAGACAACGTGGAAAACGTGACTGACTGCGGCAGATACTAATAGCATTGAATGTATCGCAGTGTTATTCTCTGTTTTCATGCTAATACAACGCTAATTATCTCAGAATCATTGTAATTGAATTGCATTCAATTTGCATGCAAATTTGGTCTTTATCAACATTATATACATATATATATTATAAAATATACAAGTATATATTGGATTGCTTCTTCCCCTTCTCTATATAAATGATGTTATGTTAATAATAATATATTATCTGCCTTTATCTTATTGAATGATTCAATTTAATTTTTTTAATTTATATAATCAACTATGTATATTTTCAAAATTTTGTAAGATTACGATCCATTTATAAATTATACAAAATAATTAGTACGAACGTATTATAATTGATAATATAAATGTATAGATGACACACATCTTTTTATCAATCCAGTTCACAAAATACGAAATATTGCGTGCATACTGAATGGATGGAGTAATGAAAGAGATAATTGTACGTATGCAATTCGGAATCAATTGGAATTTCTGTTTGCAAAATGAATTTCTCTTTATTATTATAAACGTGAAATTGACAACTCTTCAAACTTTTAGATTATTTAAGCTCCCAGTTATCGAAGTATTAAATAACCAAATATCCCGTTCTGCGAAAATACAAAAGCTGCTCACGTTTTTTTTATTGCTTTGCGTTATTCGATACATCCCTTTAGAGACATTTAAAAATCCGATTGCGCTAAGACTAGGAAAATCTCGTTTGAATCCTACAGAATCCCTCTAAAAAATTGGATAAAGAGAAATCGTTAGTCGGGATCCATTGGTAATGCGCGAATCGAAAGCTTTCTCTCGTGAAAAACGATTTGATTGATGCTTTGCTCGATACGGAGTAATTAATTATTTTGTTTGATGAGCCGTTTCCAACTATAACTTGTGGCAATTTACTTGGAGTTCAAAAGTCCCTTGGGATCTCCGTAATTATTTGACGTTACCTTCGAAACGATCGGACGAAACTACATTGGTAGACTTTTCCCCGAGCGATTCGTTTGTCGGCACTAATAATCGTTTAGAAGTTTGCAATCGATTTACCATTTGACCAACTTTCAAATTAACACTTCTAATTTTATATTTGCGAGAAATAAATAATTCAAACTAAAAATGGTTAAAAATGTATACGTATAAAATAACATCTACAATGTGTATATGTGAAAATCAAAATGTTAATGACACAGCAATAAAAAAATGCATGATGCAAACGTTGCACAGCTGATTATCCAGCTCATTGAACGACAGCTTTGTCAATGACTCTGACGTCATCGTAACGATCTAAGGGTAAAAGCGATGTTATTTTTTAATGTTACATTTAGCCTTGATATTCTTTCCATCATCTGCTCGTGTCATGCCAAATCATGTCTCCTATTTATAATAAAATTACGTCATGTTAAATATCCAAATACACGCAATGTTTTATTTTTAAAATTCAATATAAGAAGTGAACTAATAAGAATCAAGAGCTAAAGGTAAGCGCAATTAAATTATGTAAGATCTTCATTAATTATGAATTCGGTCCTTTCGGTTCTTTCTTTGGATTATCTTCAATAATCTAAATGATCAAAAAGAAACAAATTCATTTATTATATCTTGAGCTTTAGCCTATTGTCGTCAACTTTCGTCTTTAGTAAATCTACTATCGATTCCAGTCGTTGAGAGATGAAAAAGTTAATCCGAGATGACATTGAGTTAGTTAATAGAGTTATTAATATTTACTAGAACATAAAAAAAACGTAAAGATGATAAGGAGATTCAGCAACACGATGATAAATAAAACGAAAAACAAGAATGAAAAATATGCCATAATTGAGTACAATACCGTAATATCAAATTGTTACGTGTATCAAACAGATATTTATCACGATATATATTGGAGTTTTTGCTACCTACGCGGTGCTTAAGTACTTAGAATTCGGACATTATACTTTATGTGTACCGAGTCCCGAAAATAAACATAAAACGCGCACAGCTTGTGATGATGAGATGCAATTTAATTTATTAATTTAATGCGATGACCGATGAACGCGACATAGTTTTGTAAACTGGTGCATCTTTCCGAGCATAAATTTTGTCGGCAAAACGAGTTTGTGTCGCATGAAACGTGTGGAAATTGCTACGCCTACGGATGTCAGGACCAGCGTGAGCTCGGAGAGTTGACTCTTGTGCAGAATAACGCAATGTCATTTCTCTCGAATGGAGGAGCGAGGCGTCCGATACATGCATGTTTTTTTTCCTTTTCGCATTTACATAAGAGTTTGCAAAAAATGCATGAAACTTTCTCACTGACAATAAGACAGAACGCGCATTATGTATTACACATTTTTCTCACGCACGACATATTCTGATTCGATTGTGAGAAAGTAAGTCCGGAAACGACGTCGCGTATCGTTCGATTTGATTGTCGAGGGCTTCCCTCTCGTACGACGTGGAAAATGGAAATTAGCACGAATGATGGGGGAAGTTAAACCGTGAAGGGTTAATGGCTAAAAATACAGCTCTATATAGGGGAAAGCTTCATCCCGCTCCATCCTTTTCTTTGGGGCGTTTGATGAAAATGTCAGATTTTTAGGTACGCTTTCGCATCATATGAGGCCTTATACAACGTGTAAGTAAATATATTTTGCAACAGAATAAAAAAAAAGAATGTTGGATATACGAAAAACGAATATGGAAGATCGAGATTAAAAACACTCTGCAACATACACGTTGTAATATTGATAAGAATTTTATGGATTTTATTTGAAATGAAATAATAATGTAAATAAATGTTAAATCGTTTCAATATTTTTTTTCATATCACAAATAAATAATATAATTCGGTGTTACGTAATAAAATCTCTCTATACAAAATTGATGAAGGATTTTTACGATCGTTTTAAGTGCAACTATATACAATTACGATTAATCGCAATTCTTTTTCTGTTCACAGACAGCAACTTTGTACTGGGAAATGCGCAGGTTCCGACGATCTATCCGATCGTTTATTGCTCCGATGGATTCTGCGAGCTGACAGGATTCGCGCGAGCGCAAATCATGCAGAAGGGTTGCGCTTGCAAGTTTCTTTACGGGCCGGAAACGAAGGAGGAAGAAAAGGCCATGATCGACAAGAGCCTCGAGAGCAAGACGGAATTGAAAATGGAGGTTGTCTTTTACAAGAAGAACGGTGAGTTTCAGATATATATTTCCATCCTTTATATATTTTATAGAACGCGAGAGAAGTTACTATTCAGAAATGAAGAGCATATTTTTAACAGAGGAATGTTATCATACTATTATATAACTTTATATATATGTAATATGGATAGGATGATTAGCATGTTGCGGCAAAGGTTGTCGCAAAATCATTAATAATCGTACTCTGTATGCAAAGAATATTTCAAGCACGATGAAGGAATATGTCGATTTGGACGATATTAAAGATGTTTTTAAAGAAAACTCATCATGCAAAACTAAATGAAGTAATCTCGTGTCTGAGCGCCACTGGTACTTTTCACTTTTTTCTCGCTCAACGAGGAAAATCAGTCTACGTTAAAGTTGACCGGGATGCGCCTTCCCCGATGTAACTTTGTGTCATTACTTTGACCTTATTTATTTTTCCGATGATAGCTACTGTAACTAAATTATTTTATTGGTCGCGCGATTGCGTGAATATAAATTAATTGTCACGTAAACTTTCGATATTAAAAAGGTACGCGTACATATTTTATTTACAATAATTTTGTTTTAATAAAATCAGATTATTATATTGAACTACCGTTTATATTGTAATCAATTGTATGTGTTACATCCGCCAACGTAAATAAGACCTCTAAATGTGTATTGAAAATCCAGTTGCCAATGCGAAAGAAATGTCTCGCAAATAAAAAATCAAAAGGAATGTGGCAGCATCGAGAATTTTCTTCTATATACGACATTCCTATTATAGACCACACGGACGCGTACAACATTCGTAATAATTCAATCGTACCGGGAAACATTTAATAAAACGTTCTCTTTCCAGAGTGTAATTTCTGTGATTTATATTTTTAAAAAACAGAAATATATTTAATAAATATTTCTCTTTTTCGCTCTTTTCACAATCTCTTCAAAAAGATCTGATTTTAAAAAATAAAATTGACGTAATTCGTGACTTTTTCGTGCTACGTTCTTTCTATACACGCTCGTGTGTGTTACGTTGTACAATATTAAGATACAAATATCAGAAGTTATTATTGAAAGGGCTCTCGGTAGCGAATAGCGAATAATTCATCATATATCATCCCTACGGCTGCTCTAAAATTGATGGCCGACTATATATCATCTGGATTTCGCTTGCTTTCGGTAAACGGTTCTTCTCGGTTTGCAGGAAGTCCATTCGATTGCCTACTCGACATTGTTCCGATAAAAAACGAGAAGGGCGACGTCGTTCTGTTCCTGGCCTCGCACAAAGACATCACGCACACGAAGAACCTTCAGCTCTGTGAGTTGCACGATAGTGGTGAGTTCTAACCATGCTTCGCTGCTAAATAAATCGCAAGTGGATCGATTTAAATGAGGAATGATGCGTTCTCATGATGCGTCGTGCCAAAATATACGACTCGTATTCGACGTTTGCGAATTCGCATCGCAGGATGGGTAGGAATTTGGCCCTTTACGTCTTTCTCACACAACGCCGTTTAACGATTCACACTTCGAGCACCGCGATCACGCAACACGCTGCACTAATCGCTATTGCAAGATTGAAGTTTGTGACCGAAACGTCAGTCAATGATTGAACCTTTTTTTTTACTGAAAAATTCATTTTATGGTATATTATTTTTATTCATATTAATATACATATATAATATATTTAAAATTCAAATATATTATATATTTATTCTTAATTTTGTATTCATCAAAAAAGACTTTTTTCAATTGGATTATCATATTCTCATTAATATAATTATATATGATTGAATTGAATTTTTATGAATCAGTCGCAAAATTAATTAGAGTATAAAATCGGTAACAAATTTCTCGCAAGATATTCACAAAACACTGAACAATTCACCAATTGAGAGATATATTATTATGCAACAAAAATTTTATTTATATTGTAATATGTATTTGTTATATATTGTCGCTTTTTATAAATTTATATATCGTATTTTTTTTGTGTAATCTCACGCAGTTACAAACGTTTTAAGATAACAAAAATGTGGGAAAAGAGATTATTTTTCATCGAGAAACGCTTCTGTGAAATATATTTACATACTTTTTTTCGAATTACAATTTTTTGCGTGATGTTTATCTTTCAGAACGCTTTGACGTGATTATATGCATATTCTCTGGTCTAATAATGGCACAATTTACAATTCCAGACTCGAATGGCAATATCGACCCTGAGGCACCGCCTTCCAATTACGGTAGAAGAAGAAGTCGCGCCGTCCTTTATCAACTATCAGGCCATTACAAGCAGGACAATAAGCACAAAATTAAGCTAAACAATGTACGTATATTTTTTTAAATTACTACTGCATACTATTTTTTATAAACAAAATAATTTCAAATTGCAATGAACGATATATTTATTAATTGATAAAGTAATCAGAATTTGTTGTTAGTATTTGTTATATTTCAGAAGTAAATAATTATTATGTTTAATCGCGAATGAGATTGCTATCATATTTTTTTTTTCGAATAACAATTAGCATTCACACAATCTTACTTTTTATATAATAAATGCTAATTTTCTAAGTTAGTTTGCATTCAAAATTAAGTAGTTCAAATAACAATTTTTCAAAGTTTTTTTAAAAGAATGAAATGATGAGACAAAAAGTCTTGAAATATATTATTATTCGATGTGTAATGCCGAGAAATGTGATACAAGTCAGGATATTAAAAACTTCCTTTTATACTGCATTACGTTATTCTAGACGCTTCTGCATTCAACTGAACCGCCTTTACCAGAATACAAAACGTCGGCGATCAAAAAGTCGCAATTTATTCTTAGTCATTACGGTGGTTTCAAGTCCTGCTGGGACTGGCTGATCCTCATCGCGACCTTCTACGTGGCAATAATCGTTCCCTATAATGCGAGCTTCATCAACATCGATAGGCCTACCATGGTCAGTGACGTTGTCGTCGAAGCGCTCTTCATTATAGGTGAGTATCCTCTACCTTCGATTTTCGATCCTCTCGGGCTCTTTAGACCTTTATCCCTTATTCGTCCTACCAAGATTCTCTCGCTTAAATCCCCTGAAATCGCTACTTTCACGAATCCGCTATCTAAAAAGGCTACGTGATCTTAAAGCTTTTATTCGGATGATTCAGTTATATTCAGGAAATTAATTATTTCTTTCACTTTGAATATCCTTTTCAATTTAACTTGTCGTATACGTGTCATAAAATTAAACATTATATATTATCAGCACAATTACATAAAAGAGGGAAAGATGTATGCCAAATAAATAAACGAATCAAGATCGCTAAATACGTTTACCTCATAGTAGACATTGATTACTCTCGTTCTTCTAGAATAATGTTACTTGAAAGGAAATGGCGAGAAAGTCTTTTCTTCATTCAATTGGCAACACGTGGAGCTTGTTAAACCAAGAGAAGCGATCAGCCACCCTCTTTTTCGCCCTATCTTGTATTATAACGGCAGTGGCTTTCGATTCAATTGTCGCGGCAGTCCCTCGCTGACGGAAATGCTAGAAATGCCTTTGTATCAATTGATTTACATTGCGATATACGCGAGATACAATCGACGTCGTTTCCTTTGTCTTGCCGACAAACGAAATCCTCTCGAATGTACTTCCTGTAAAATTTTTTCAATTAGGTGACAATATCTGCTAAAAAGATCTAGACCGAGAAAGCAACTCACGTGTTTAAGCGTAAGTCAATCAAGTGAACAAAATTATTGCTTTTACATCTCGACCGTTTTTAAAAGGAAGTTAATGAAATACGTCAATTATAAAAGAATTTAATAACGACGAAAAGAAACGAAGCGCCTTTACCTTTGAAAAATCGTTTGACAATAGACCCTGATCCTTTGAATATATTTTTCCATTGTTCGCAATATTGAGCTAGTCTGCAAATTAATCCTGGAACGTTGGTGTAAGCATTTCCGCAATATTAATCGCAGATACTATATATTGTATACTACATATTGTATTATGAATTCCACAATATAAATAAACAACACAAGCGTTTTCAATATACTCTCGCTATAGTTGAGTATCGATTTTTAACTGTCAAACAAAATTGCGCTGTTGTAAAATTAAACGAGAAGATCAAATTCGCATTAGGTAAAATCCGCGTGAAAAATTGCCCGCATTATAAGTTGAAATAAATTTTTCGTATTTTTCCCCAACCTACGTAATAAAATACTTTGAATGGCAAATTATCTCCTATAACAAATTTCAATATATTAAAATTAATATATAAGATCAGTAAATAGCGATATTTCGCATATCGGGGTGTAATATGTAAAATATCAATGGTCTGCAACTTTTAAACGAGGTTACTTACGAGGATAAGTGGACGTGGAACGTGAATTTCATAGCTGAAATCAAATTTGCAAACGGGATTAAAAGGTATTCATCGCACAAAGCCAAAGTTTCATTCAACTGCTTGACGTTTGCACGAGTAGAAACTCGGCAGGACAACAAGCAGGAAAACCAGTTTCTCTCTCTCTCTCTCTTTCTTCGCTCGAGATTTAGTTAGATGGGGCACAGACTCCGTATTTGTATTTGCTCGCAATTACGATTATTGTTACGTCGCGTCGGAATCAATATCTGCTGTTCGATAAAAAAAGTAAGCTTAATTGACACTTTCTTATATACAGGATGTATAGCGATAATCCATGCAAACGAAGAGAGTCTTATTGCAACGTTATAATTACAATTTGTTCAGCAAGGCTTTACATTTTTTGTATTTAATTATTCAAATGTAAAAAAATGCCATTTAATTATAAAATGCTTAAATTAAAATTTTGTTATAAATCCGTTTTATTTGTTTCTTTTTGTGCTAATAATTTTTCGCATCTCGCATGCATTTTTGCTGTATTCGAGTCATGCAGTAGTAAGATATGGCATTAGTCATACATTTATCTCTTGCTTTTCTAAATTCTAAATGATTTCGATCATTTCGAAAGATTGTGTTTTTTATCGCGAATGTATATACTCCGTTATTCTTCCACAGATATCCTTTTTAACTTTAGAACAACGTACGTGAGTAGAAAGGGCGAAGTCGTCAGCAATAGCAAAAGCATCGCCGTGAACTACGTGAAAGGCTGGTTTGTTGTTGATCTTGTAGCAGCATTGCCGTTTGATTTTCTCTATGCTTCAGACGTTTACAGCGGCGAGGTTGGTATATCTTCATCTGCTTACAAATAGATTTATGGACTAGCCCATTAACTTCTTGCAGAAAGTAGACTTTAAGGATAGTGAGTTCTACTGTAAAATTTAATTCGCAATCTTCCCCGAGAGATTGGTTTCATAACTTTATAGTGCTTTTCAATCTTTAATTTTATCCTTGTTTTAATAATGATGCTTATAAATAAAGTCAAAAAAAGAAATGCCGGCGTTAAGACGTAAATCGAATTATTTGACTTTAGGAGGAGCATGGAGAGAAATCTGTCAATATGTATTATACGCATCCTAATATCGTATGTATATAGTTTTGCGGTAATTACTAATTCTGAATTTCCGCCAGGCATGGACCCGAAGAGAGGCTGAACTAATTAATTTCACCCATCTAATAGAAAATCGATATCTTATGTCAGAATTTATCAGGTTTCTTTAATCGGTATCTTATATGTATATCAGAATTCATTATTAGATCCTAATGAAACATTAATTCTAACGTAAGGTTTCTCGACTATTACACATGTTTTCTTTATCGCTTTTTGTTACAGGATACAGCACACAGTAACATCCATTTAGTAAAACTCACACGATTACTGAGACTCGCGCGTCTATTACAAAAGATGGATAGATATTCGCAATACAGTGCGGTAATATTAACAATGCTTATGCTTTTTTTCATTCTGGTCGCGCATTGGTTAGCTTGTGTCTGGTATGTCATCGCCGAGAAGGAGAGATTGCGAAACGATAAAGATTGGGATTTAGGTAAGTTTTTTAGAACAACTTTGGTATTATATTATTGAAAATAATTGCAAAATTATATGTATAGTACACGACATTTTATGGAGAGTCATATAATTTTTACGAGAAAATGTAATAGCATATACTGATACGTGAACATAAAAATAATTAGTTGACCTTCGAAGATAAGCATGTATCTATATTTTATATAGATATTGGAAATATAAATCAGAAGGTGGCTTTCGTGACCTATAAGAATTGCACCATATCATCCGCTATCTTAAGAAACTATATCTATACATCCGGCATAGAATCGCGCGAGTAGAATTGTAACCATAGAAAATACTATCGACGCAAAAGCTCATGCATAAGATTTGTGCGGGGATTGTTTCTCGATAGTTGAGAAAACTTTCTAAGGAAGAATTACGTTTCCTAACAAAAATAGAAATAGAAAAAATAAATTCTTAAAAAAAATATAAAATTATAGAATTTTATTTTGTATAAAAAAATATAATAGAAGAGTATAAGAATTTTTACACAACAAAATAATGCTTTTATGTTATATAAATGTATTATGTTAGTGAATACTTGATAAATAATATAGAAATGAGTTTTTCAACAAAATCATATTAGAAATTAAATTATGTTGAAATTGTCATTAATCTGTTCTAGGGTGGTTACATACTCTGGCTGAGAGGTTGAAAATATCTGTACAAAACGTTACGCATACAGAGAGCTATATAACAGCATTATATTTTACTTGTAGTAGTTTAACTTCCGTAGGATTCGGAAATGTTTCGGCAAATACATTCTCGGAAAAATTCTTTTCTATTTGCACGATGTTGATTGGAGGTAAGTTTTTGTGTTCTTAATATAATAAAATTTAATATATACACGTTATTTATTTGCAATATATTGACGTATTGATAACAGAGTATTATAAATTTCGCCATATATGTCAATTAATTAAAGATTATCTCATTTTCCGATATCTCTGTGACACATGCGAAATCGCTCGTATTATTTCATGAATATTAAATTATATATATAATTTCTAAAAACTTACCTTTAAAAAAAAGGTAAAAAAAAGACCCAGTTAACGGCATGTCAGTAATAAAAAATTATTTATTGCAAATCCATGTAGAATCCTATAAAAAATTAATCGCTCGTATTATTTCATGAATGTTAAATTATATTTAACTATATCGCGTTATATTGTGCGTATTTGTGCGTTGCAGCTCTTATGCATGCCGTAGTATTCGGTAACGTTACTGCAATCATTCAAAGAATGTACTCTAGAAGATCCCTGTATCAAACCAAGTTACGAGATCTTAAAGATTTTCTGGTCTTACATCAGATCCCGGAAGAGCTCAAACAGCGAATGCAGGATTACTTTCAGACTATGTGGTCGCTAAATCACGGTATTGATATACACGAGGTAAAATCACGTTGCCTTTTTTTATCTTTTTCGATTTTAATCAGATCTTAATTAAAATGTTATAATCTATATTGGAATAAATTTTAAAAGATACATTATATAATGTATATTACTGTTATGTACTGTTATGAAAGGTATATATAATATAAAACTTGCGATTGCTTATTATCACAAAACAAAATAATTCTTGTGCAGACTCTTAAACAATTTCCCGAGGAGTTGCGAGGAGATGTTTCGATGCATCTTCATCGTGAGATTTTAAGTTTACCGATATTTGAAACCGCCTCTCAGGGATGTTTAAAGCTACTCTCGCTCCATATTAGAAACAACTTTTGCGCCCCCGGCGAATTTCTCATTCACAAAGGCGATGCACTTTCATACATCTATTATCTGTGTAACGGATCCATGGAGGTTGTGCAAAATGACATGGTGGTGGCAATTTTAGGTAAATCATAGTGTTTAATACAATTAATTTTTCTTTAAAGTTAATCGGTTTATTCAAATTATTGATATACGTTGAATTTGACAAATTTTACATGATATAATTACAAATTAAAATTAAAATGTTTTTAATTATTTTGCGAACAAATTTTATCACTGATATATTCGTTTTTTTTTTATCAAAGGAAAGGGCGATTTGGTGGGTTGCGATATAAATGTTCATTTGCAACATGGAAATAATGGCGGAGGCACGACTGGAACTGGTTCAGTTGACGTTGTAGTAAAATCCAGCTGCGACGTCAAAGCGTTAACATATTGTGATTTAACGTGCATACACATGCAGGGCTTAGTTGAGGTTCTTCGACTGTATCCCGAGTATCAGCACGAGTTTGCGCATGATATACAACACGATCTTACATATAATTTGCGCGAGGGATACGAGGCAGAGGTAATTAGCTCCATCTTTTCATAAAAAAGATTAAGAGTTGCTGAAGACAACAGATATTGCGTATCACTTATTAGAGACGAAGAGAGAATTAAACAAAGAGTTCATTTAGAGAAAAACGCTTTTGCATGTTTGAATAAATATTATTTATTTTTTCTTTTATATTTTATATAGAAGAAAAAGAGTTGTGCTTATATTTACATATGAAATAAATGGAAAAATGGCTTTTTGATATTTATATATTTAAAAGAGTAACATATATGGAACTATTGCTCTTGACGAAGATTATCAAACTAAATTCTAATTGACCGTTGAATTTACCAGTCGTCTTGTCGCCTGAATTTTAGCAGGAATCCGATGTGAACGGCCCGTCATTGACACTGCCCTCCATCAGCGAGGATGACGAGAACGCAGTCGAGGAGAGCGAAACTTCTCCCTTATCGCCACCGAACAAATCACCACTCCATACATCTTCGAGTCCACGACATGCCAAGTTCAGGTAAAATTCTTTGCCTAAAAAATAAGAAAAATGTATCAAAATCGTATTGTGCGTATATATATATATATATATATATATATATATATACATATAAAGAGAGAACGAGAATTCTTTTATAAAATATGAAAATGCTAAAAAGGAAAAGTACATTAAGTAAGCGACAGCAGAGGATTGAAAAGTAAAAAGCTTGAAATAATGGATAAACGTGAGAGTGAAAAAAGTTAATCTAGAGAAGAAAAAAGTTAATTTTTTTTGTTTTTCTGGCTAAATATTTTTTCTTGCATCAGCCTATTTTTTCGAAAAAGGAACAGTATATATATATTAAGTCTTCTTTTTGACATACTTATACTGTAACATATTCATCTAACATTTTCCCAAAAAATATTTCATTTATTTTTCTATTTTAGTTTGAAACAATTTTGATTGAGTAGCATTTAAATGCAAGATAAAAAACGAGGTATAAACGAGGCGAAAAAAAAAACTGGAATTGCAGAACGTAGGAATTGCGCGTTCGCAATTTATTTATACCTTTTCCAAAGAAAGAAATCCTGACTTACAGGATAACACGATTTTCCGCTCGGAGAACTGTGAAATATCCCAAAGTCGTGTTCTCTCAATTCAGACTTTTCAGATATCGGCCGTCTCGATAAATTGTAGCGGAATTTAATCCACTTTCGAAGTTCCTTACTTTTGGAATTCTCACGCCGCTATCTCAATGCCATTTTAAACGCTTTCAATATTTCGAATCGGATATTTGTACAATAATGAACAAAGTTAATTTCGTTTGGTATATCAGGGAGGATTATAGAGATGGGAGACGAGCAGGAAGGGGTGTCCTGGTGCGAGGAGGAAGAGCAGCGCAGGTGATCGCGCAGGAGTCTGTGGAAGAGCACATTCGAGGATCAGTCGAGAGACTAGATAATCAGTTTTCCACATTGCATCAAGATGTTGCGACGCTCAGTTGTGAGGTACACAGATATCTAGCATTATATGCGTTACTTTCCGGCGTAAACGCGGAATGCGAAATTGTTTTGCATTTACTCGACAGCTACCGATGCTTCTCAATCCCTTCCGAGACATTTAAGTCTACGAATAAATTTAAAATAATTGACTCGGAAAAATTTATTCAAATTTCTAATTCCACTCCACTTGAGTTGTAATAATGTAATTTCTGAATTATATGATTCAAGAAAGCAAAGCATGAGAAAAAAAAATATACCATTATTTTTTTTCAACATAATTTTAAACTTTTTTAAAAAATTAATTATTTTAAAAAACTTTAAATTAAAATTATATTAAAAATTATTTATTATACTATAAGTAACGTGCTAAAGAAACATTTTTATTCCGTCCAAAATTAAATACATTATTCATACTTTCAACTGTCAAAAGGAATTTATCGCAATGATAAGATTGCTGTCTTCTTTTGGGTTTGAGTAAAAGTTACCTCTCACATATAAAATTGTGTTATCTAAGGGAGAAACAGAGAGAGAGCTAGAAACTCTCAGGAAGACTCAGCTGCGAGATTTAAATGATGCGTATTGTGGATCGACAGGTACGCAACGCCATTCAAGCTTTGCAGATGCTCGCCTGCTCGCCCCAGAGTAATCCGAATTTGCCGACTCCGGCGGCAAGCCGCGGCAGCGGGGTCCTCGCCAGGAGCTCGTCTCATCCCCCGGATGCTATTTGTTGGAATCCGCCGGTGAGATTGATCGACGTGTCGACGCAGACGGATTGGCCGGTCGACTTATTCGAGACCTGGGTGCGGGCGAACCCCCGCAGAGCTCTGAAAGCTCTTGGTCTGGATCCAAACGTTATCTTGAGGCTGCCTCCGCCGTCGCCTACGCCATCCCCATCCTCGCCTCCGCCGCCACCCTACGAACCCTTATCACCCTTGGCGAGTTCCCCGCAGCAATCGCCTTCGCGATCTCTGACGGCAGGTAATCACGTCGCAATATCCAGGAAAGAATTCGCATGTTAATGTTGTGGGCGTAGAGCAGAATTCGAAGAGGCGCACTAGGGATTTATTTAAAATAATTAATCCACGAAAACTTTCTCTTTAAAAGAGAGACGGTTTTTTTTTTAACAAGGCGTACATGGAAGAAAAAAATGATTCCTAAAAATATTCATATATAGGAAGGGAAAGATATTCGTTCACACGTATACGATTCCGTGATATATATGTCTCAACCTTTTCGCGAAAGGAATTTTCTTTTCAGGAGAAAATACTCCCTTGAGTTTTTCCGTATTGCGAAGAGATACATTTTTTTTTATGGGAACACAGATATGTATCTCGTTGCGGGGGAGGTTGCGTATCCGTTCGTGTATTCATTTTACAAGCACCTTCGTAAGGAGTTGCACGATAGTGGACTTGAACTTCCGAAGGGAAACCTCGTAAAGGGAAGACCTTTCACTCTATAACTTCCTGACGGGATATCCCTTCATATACTATACATTTTGAATATAAATATAATATATAATATAAGTATATAGGATAATATAAATTTTTCACAGTTTCTCAAATTTTTCCAATCGTAGTAAACAATCGAGCCCACAATCTCTGTTCCGTATCTACTATATTCGAGATTTTGCGGGAATTTTCGTCGTCGCCGAACGCTGATGCGATAAATTTCAACCGATTTCAGGAAATGACAGCTACGTTTTTGGAATTAATCGTGATGCTCCGCACATTCCTCGAGTGTATAGGCCACCCAATTCAACCTGGGATCCCGACAACAAACTGTGGCATCGCTTTAGCGCCGGCGACGCTGACAACGCGTCGTTATATCAGGCGTTGCGACGTCTTCCGGAGTCACGCTCATTGAAGTTTAATCCGTTCGATAGCTGAGCTGATTAATTATTCCGAGCTCGTACAAAAATGTATTTATCCATGGCGAGTGAAAGAAAGGAAAACAGATCGAAGGAATGCCTGGCAAATTCGTAAGTCTATTATATTTTATTTTTATTAGTAAAATGATAATGATATCTTGCGCATTGTGATAAAATGTTTAAAAAATTTCGATTTAAAAAAACATAATAAATCTGTAAATTAATCGATCCGAGAATAACGCAAATATTAATTCATGCTAAAGGCATTATTGAGGCGTTGAATTTAATTGGCAGATCAATTACATCGTTGGTACAAATTGTTGAACATTTATTGCAACAAATAATTCTAATAAATTTGAAAACGCAAAATCGGAATAATTTTTGACAAAATCAAACTCGACATTGACCCGCGCGAAGCATAATAATACGCATTCCAAAACGGAATTATATAACCGATGGCACAATATCGATTGGAAAATCTCGTATTTCAAACTACGGGCGCTAATGTATTGCATATGCAAATTCAGGCCCACACATCGTAACATAAACAATCGTTCGTTTACGTGACACTGGATTACTCGTCAATTGACGTTTATATTTCCTTTGCTCGTTGACGTTAATCCATGATATCTCGCTAAATAATTCTTAACTCTTGAATGCATCATTCGCTTTCTTTCACCATAAACTGAGATCAATTAAGACTGACGCGATATACAAAAATACGCACATATCAGCAAATTAAAAACTTGTAATATTCTAATTTTATGTAAAAAAACGGAATAGATTATAGTTTTTTTCTAATTACTACATTATATGAATACAAGCATATCAATATCCAATTAGTGCAATGATATCTCATTTAGATATAGTTTAATCGTCGTATCCTTTCATTTATTACGGTCGATGATTAATAAATTAAATATTTGAATAGAAATATTTTTGCAAATATCAAAATTTTTAATATTCTTATGATATAAAAATATAAATATACACATCTTACTAAAGAAAATCTGATGCAATTCTCTATCTTTTTTATAGAAGTACATAGAACTAATTGTCTGCCTCGTATCTCTCAGGCAAATCATATGTATAATAATAAGATTGTATTAAAATATCAGGCAAATACTTGCTGATACTCGAGATACAATCGAAGGATTTCGATTAAATCTTGCATTTCCAATTAGTATATGTTAACGCTTTGACATCGCAGCTGGATTTTACTACGACGATTTTTCAACTGAAGTTCCGATCGTGCCTCCGCTGTTATTTCTATGCTGCAAATGAACGTTTATATCAACCAAATCGCTCTTTTATTATAAAAAAAAGAAATATATCAACGATAAAATCTAGTCGCAAAATAATAATCATGTACATTAAATTGCGTACCGATTTGAAAAATCTCAATTTAAATTTAAAATTATATCGTGACATTCAAATCTAACAAACTCAAGCATTATCGATTATATAAATTGGCGATAAAACGGCAATTATTGATCATAAGAAAAATTAATTTTAAACGCGCATATTGATTTGATTTTCAAGACTCACAATCAATCAACACCGTGCAAATAAAAAAGAGTTTTCTGCAAATGTATTTTCTGAAAATATAATTTTCACACGTATCCGTAAATACATTCTCGAGAAATTTTTTTTATTGGCACGATATTGATTGATGGTGGTAAGTTTTGAAAACAAGTGCAAATCAATATGCGCAATTAATTTTTCTCATGATTAATAGTCGCCGTTTCATTGCTATAAGTAAAATAATCGATAATGATTGAATTTGTTAAATTTTACAATGAAAGTTAGACTACTACAAGTGAAATATAATGCTGTTATGTAGCTCCGTATGTGTAATGTTGGATATTTTCAACTTCTCAGCCAGAGTATATATATAATCAGAACAGATTAATGATAATTCTAGCATATTAAACCACTATTTTCTGCTTAAAGAAAAATTTGATTGAAACGTGATGCATTCAAGAGTTAAATGACTTATAATTCATATATTGTCCTTAGGCATTTTTCTCACTGCCAAACAGGATAATACATGACTATATATATATATATATATATATCTGTCGACTTTTTCATTTCCGATAAAATATATATATATATTTTCCGCAAATCTTACCTTGAATAAAATAAATTCTCGCTTACGTCATTTTAATACACGTAACTCTATACTCTGATGGGATTATATATTATGCAGCTACGAACGTGCATGAACAACGCGTATATGCTTCGAAAAATCCGACATTTACATTTATTTCGCATACGCCGTTACACAAACCGGTGTAACAAATATTCTAGCGTTTTCTACCAAACGTTAAATAACGCGTCTAATTTTATAGAGGTATATAGTTGCGCGCGCATAAATTTTTAATTCCAGCTCGTACAAATGCGCAGCTTAAAAAAAATAAATCGGTCTTCGCTTTAACCGCAGTTAAGCTGCACGTCTCCGTAAATGAGGCCAGAAGCTTCGCGCGGCTCCATCACGCGAGGTATAGTTTCCATAAAATATCACGAATCACGAGTCGTTTATCCAGAGAATTAGGGTAGCAATAATGCACAGCAAATTTCAATGTACACTATCGACGTCCAATCTAGAAGATATTCGTATAATATATTCGTATAATATATTAAGTAGATATATATAATAATAATAATAATAATTATAATAATAATAATAACGATAACGCTGTCGTGTGAAAGATGATGGTGATTAGTGAGCGACGTGGCGCGATTACACGACATAAAATAGCTTCGAGTCTATATCTTGATCGGTAATGTATGTCCAATTACACAAGCTGTGTGCGACACGAGAATCTATATCTAATAACATATAAATACTTTAAGATTTTAAAAAATCAGACATGTATATATACATATATTTAGGGAGAACGACGTTGAAAATATGTGATAAGGCACGGCTTTGGCCATGCACGACTACGTTCATTCGAACACTTCCGTCGTTATTTGTGAAAAATGCTACAACCGAGAGCGAATAAAATATTAAAATGTTGCCGTCAATTGTTTCAATAATCCTACTGAGATATCTAATATCGACTTTAATATTGAAAATAGATATTTATTGGTTTTTATTTATTATCGCGAAAGAAAGAGATCAATAATTTGAAATATCGAAAAGGAACATGGAGAATTACTTTGAAATTTTTATCCGGTATTGTCATTATGAGATACATATAAGATATTTTCACAAATATCGTTGGAAGGAGCTGTTTTATAAATATTTCATATATTTTGTTATACTGTGTTTCTATGCTCTTCGCATTATAATTCAGACGCTAAGTGTATTATAAACATTATCCGATACACACACACACACACACACACACACACACACACACACACACACACATACACACACATATTTTTCACTAATTCTATCACTATTTACACTCCTACACAGAATACTGCGAAGGAAATAGCATAATCCTCCCAGATTTTATCGTAATAAGGTCAATAAGCACAAATATAATAAAACAATTCTCTTCCTAATTATCCACTCGAAATTAAGGACCTCTTTATAATATCCTTGAGAGTATCTTCGACCAACTCTGGCTTTCGAGCGTGTAAGGAGACAAATTAATTATCTGACAATGCTGTTTACGTTAATTCCTTACTGCGTAGTTACCTTTCTATCGTAAAAGGTTGCACTTACAAAACAAGTATGTTAACAATATAAGAATAAATATTGTAGTATATTCTTGCTATTCTACCTCTTAAAAAAAAATAAATATATAGAACTTAACGTTTTTATCGGCAATAATATGAAAGATTTTATTGAAATAATATCGAGATTGAGATAGCTGTATTGCGGAACGGATGCAATGAGAGAGAAATCTTAAGAAGAAATATAAATTTTTATAAAATGTCGGCTTGCCAATACATTTGGCAAGCTATGCTGTAAGGGTTTAATCCAGAAATATTCGATACGTGTGTACATACATATGCTGCGCATATGATAAAAAGAAATATAAGCCACGGATTCATGTGTAAAAAAAGAATCAGGAATTTGAGAAATTGTCCAAACTCGAGCTCTACGCAATCATGTTTCTCATTGTACATTTGTCAACTGAACTAGTTAGGATACTCGAAATGACGGCCTTAAAATAAAAGTTTATTTTTTTCACGATGATAAATATCTGACAGAGCAGGTGAACGCGTAGCGAAGCGAAGCGATCTCTAAAAATGATTCGCCAAGAGCGAAGGACGTGAAACGGAAATAAAACAGGAAATGCGAGAGAGAAAGAGAGAGAGAAAGAAAGAGAACAGATATTTCTTTATGAACGCGCGTTAATCCTTCATAAAAATATATATCTAAACCTTTGTAAATATTTTTAAACACTTGTAGGTGTCTATATAACTTATTGTAAGTGTCTATATAAGTGGTATATTCTTTGTTCAACAAATATGGGTTCTGAAAAATAATAAATAAAAACTAATTATATATAAGTAACATTGTCTAAATATATTTTACATTTTTTGGGAAGTTTTTCTTTTAAAATGATTAATTTCTGCTAATGTATCTTGTATTAATCTATAATTAATTGATTTATAGAAATTTTTTCCTAAAAGAAAAATTATCCTATTAAATTATGAAAGATATAGAATAAGTTTATTGACTGTTAAACGTTGCATTATAATTGCGAAAAAGGTGTAAATTAGATATAAGCTGATGATGTAAATTAATTTAAGACGAGAGATACACAAAAAAAGTCGTCGTAAAACTTGTCTCGTTCGAGACCGTATATAGGTAAATACTTTCGCGAAAACACCTAGCGTCTTGACAATCTGTCAATTACTCCATCGGCGAGGCGCTGGTCCACGGATGCTGCGCGCTCCAGCGACGGACGAAGGTGCGACAGATCGTCTCCGCGAGAGCAGAAAATAAACGTGTTACGGGGGGCTCGTGGCGGGCCATTTTTGGGATCCCCACCCGCGAGATGCGCGTCCTTCCGCCGCGCGCTTTTCGTCCGGTAGCTTTTCCGTTCTCCGCTCAGATACTCGTCTCGCGCCGCTCCGATCGTTCGAGTTAGGTAAGTGCATCATTCCTGATAACGCGCTTTTTCTGCAGTGAAACAAATTCGCTTCGCATTCTTTTCTTCTCTTCCTCTCTCTCTCTTTGCCTCTTTGCCTTTTGTACCGCTTTTGTACGCTGAAACGTGTGGCAACGCTATGCGGAATAAGCCCTCGAAGTCGACTACTGCTGGATGGGAACGATGGAAGAAGTGGCGAAGACGGGATAAATTGCTCGTTGATGGAATAAATCGACCGGGATACGTCCGAGAGTGCCGAATTAATCAGCGCTTGAATTTCAAGGAGATTTAACTGGAATTTGGTGCTTTAAAGCAGTTCGTCGATGTACTTGGCGGTGCCTGTAAGTAGTCTTTTCAGAATGCAACCCTCTACGCGCGGATAGATCACCCTGCGCTTATCAGTAGGAATCAGTAAAATATAGATTTGTATTTTCAATAATACCAGAGCTATTGAAACAAGCAAGAATGTATTTATACAGAAAAAAAGACTTCCTCCAAAATTGTAGATGATTCAACACCGGATTATCTTGTTAGCTCTAAACTGATCTATTTTTGTGATCCATCCGTGCATATTATTTGAAATACTTGACATTTATAGAATATTTTGACAAATAACACAAATTTATCTGATTTATCTTCATTTGATGTGATTTGTATTTAAATTTTTACATTAGGCAACAGACAACGCTTAACTTCTTACAGGAAGTAGTGGATTCACGAAGATCCAAAATGTCTCGGAGACTCGGACAGCTTTGCAAGAGCTTTTCTAATCGCTGCTAAATAATAACAGCTCTGCGCTAACGCTTCAAGATAATTTGCTTTCGGGCCTAACATAAAAATGTCGTAAGTAACATCTGCAACTGTCATCGATTGCATGCGTAGATTCATTTCGTTATACACTTTGTTAAATGCAAAGTACCTGGTATTTTTTTAGAACATGATAATTTTGGTTCGCGCATCGAAAATGGAGAGAACGTGCGTGCGGTTGCTTTCATATTTTTGTAATTTTTCTTCATGGCGAAGGAAATAAGCATGATGTCATTGACATCGAATGAAATGTAATCATCGGCTCTCCAGCAGGCTATTTTTAATATCTCGGAATTCATAATATTATGTTTTAAATAATATATTTCGTTCAATTTCGCGATAATTAATAAATTTTTGGAATAACTCGTTGAAAACTATTTCTCGCGAATTTGTTCTTGCTTGCTACATTTTTTTTTTATTTTCTACGCGTAGATATATAACAAGAGGTAGCTTTATACATTGAAAATCAATATAAAATATTATATTATTACTTGCAGCTACCTTGTTAACGGTATTTCTGCTTTAATGTTCTTTCATGCAAATTAAACATTCAAATCTTCCCCGTCCATAACGATTATTTTATACGCATGAATAAATGATGAGTAAGAGATATTAACAACGAATTTGCATAATATATATTTTACAAACTGCGCAATATTATTTTCCGCAATTCTCGATGCGTTATAGTTTTCTTACAATGTCGCAAGAATGCGCGCATTTTTCCGAGATGTAAATTGCATCCCCTCTCTCTCTCCGAAATGAGTTTGATTCGCGACCCGCAAAATCCGCGCGAGGAGGCCACGATCACGGAGGGCTCACCGAAGTCTTGTAAAATGCTATTAATACTCGTCGGTTAGATCGAATGTCGGTCGGCGGTGGCGGCCAAGTAAAGCCCGTTCTTCTGGGTTACACTCGTTACGTTTTGGCCTCTTCGTTGCGGCGTCAGAGCTCCGCCGTCGTCGTTCCGCACATATTTATAGAATCGGGCTGTAGATGCTATTTCCGTAGACGCCCTAATGCGTGCTCCTCTTCGTGCTTACGCGTTGCGATCAGCCGCCGGAATTATGGCTTTGCAAAATTCGATCATGCCAGAATCCATAATATGATGGCCCGCGCGAGAGCGCGGAAATCAGAGAATTGCAGCCTCCCATTCCGAGTCTGATGAGATTCGAAGCTTCAAAGACACTCGATCGATCTGGAATTTTGAACGGGAATGTCTCTGATTTTCAGCAAACTCGATAATTTCCTTGGGACAGTCCGCAAAACAAAGCCGCCACCATGGATGTCATCAAGAAGAAGATGCAAGCGATGAAGCTTGAGAAGGACAATGCTATGGATAAGGCCGACACCTGCGAAGGGCAGGCGAAGGAAGCGAATCTGCGCGCGGACAAGGTTCTCGAGGAGGTTGGCGACCTTACGAAAAAATTGGCCCAGGTCGAGGCTGATCTGGCGACTAACAAGAACGCTCTCGAGCAAGCCAACAGGGATCTCGAGGATCGCGAGAAATCTCTTACCAACGTAAGGATCCCAAACATCACGTCTAAAAACGGGACATAAGACGTCTTAATCAAGACATATTATAATATGATGATGTTTAAAAAACATCTTGATGACGCCTTTTAAACGTCTTATGTCCCGATTTTAGACGTTGTGTTGTTTGGAATATCATTATCCCGAGTTTGCTTTCGCACACTACGAACCATCGAAATTGCGCTAGAGAGATAAATAATAATATAAGATACTCGATGAAAATTGGCCTCTAATACATTCAATTCTTGTAGACTGAGTCCGAAGTAGCCGCCCTTAATCGCAAAGTCCAGCTTATTGAAGAGGATCTCGAGCGCTCGGAGGAACGATTAAACACCGCAACTGCTAAGTTGACCGAAGCGTCGCAGGCTGCTGATGAATCTAGCCGGTAATTATACGGTTAATTAAGCCGCGCACAACCCTTGATGATGATTACGAGATGTGTGATACGATTGCAGTATGTGCAAAGTATTGGAGAACCGTGCACAGCAGGATGAGGAGAGGATGGACCAACTGACGAACCAGCTGAAGGAGGCTCGTCTGCTCGCTGAAGACGCTGACGGAAAATCTGACGAGGTATCGCGCAAGCTGGCCTTCGTTGAAGACGAGCTCGAAGTCGCTGAGGATCGCGTGAAATCCGGTGAAGCGTAAGTCGCTGATAAGATCGCTATATTTAATGTGAGAACGAAACTCACAATCAGACAATCAATTTCTATTTTTTGCTCTTGCAGCAAGATCATGGAACTGGAAGAAGAATTGAAGGTCGTCGGTAACAGTTTGAAGTCTTTGGAAGTATCCGAGGAAAAGGTATAGTGTGACTGTTAATGTAAACAATACTTGTTAATGTTACGCCTATCTTGCTGAAGGACGAGTGTTCTCGATTCTCTTTACGATGAAAATAAATGCTAAATTCGAACTTTAGATGCTAATTTCTTTAAATATTTTCAGGCCAATCAGCGAGTCGAGGAATTCAAGCGTCAATTGAAGACTCTGACGGTCAAACTAAAGGAGGCCGAAGCCCGTGCAGAGTTTGCCGAGAAGACCGTCAAGAAGCTCCAGAAGGAGGTCGACAGGCTCGAAGGTGAGTTTATATTGCTTAATATATATATATATATATCTTTTGCTTTCCTCTTTCACGGGCGACGAGCAAAAATCGGGATAAAAATAAAATCATCCCACGTTTCTCTATTTTCTCTCAGATGAACTGGGCATCAACAAGGATAGATACAAGTCGCTGGCCGATGAAATGGACTCGACGTTCGCCGAATTGGCAGGATATTAGATTACTTTACTATCGTTATGCTTCGCGTGTCTAATAACTGTTTCAATCTTCGTGACGAGAAACCGACATTCTATGTTTGCGCGAACAATGTTTACAACTCGACGTTGTCGTTCGACAGGAAAAAAGAGACATAACTATGGAGGATATGTCGTGAATATTATTTATTATTCACACATTCGCTATCCTTGTAATTAATGTTATTATTATGATGGAGCTCTATCGATGTGAGCGGGTCGTAATCAATTTTACTCTATTATATTATTGTGTTCGAAAAATTAAGAGAAATTCAATAAACAGTTATATAAAATTAATAAATCGATAAGGGCGCATTTCTGCGTTGAGCAATCGAGCAATATTTTCATGCGTTATTTTCCTACCATTTCACAAAGCGGTATATATAAATCAAATATAATCAAAATAGCGCACAATCGTCCTAAGGTTTATGAAGTTTCCAATATTTCATATAAAAACAAACATTTCCAGATACAATTGTTTTCTCTCATGACGTTTATTATTTTTTAATTATTTAATAAATGTACATATATAGAACGTATATCGTGTTTCAATGGCATATAAATCCAATAGTTTCGCGCATCTTGTACTATATTTTTTAAAGTCATCGACCATATTTTATTCTGCACGTTATCATTTATTTTATTTATTATGTACATGTAAATGAGAATCATGAGAACGTACAGTTTCGGTGCACCTATGAGCTTTATACAACATTGATCTAGAAATTCTTACAAAAACGCATAACAATGAATTTAATGACTATGCATATGCAATTAAATATTATATCAAGCAAAGGGCAGTGGGTCAATTAAGCGTCGTAAATTCTTTCTTGTTAAAAAAAATTGTCTATTCCGAAATGCACATTTCAGTTCTAATTTCAAAAATTTTCAACAACTTTCAAACAGAGAAAAATAAGTTAAGTATGGAATAGATATCGCGAATGTTGCTGAGGATCATAGAAAAACGCACGCATGATTAAATCAATATATATTTTTATATCCTAAGTTTAGTCTAATATCCGTATTAAAAGTAATTTTGCGAATTTAAGTCAATAATCCATGCTGCATAAGATTTATTTTATTTGAGTTGAAGATATTTCAAAATTAAGACTAAATGTACATTTCGAAATAAATAATATTTTAACATAAAAAGTAATAATTTGCGCACTGTTTACCTCGCTAAGCTACTCTTTGCTTGTGATATTCAAAAGCCTTCTATTTCGATTTTAAATATTATGCCATAACGATTAGAACGAGTAAACTCGCGGACACAGTATTATTATTATTATTATTATTATTAATGTACATCGTACATCACTGTTCAAACATAATTGTAGAAACAATGATACATATATTCAGCGCTAAATACGTTGCGTCATATGATACTCAGTTCATTTTACGATACATGTAGATGCCAGCTTTATATAATAATATAGTTTATTATCTAAATAAGAGAAAAATAAACTTTGAATTAGACGATTGTATTTTTAATGTGTTAACAATGGCCACAAGATGAGAATACAAATGTAAAGTTATAAAAAAGGAAAAGATTTGCATAATCGTGTAACAACACGTACTGAATATCATATCACCACAATAAGAATGCGCATAATATGCGCGAATATTTACGAATTTCATAAATAAATTATAATCGATATGAATATATATATACTGTAACTTCCATAGGCTTCTTCGACCAGTTGCACGAGCGAACTCAATATATAACTTCGATATAATGACACATTTATAAAAACATCGTTCGCAAAAAATTATGACAAAAAATTCCGTCTATCCTATCTGAAAAAGACGTCTAAAAACTACATCTAATCTTATTATTTCATCTATTTTTTTTTATGATTGACGTAAAAAATATCTTGTCATCATTTGATTACACCAAGAAAGCGCTTTGATGCATTGCCATAGATAATATACGCGATTAATACGTTCATTAAAATATGTAAAAAATTCTTTATATATATTTTTTAACGCCAATTAAGCAAGGATTAAAAATGGTGTTGAAAAAAAAAAGAGCAAATTCAAATCGAAATACAACAGTCACTGATTAAACTGTAATGTTTTGCATCATATAATCTGTTATAATAATAAATATGTGCGTTCTCTAATTTATATATTAGCTAATTTATATATTAGCAGGCAATATGGCAAAGCCGCATCCATTTCAATTTATAAACGTATGACTTACATATGTACAAGGTGTCTCATTTTAATTAATATAATCGAATATTGCTGAACATAAGGTAGTTAAATAAAATATAAAAATTTGGATAATTTTATTTAAAAAAAAACTAATTTAATCTTCAAATGATTTTAATTAATAAATACAAAATCCAACCTTTTTTCTCTCGACAAAACTTTTAAACTTTTATATGAAATATTTTCTCACAACGTACACAGCCATAGTTTCATAAATATTCAACTATATTAATTAAAATAGAACACCCTGTATGTATGTAATCAATTTCATCTTGACATTTCGCAATAAAATCTCTCAAGTAATGATGATATTGTTTTCAAATAATTTATACAGAATTATTTTTAAAACATTGAAATGTGCTTGTTTGCATAAACATTAACGTTTTCGAAAAAAAAACTCAAAATGCTGATATTTTCTGACAGTCTTTAAATTGAAAGCTTATCAAAAGTCTTTTATGCATATCAATATTTATCATTAAACAAATAGTATATAGTACGATAGTAATAGAAATATTCCAAATAAATTTTCATACAAATATTCGCATGAAAAAAATGAGAAAATAAAAAATAAAAAAAGAATAATTCAAAGATGGGGCACTTGAAAGGATCATTCATTCATTTATCTGTGTGAATGACAATGTATGCCGAACATACGACATAACATTGAGTATTCATCATCTGATAGGCATGCGTACACACATTTGATTCTTCGATCGACAAGACAACGACATGCTTCTTGAAATATGAATCGCATGATATTTCAAGCGCTCCGTTTAACACTCTTATGAATAATACACCGCGAAAATTACACACACATATATATTATACACTCTTTGTTATTTCTAATTATTTCTTTAACATTATCAAAACATTAGACTATTTGATATATCAATTGCACGTAACATTATGACTGGTCTATACAAATGACTAATATTATTACAGGATTACATCGTTGTACTACATTTCCAATGCTGCAAAAATCAGACAGATTGCGTATTAGAGAGAAGCGAAAGTCATAAAAGAAAGCCAGTCTTATTACGTACGCCAATCTTATCTAGAGCACAAAATTAATTAATCAAATCTAAGAAAGAACTGATAATCAAAGAGAAAATAGATTGATAGAGTGTATGTTAATGATATACATGTGTTATATATACATATATATTTGTAATATATATTAATTTTGAGATGCGGAATTCATAATTAAACGAATTACAGATCAATTATTATCAATAGTGTAAAGATCTAGATTGATTTAGCAGCATATACGCTTTTTCAATATGATGTATCCCTTTTTTACACATATATAATAGTATGACTCTCTTTGAGTAGAGAAAATATTACGTTGAGATAAAAAGAATTTCTTAAGATGTAATATCTTATAAGATATCGCAGCATCACACGAGTTATCATGTAACTCTTTTTCATGTACGTTATATTATACATATATAATACGGCCTATATTACGATAAAATTATCATGAATCCTTACTGTGCCTTTATGTTTAACATAAGCATTAGTCTATATGTTCTGTACATATAAAATGTATCAATAAATATGATATAGTCTCAGTATAAATAAGTAAAGTAACCAATAGTAAGGCGTTTACTTATAAAAAAAGAAAAAGGAAAACGCGTGCCTATGTTACAAAGCAGACATTACGCAATCACACGTTTATATGCTTATAAATAATTTCTCTTATGTCACTAAATCAGTGTAACAATGATTCAATGCTATATAAAATCAACTTTGTTGTCTATAATATATATAATAAATGCATTTTAAAGACACTTTTCAAAAGTACCCCAGAAAAACATTACAAACAGTAAATAGCAAAATTTTCATCTATATCCTTATATGTGCTCGCTATGTGAATAAGATAGAGTTATTTTACATAAAAAATTTGAATGTTAATAATTATTAATAAGATTAAAAGAAGCTTTAATATTTGAACAAAAAATTGAAAGATTAAGTTAATTATTTTAATAGCTTTAATATTAAATAAAAAATGTATAAATCGTACATTTTAAATATATATGATCAGTGAGTTATATTCATTAAACTGTATTGTAGATCAGTTGTTTTATAGGCAAAGTTTCTGTCAACCAAACTTTTCACAATAGCAATTTTTTTGAAGAAAAAAAAGAAAGAAAAAATTTAATGATCTATTTTACATTATATTTATTATAATAAAAGTTGTTTTAGCTACATGTATATTAGCCCATTAATGGAGATATTTCTCATTCGTATAAGTTAATGCAATAGTAAATTAGGAAATGTATTCAATAATTTTTCTGGAGTTTTATATTTTTTGTCATTAAAAATTTTGTTATAAAATCATGATATTTAATGTGATCTTACAAGAATGCATACATATATAAATTAATGTATCATACCTCATACTACAGGTGGTCACGATGCAGAGAAAAATTCTTGAAGACGTTGTACAGTTCTACGATCCAATGCACATAAATCAAAATCAAATGTCTTCTTAGTGATTTCATATTGACCAGTTTCCGCAATTACTTGCACGACTCTCTGCAATTCGTCGTTATCCTGTAACGTCATTATCTTTTGTTGCAAATCCTTCAGTTGTGAAACATAATCCTCTGAAAACACTGGTGGTTCACTGATCTCCGCATCAGTGCTGTTTGTGGAATCTGGGGCCACTTGTTCAGCATCGACTTCTATGTTCTTGTCATTTATCACTTGATCAACCGAATTAACAACACGCTCGTCCTTCTCTTTTCTAAAATCTTTCTTTGATTCCTTTTCTTGATGATGAACGGAGTCAACGTCCATCGCGACTGGAGATTGACTCGATGAAACTGGTTCCAAAGGCGGAGACGTCGAATGACCTCTGCTTTTCTCACGTTTCGCTGGAATCTCATCATCTTCTTTGCTTCTCTTTCTTTTTCGATTTTCTCTTTCCTCCCTCTGCTTCCTTTGGATTTGTCCTTTCTGCTACGATCGCTTTTTTCTTTTTCATATCTACTGATATACCAGGAGACAGTGGCTTTGCTGTTTCTGCAGGAGTGGATATTATTGTGTGTTCTGTTTCTTTCTTGGCACTAAGCATCGGTTTACTTTCGAGTAATGAATCGTCATCTACGGAAGGCGCCGAATCGCTGCTATCCCTTTCTGGAATTTCAGTTAAAAGAGACAACGTATTCCCGACCGCTGCAGAAGACGTATTGTTTTGTTTCTCATTTCCCTCTTTGCTTCTTTCACGTTTCTCCTTCTTCTCCCTATCTTTGCTATCTCTTTTATCCTTTTTATCTCTCTTCTTGTGCTTATGCTTTTGTCTATCCTTATCACTCTTGCCATCCTTTACTTTCTCAGATTTCTCACTTTTCTCTGATTTCTCTTTTATCATCTTATCGTCTTTCAATCTATCGTTTTCTTTCGCAGGTTTTGGAGATTTTCTGCCATCTCTTGACGATTTGTATTCTTGAGATTTTTCCTTGTCTGATTTTTCTGCTTTATCCGTTTTCTCAGGCTTTTTTTCAATTGTTTTGATGACATCTTTAACTTTTTCTGCTTCTTTATATTTATCCTTCCTTTCTTTGTCTCTATCGTCTTTATGTTTTTTCTTATCTTTCTTTTTCTCAGACTTGGACGAATCTATATCACTTCTAGAATTATTTTTTGCCTTGTCTGTCTCTTTTTTATCTTTCTCTTTTTCCAATGCAATTTTCTTCACCTCTTTTTCTTTTGGTTTAGGAGACAAAGATCGTTTTGTAGATGATGGAGGAGGACTTAATGATTTTTTTGTAACAGGTGATGTTGATCTCTTGTTCCCAGGACTCGTATGACTTTTATTTCCCGGACTAACAGGTCTCTTAGATTTTTCTTTATTTTTAAGTCGATCCTTAGAACTGTCTCTAATTTTTTTATCCTTTTTCTCATCTATCTTATCCTTTTTATCTTTATGAGGACTATCCTTTGTTTTAATTGTTTTATCCAATTTGTCAGATTTTTCAATAGTAGTTAAAGGTTTAGGAACTAAATTTTTATCAGATTGACTTGTTTTTTTGTTTTCTGGTGATATTTTTATAGGTGCTGTCTTTATAGGAGGACCAAATAATTCTTGAAACGAGTTTGAAGTTTTAGATTCAGTAACGCGATGTTTCTTGCTTTCACTGCCATTTAACTTTGGTTTGCCAACCATTGTAGGTGTTTTTGTATCATTCTTTTCGAGTGAACCGTCTCTACTGGATACTATGATCTGAAATTATAAAATATAATTAAGACTTATATACTAATTCATCAACTGATATTTATAAATTGTTATACATATACTTTATATACAATTTTTCATAATGGATTTTTGTATGGACATTCTACAATATTGTATTTAAGATATATATAATCAAACTTTAGTTTAATTGTATAAATATAACAATCTTTGGAGTTTTACAATACTTACACCTCCACCTTTCAGTAGCTTTTTCTTAAACTCATCAGAAGGATTACGGATTAATTCCGTATGACGTATGGCATTATTAATAGGTGGACCACTTGGCTGCAGGTCAAGATCATACTGTATGTAAACCTTCTTGGGTTCATCCTTATTTTTCAGATAAATTTCAATAGGTATTATAAAGCCTGCATAGCCTGATTCTTTTACCACAAATGGTGGTTCTTTCAGCACCCTTTTAGGGTTCCGAAATGTATCATGTAAAATGAATACCACTGAAAACAATAAAAAAAAGTTATTATTACAGGAAAAACAAACTATCTATTGGTGATAAAAGAAAAGCAATAATCTGAGAAATGGTACCTTTCTCAATGTAATGATGTATATCTGCATTATCCACTCCTCGCACAAAAACCTCCCAATCATGCGTATATCCCTCAGGAGTGGTACGCATACGTAATTGTGATGTGTGTCCACATTCCAATGTGATGCGAATTGCCATCCTCTTGGAAAAAATCTCAATCGTCGTTTCGCAAAAAAAATATACTACGGGGACAACTTAATTTCACAAAATTGTGCAAAAAAAATTACATTACATTTTCATGAATCGTCTTCAAAGAGATCGCTGAATTTGTCGTGCTGCGAGAAATCTTCCTCGAATCGTGCGTAGAAAAGTCTCAGAACGAACGAGAACAGGTCAGAAACATCGCTCCAACATGCAAGAACAATGACAGCGCTTGTTTTCTAATTTTCGCGACACGCGAAATTGGAACGCATCATCGTTCGCACGCGCCTGTTCTGTATGAAAATGTTGCTCGTCAATGTGGAAAACGTACGTCCTACCTCGGGCGGAATTCACCGTGGGTGCATCGCTCGCAAAATCACGCCGCGAATCTCTGTTCTCTCACTCCAATTCGTGCTTGATTATCAACAGGTAAACCGTGTGCAGTCGAGCCTCGTCGGCATCGTCGAACGTTCTTCGTTCTTCCGTATGATTTTCGTGTGCTAATGTGGTATATAAACCTCGTAGTATATGCATTTCGTGCATTTCCCCCGCGATCAGATTCGTTCGTGAGAGAAATTCAAACCGCCACCTATCGATGCATGATTGACTCTTCTGCTAATGGAGTGTCCAATAGGAGAGTCTGCTGTCTAGAGGTCAGCGAATCGTTAGATGAAATCCATATTTTCTATTGGACATCGAATTGTCAGCTGTAGCAGAATGCAAGATACATTTGTTTTTACAAGCTCGTTTACACGGAAGCATTTGATTGGTTAATCTGGACAAAGAAAATAAATCTTTATTGTTTATTTTTTTATTCTTAATCCTAAAATTAATAAATTTTAATTTTAATTATATTGTTAATTAATTTCAGATTTAAAACATTATAACGTCAAGTAGAGAGTGCATTCTATGTAGAAGTTATATATCTATGGACAAAAGTCTCGAATATAAATATTTGATACATAAACCTGTATGTATGTATGTAATTTCATTAGATACTATGTAATAAAAATCTGTATTTAAGATAACAAAGTGACAAGTTAATTTATTATCACACTTGATGCTATAAACAAAAATATAAAATAATTTTTAGTAGCAGGAAGAATTGATAAAAATGTTATCAGCAATTGTAAAAGAACATCAGAGCAAGCAAGTATTGAGAAAAGAAAGACAAGGTAAAATGGAAATTGTACAATTTTATGACAAAGATAATTATTATATTTATTAAGATGTATGATTATTTTAACAGAACAAAAACGAAAAGAAGCAGTTCAGGCTGCAAGCAATTTGACGCAAGCTCTTGTTGATCACTTGAATGTTGGGTAAATTGAATTTTGTTTATGATTTTATACCTAATATATACATATATGTATATATATATGTGATAATAAGAGATATTGTTACAGAGTGGCCCAAGCATATTTAAATCAAAAGAAATTAGATGCAGAAGCAAAGCAGCTGCAACACAGTGCAACCAATTTTGCCAAACAAACACAATTATGGTTGAATTTAGTAGAATCCTTTTCGAGCTCTCTAAAGGAGATTGGAGATGCGGAAAATTGGGCACGCAGTATAGAAGGTGATATGAGAACTATAGCCACTGCCTTGGAATATTCGTACAAAGGTATTAAGTTTCAGAAAAAATTTTACATTCTTTAATTTAAATTTAAAAATTTAATATATACGAATAACATTACTGTATGTTATTTTCAGCCACACAAGAGAATCAAAGTGTTGGTAATGTTTAAAAACATTAAGTTGATGTTTTTTTATTATATAAGAATTTTAAACATCAAAGAAAAAACCACCATGTATACATAACCATAGAAGTAAAGTTAAATGTTTTGTTTTAATTAAAAGATTTATTGTATTGAATAATGTAGAATACATTACTCTTCAGTTTCTTAAAAAATATTTTGAAATATAAATTATTCAGTAAAAAGATATACATACATTTTTTTTTAATTTAATGTCTATTTAATATGTATTTACATAAAATGTAACAGCTTACAAGATTATATATAAAATTAATCAGTTTAAAAGTTTGTCATAAAGTTATTATCAGATTGGTTCAATGAATTTAAGACTGTATTTGAAGCTTTGAAATGTCCAATTATATAGTTATTAATTACCTGTGCATTCATTTTTTTTTTGGTATGATTGGTGACTCTATTGATGACTTCTGTAATGGAAACAAATTTATTAGTAGAAATGATTTTGTGGATTTAAACTTTTAATATTAAAATTGTACAAATAAAATTATATAATCTTCTCTAAATCGTGTAAAGGAAATTTTATATATAATTTTAAGCTTTATAACATTCTTGATGTATATGTATCTTGATGTTTTAAAGGAAAAAATGCTTCTTTTTAAATATATAGTAGCTTTTTAAATATATAGTAGCAATAATTGTAATATTATGTTATTTATGGATCTGAAATACAGAAAAAATATTTCATTAATTGTAAATTTATTTGCAATCATTATTAACATTATATAGCAGCAAGTGTAAATTAATGCAGAAATTAAATAACCATTTATAAAAAGTCATAGTTATGCTGCTAAAAGTTTTATTGGTCATGAGGAAACAAAGCAGTGGATGATTACATTAAGCCAGAGATATTAATTAAGGGAAATAAGCAAATAATGTTAAAGCGATAAGCAGAGCTATAGCATGACGACTACATAAGCATTAAAGCATTGCAATATTGTAACATTTATTTAAATTTACCCAAATAATAGCTCTTTAAATATTGCTCAGCATGAAGAATCTCTTCACATGGATGTTTACTGATTTCTTTGTACAATATATTTAGAACTGCTTTTACTGCCTCGATATCATACATATTCGCGAGTAATCTCTCTCTAAAAGGCTTCAACTTTTCTACAAGCTGTTTATTTTTGGAAATGGATCCAATGTGACTGCGTAAAATCTCGTTATATGTCGGCCAATTGTTTTTACATGCTGGGCAATCACAATCGAAGAAATAATCCTGTAATATCTTCTGTTTTCTCTCAGATTGAGGCATATGTGCATATACACCACCATAGCTTGTGAATATTTGATCTCCAATATGTATTGGTGTCAAAGCACGAGTGATCATCGTGAGTCCCTCGAAATGTCGAAAAGTATTTGGTGCACAAGAATGATTATATAAACTATGAGCCACATATAAACCTGAACCTGATATAATTCCTGGTTCTTGTTGTATCTACGAAAGAAACACTTAACTGTACATTTTAGAATTCGAATTCTTAATTATGATATAGTCAATAATATATATATGTTAATTTATAAATAAATAATGTAGACATGATATAGTCAATAATATATGTTAATTTATAAATAAATAATGTAGACATATTCTCACATAGAGAACATGTAAAGAATATGAGTCAAATAATTCGCTTTGATAACATGATAATGATGTATAAATGTGTTAAGACATAATTATTAAAATATGTACTTACTGAAAAACAATTAGAAGACATTATTACGCAGGCACGAAACATTACACTGGCGCAGAATTTAAGTTCGGTGAATTCGCTGATGTCTTTCAACTCATTCATTTCATATTTCTTAGAGAAAAAATTCGTCTGTGTAGCTAAAAGAATAACCGCGAGGGCTGAAATACAAGCAAATGCGCTAATTCCTATTAATGGTCTTGTAGTCATATTAGTCGCCAGACTCAGTGCAGATCTTGCGCTAAAACTGTCCAGTATCGCAGTATCTGTAAATCCTGCTGTTCTACTATCTAAAATTAAAAAAAAAATGAAAGATCCATTTTCACATAGAGATTTAAATGTATATTAATTTTTTATATTACAGACAGGTACCTGGATTAGATTCCGCGACTTTCATATCCTGCTGCAATTCTTGAATTTTGAGTCCATTTTCTGTAACTACAATCAACAATCGAATAATCTTCGAAATCATTCTTATTTTATCTTTGTCCACATTAAGCAAGTTGGACAACAATTTTAGAATTGGACATTCTGTTTTATGGCATACCTCCCATGCCAGTTCTCTACATTTTTCAGAACAATATTGAGTTATTGGACACTCTGTGCATGGTATTAAATTATAGCTTCTGGATAGACAATAATGGCAATGCGTATAATATCTGTAACAAAGGTATGTACATTTATTTTAAATATTAATATATGTATATACTATTTTATGTAAAAAAAAAATAGATATTCCATGCGAATTTATTTCTCACCGTTCTTCATAAATAACATGTACATAAGGATCTTCGATGCTGACTATATCACCAGGTTGAAATTCCCGTGTTGCTACATAATGTCTACCATATCTTTCGGAAAAGATATTGCCACACCATCACTGAAGGCAGGAACTTCCTGGCTTGGGCCATACATTAATTTGGAGAAATCATCGTTCTGCAAGTATCTCGGTTTCTGTGGAAGGATCTTTGTAGTATAATGGAGATAACTTTCATTCATCACATTTTGTTTTCTTGGAACATTAATCCACTGATCTTCAGCGTTTTCTATTGGTTTTGTAATATCAGACTTTTCAGTACATTCATCATATAAACATGCTTTATTCATATCTTTCTGATCATTATTGATATTCTCGATTTGCAGCAACTTTTTTATTTCAATTACTGCTTTATCTCCTCTTTCCTTCAATTTTTTCTGCTTCTCTTTTGGATATCCATGATGTAAAGCTGCATCAATATCTATCAAACATTCTTTATACAATTGTTTCCTATATAAAGCAGCAGATCGATTTGCATGTGCATAAGCCATGAGTTCATCACTATCAGCATATGCTAAGCTTAAAGTATAACATTCCACAGCTTCCAGATCATCACCCATTACAAAATGTTGATTACCTAATTTTTTTATTAAAATTTATAAAAACAATTATTACGATACATTCACACATTATTATTTATGCATAAAAATATATATAATTACCTTCTTCTCTATATTTAATAGAATCTTTTTCATTTTTCACTACAGCATGCAGAGGAGGCATTTGTGATCGGACCATGTTTTGAAGAATGTGTCCGACAAGAGCCTCACATTCCTTTTGTAATCCATATCCGACGTGCGACTTATTATTTTGCTTGAGGATTAATACGAGTTCCTTTGCTATCTCCATTTTCTCCGCGTACACTTAATTCCCTTAAAAGATGCTTGGAAAATATTAGATATAATACTAGGTGTATATATATATATATATATATATATATATATATATATATATAAATCTTTTTATAATACTCTTTTCTTTTTTTTATACTTTAGATTAAGCATTTACTTTAATAAATAAATAAATATAAATTATATAAATAATATATAAATAAATAATTAATTTTATAATAATAAGAAATATTATACATAAATACTACTTGTGAATAAGATATATATATATATATATATATATATATATAAAATAAAAAATATATATATACATATAAAATCTTGAATATATATTTTTTTAAAATTTATTTACATTTCTACTACATCTAGATTTTTTGTACTTACCACTGAAATTTTAAATTATTTTTATATCTAATGTGTTAAAACTATTATATATAAATATATATTAAAAAAGAAAATATATATATATAATATATATAATTATATATATATATATATATATATATATAATTATATGTATGTATGAATATAATTATTTTATAAACCAGAACACGTTTAGAGGTACCCTTAGACAGCAACCAAATGAGCCATTAAAGAGAATATGTACTAAGAACATTGAAGCTGGTAGGTGAAACTAAATTTACCTCAAGCAAGCCAGACGACAGAAAAAGACTACGATGTGCAGGAATTACTCGAGTACTCATTGTACATGAACAACTGATCAAAAGTAAAAACAAATTAATAAAGTTTTTATATAATATTATAAATGATATTGCTGCATTACTGCTCTACTTTCTTTATCATCCATTTGATACAATTTTAGTAGAGTTAAATTTATAAAAAAAATGTATATGAATATATATGTATATATATGACTGAATGATTAAATTAAAAAACATTTGTTGATGTTTTCAAAATATTTAAAGCCATTTTTTTTTCTGTAAATTTACATACATACCTATATTAATCATACAACTATTAATATATGTAAAAAATAATATGCAATAATATTAATAAGGAAACAAAGAATATTAATTATTTTTTTTTATTAAATAGTATATTTATATCATGTATTCATTACCCAGCATATACCATACAATTAAATAAAGCTATTATGATTACTGCAAGAAACAATAATTAAATAATAAATAATTTGTCAGATAATGCATAATTTATTTATTATTAAAAAAATTTCAAAATTCTATTTTTTGAATATAAAATAAACTAAAATATTATTATTGCATCCAATTTTTGATCAGTTTTGTATTGGTAATGAAAACAATTTGGCAAATATCCAAACTTCACAGTTTCATATTTAGCTTATTACTCAAGCATTACTATATTATTTCAGTCTCAGTTTCACTGATAATTTTAGTTAATTAATTTTGGTTATGCTAATTAATTTTATTAATTTTACTACTCAGATTTAAAATCCTGTAAAATCTATATTTATTAGATAATTAGTGTTAAAATATATTAATTAAATAAGAAAGAATTAATCTTGGACACTAAATTAAAAAGCTCTAATATATATTGCATTATATGTTTGTACTTATAGATATATTTATATAACAATATTTTTGCTGTAAATTTTTCTATCTCACTGACACACACACACACACACACACACACACACACATATATATATATATATATATATATATATATATATATTTTTTATAAATTGCATTTATAAATTGATACATCCCTAACAGCACACATATCCCAAAGACGCTTAGAGAACATTCTGAGGATGTTCGAATGTCCTCTGAATATTCTCTGAATATCTTTCAGATACGTTGTGTGCTATTAGGAATGTGAGGGTGTATAATATGTATATGTGTGTGTATTTGCTGTATTACTTGTAGAAAATATTCATTAATAAATTCTATTAAAATATTGGACTTTTTGAGAGAAATTGCATCATACACAGATACACAAAACATGTAGCAATAATTTTAAACTTTATTTATTTGTTAAGAATTTTAATAAAAAAAAAATTGCATTAGTAAATTATGATAATAATATAATAGATAATTTCTTTAATACTACATTAAATATAACGTGTAATAATAATAATAAATGCATCATTGAAGATTATTCCAAATCTTCTGATTCCAAATTTATACGACTACCAAACTTTGCATATAATTGTGTTTTTAATTCGCTCATGATACCCTTCAATTCTGCACATTTGCCTTCTAAATTTGCAATTTCTGTTTTTTTCTTATTTTTAGCCTCCTCCAAACAATTCTAAGAATAAAAAGATCACTATTAATACTAGTTGATGATAGTAATTACAACATGAGAAACAAAAAAAATACTATCAATCAAAAAAACATTACTGCATAGTTTTTAATAGTTTTAACTATAATATTTAGCATTTTCTGACATGTAAAAAATTATTATAATTATGATTTGCATTGTTTTATATATATTTAATTACCTGTGTTTTTTCAAGACATTGATGGACAAATACTTCTCCAATGTAATATGGTATTTTTGCATCATCATCCATAAGAGTCAATTCATCGAAAGCATCCTCCAAGTTTTTCAATTCATTCTAAATATATACATTTATATATATATGATTTAATGTATAGAATTTATAAAATTTTGCATGCCCAAATAAGGCATGAGCAACAGTATGATCAGAGTTCAAATAAATTTTTAATCCGTCTAATCAAATTACCTGCTTGACTTTAAGTTCTTCTTTATAATCTTCTAACTTTGCATTTTGCCTTGCAAATTTATTAATTTTTTGTTGCTCTTCGTAAGTGATATGAACATCAGAATCCTACAATGCCGCAAAATAAATTAATTATAAACATATTTTTTTTATATATATATTTGATTTTTCTCTTCGATCCTTCATATTTTACCGGCTGAAATCCACTTTGACTGTTTTTTCCTCCGGCCATATTTAAATATTTTTTCTACAATTTCTAAAATTGTTGCAAAATAATAATTTAAATTATTAGAGGTTAGAAGTTCGAAAACCCCGTGTCCATAAAGCCATAAATGTCGTGAGCGTAGATAACGCCATCTGAAATTTTCAAATAGCCTAACTAAATAAATTTACATATGTTGTAATACCTTGTATAGAGAAATTAAATATAAGAAAATGACATATTATCCCAGATTTTGATGTCAAAATGATGTCATAATAATTACTGTGGCTATCTGGGATATTATATTGTGTTCTTTATACATCAGATTAATTAATTTTTCAAAAATAAACATCTAATAAAACATATACATATATCATGTTGTTTCTTATTGAGTGTATACAAAGATATTGGATTTAAAAGATATATCTGTAATAAAGATAAACTTGGAGGAGACTGGGGAGAGAAAGGTGTTTAATCTAATCTAATTAAATAAATTAAGAAAGCAAAAAAGTCATGAACTAAAAAATTTTATATATATATATATATATATATATATATATATATATATATATATATATATATAGTACAGTATTATAACAATTATAAAATTTATATTAATTTTGGAAAAGGAATACAATTGGGCTAAATAATTAGCAAGTTCTTTTCTGATGTAATTTATTACAACCCCTGATATACAGTTATCAATTTATAAAAAATAATCAATTGTTAGATTTTCTGTTAGCAAATGTAAAATCTATTTGAGTTTCAGAATCTGAATTCATAATATTGGAATATCTTTGAGTTTTTTCAAAAACTTTCTTCAATTTTGACTTTAACATATGCTCTCTAGAATCTTTTAATTTCCTAGTTGGTACATGCTTTAATGCTGTCTTCCAATCTTTTGTATGCCTTAAATCCAACATTATATTCATTATCTGATCGATTGTTAAATTCTTGCTTGAACCAGAACCCCAAGGAAGATATTTTTCCAAGGGCAATTTGGCCATCCGAAGACCTTCTTTCTTAGCTTTTGCCAAAGAGAAAGGTTTTGCATCACTCTATAAACAGACAAAAAATTGATTTAAGAACTTATATAATATACATATGTACATACAGAATATGTATGTGTATATATATATATATATATATAAAATGTATATGTGCGAATATTTTATTAATTTACCTTATCTACTAATCCACCAATGATGTAAACCATATTAGGATCGTATTCAGTAATATCTGTTCTACAATGTGGAGTAAGATACAGTAGCTGATCCTTTGGAAATAAATCTAAGTAAGATTGCGATGTTACAATCGCAGGAAAATCATTATCCAGCATATTAGGCATGATTGTAGTCATAAGCTGTACAAGCATTCCATCTTCCTTCAAATTACAATAATGAAGAAATAAGGGATTTGCATGAATGCGGTTTACAGCAAATGACAGAGTCAGTTGTTTAGCACAATTGTGTATCTCACGTTGAGTCATATTATCCTCATAACCGCAATCAAACACAATTTTTGGTTCATACATCATAACATGCAGTAATTGACCATGATAAAAGCGATTCATGGTTGACTCATATATGCGCAGAAACAACGAATTATGTGCAAGTCCATATTTTATTTCGCCTGTATCTTCCATCTGCTCCATTTCTGCCTTTTTAGTAAGTGCTTCAGCTCTTTTCAATTCCTTTTTGCCTTTGCATTTTCCCGTGATTTCTCATTTAAGAATAAAAACCTGAGATATTTTCTAGAGTGAAGAATAAATAAATAAATATAAATTATAATAATATATAAATATAAGAAATATATAAACTACTTATAATAAGAAATACTACATAAATACTAATTGTGTATAAGAATGTTAAAAAAAACAGAATTAAAAGATTACCCGTATTTAAAATTACATTTTCTTTGTACAAAAAATTAAGTATTTACCTTCTCTGTGATTTGGTCGGCATTTTTACCAGCATCAACCAGTTTCTTGGAGTAATAATCTGAGGAACTTGTTCAGCATTGTGTCGCAAAACATCTATTTCTAATTCTAATATTTGAAAGATCTTTTTATTTTCAGGATTGGATAAAAATTCGTCGAATTTCTGCTGTAAGTTATCTTTCAAATTAATATTCACTTGATTCTCTTTCTCCTCAATCGGAGCTTGACAACAAAATTGATTGTGCAATAACAAATTACTCCGAGTATTCATGTGACAATTTGTCACATGTGACGAGACATCTTTATGGACTAATTGTGTGAAAAATTTCCTATGAAATTTTACCGAGACAATCACACCTCTTTTTATATAATTGTACATTTTACAAATGTAATTCCCCGCAACAGAACTACTGCTGTCAACTTCGAGAATATTAAAAAGTCACATAAATAAATTGTTAACCTCAAATTTTTCTCTCCTACGATTTTTGAACCACTGGAACTAGCATTAATTGTGAATAAAGATGAGATTCAACCTCCCTGCGAAATTTGATGGACTAAACTATATAATTTATTGATGGATTATGATTTTGCATTCAATAAGAATTGAATTATCTTCTTCGCATTATAATAAAATTATGTATATTTTCTTTCTTTGATTACGTTTCTTCCTTGAAAAAAATTTTACTGAAAATCTATAACGCACGTAATGTCACAGATTAATAGACAGATCGCCAAAGACCTGCCTAAAGAAGAGACTGCCATCTTCGTGCGATAGACTTTGCACCCTTACCGACACACTTTGCCACTGGTAAAAGCAAATTAATTTATAACAAAAGTCAATGTTCTCAATTAAAAAAATTTCTTTTCATTCAATTTATTAATTTAATTATTTATTTATTTAATTTATTAATTTATTCAATATATTAATTTATTTAATTTATTTATTAATTTTTTATTAACTTTTATATTTGTTGTATTCAAAAATGGCGCGTAAAAAATGACCATCACTTCCGCTATCCTATTAATGGCGACTTTGTGGTATCCATCTTCCTTACTTCATTGTTCATGGTAATCAACGATTCAGCCATTTGCAATTGTTTCTTCATTTGCGTTCGTTGCTATTCTCGTCGATTTTTCTGAAATCGTATTCAGCGTCGTCGCATTGGTAAGAAAAGTCGAAAATTTTTCCCGCAATATATAATTATTAGATAATTATAAATCGTACCGTTCATCAATTCTCACAAGTATGCGAAGAGTTGGACTTCGCTCTGCTTTTAGAGACGCTCCGAACAAGCGTTATCCGCCACGTTGCTTTTATGCCACACATGAAAGAATATAATTCTATTATATATGCTCGCATACAGATAATTCGTCATAATCTATACATATCTTGTATTTGCAACATTTTTCTACTGATACATAATAATTGGTCCTTGAGAAACTCTTGTTTACAATTTTTGTCATGTATGCAACAACATGTACGTAGTACCCGGCATATATATCGTTTTCATTATGTGAGCTTTATTTTAAATTCACGTTAACTTTAATTAATGTAACTTTGTTACATAGACGAGATGTGCTTGCACATATTTATTTATAATTAGAATTTATAATTGAAACTTGGAATATTTTGAGTTTTGATTTTGTTTAATAATTGTTTTCATTAAAAAATATCTAAAAGGAAAAAATCAAGTTTCTAAAAAGATGTATACATAGATTATTAGATAGAAACATGTACACATAGATAGAAATATAATAATACTTTAGTAATAATACAACACATTAATTCTGTCTAACAGAAGATAATTTCAATAAATTATGATTAATTTATTTAAATAAAAAAGTATATTGAAATGGAAATCATCTTCATAAATAAATTATATTGTTAAACACTAATGCATATGTATATATAATTTTGTATAAGTAAGTTTAAAAAATAAGATTAATTATTTTTAAATGTTTGCCAACTAGGAGCACAATGTCCTTCAATCGAGGAGTGAAAAGAGATTCCTTCGGGAATCGAGGGAATTTCAATCGTGGAAGTAGTGGAGGCAGTGGTAACAGAGTTGGCAATAACATGGGTAACAATAATATGGGAAATAATATGGGTGGAGGAATGAGTGGAAGTGGTAGTATGGGTGGAATGAATCCCTGGGAAGGTGGAATGATGCCTGGCAGAGGCATCTTGCCCACACCCAATAATAATCTCTCTCTGGCATCGCCACAGGCACAGCTAGCGATTGCTAGTAATCTTCTTACAAATTTACTTCGCAGTCAGCAAGAAGTGCAACCACAGGTACGAGAATGTTTTCGTTTTACAATTCTATTTAGCTGTTCTAGAGGATTGCTCTTTAATTTATTATTATTTAATATTAAATTATTATTTATTAATTTTAATTTATTATTATGCATGAAAACAGGTACCATCCCTTATGAGTCTTGGAAATAATTATTCTGGACCAGGACCAAATTATCCCAATCAACAGAACTATTCTTCGGGACGGTTTAGCGATCGACCGGCACGGCATCCTATGAAGAATCAACGTCCTCAGCCTTACAACAAAGTAAGTGATTTCGTACAATACACGACACTTTTGTAAGCAAACATAATCTTACAACACTTCTTTTAACACTTGCTTACGATCTTCTTCTGTATCGTAAACAGGAGTTGTAAATTGACAATCTTTAGTCCACGCTCCCTTGCGTGGACATAAATTGTCTTAATTATTCTGCACATTACAAATTCCTCTTCTCGTGCCGATCGATTAAATAGGATATATCGCTCACTCGATTAGACGTGGCCGGCGAAATCATTAAAGATATAACTAATTCTTGTTGATGAACTCAGCCTTGTCCAACTTCTAGATATCGTCCAGAAAAAATATTTCATTAAAAGAGCACTGTTGAAAAACGTGTGTTGATTTTTCAGATAAGCAATTTTATTATTCATGGAAGCTCACTGGGGAGGTTTTTTGCAGAACCGAAACTGACGTTGCCTCGTTTTACAATCTATTTAACCAGAGATCTTCTGTCCACTAATATGATATTAAAATCAATGTGGTTGCACTTTATTCAAAACTACTATATCGCTTATATACACAAGTTGCATATTTCACTTGATTTTGATTTAACTTCGTCTTCACGTTTATTAGTATTCATCGAGTTTTGCTCAAATATTTTTAATGGCAAAAATTATATCTACTTTTATAACTATGATCGTACTTTATGATCGTTGCGATCGTACCTAATACATATGTATACGATATGTATCCTCGATTCGAAATCGGGATGCACTCAACAGTTTTTCCTCCTTTTTGCTTTCATACTCGGTATGGAAATGGAAGAAAGAGCCTCGGTATATTTTACCGGCTCCGTTCTGCTTCCATTTATCAAATCCATAGAACTGTTTTTCTCCCTGAAATTCCCAAAGCGGTTTCTAGAACCAGTGTCTCGATTTGAGAAGAATCACAGTTACATCAGATACTTCTCATGATGCTTTTGGTCGGTTGACCTCTACTACTTGAATAGATGGGCAATCGAGCCCGTGATGGCCCTGCTGGGCGGCGTGGCCCATCCGCACAACAATCTCGTGCACCCCAGTCTGGCAGTCAACGTATGAACGGAAACCAAATCCAACATCGCAACGATAAATCTTCTAAACCAATTCCTGCCTCTAAACAAAATCAGACTGCCAAAAAGGAACAGCAAGATGTTAAGACTTCTGATAGCGAAAAAGCAGAACCGCCTGTTCCAAAAAGGTAAGCTCCCGATTACCTGTCATTGGTATAGTTTCTTCAAATTTCAGTAAGTCTCAATCTCTCCGAACTATTTTCTATATATATATATATACATATATATATGTATATACAATATATACATGTACATATGTTTTATATACATTTCTTAATGTAGCTATATAGTATCTGGTATCAATTTCAGAAATTTCTCCAGAAATATCTTTCTTTTTATACATTTGTCTTATGCTATTGACGCGATATTATATTTTACGTCCAGAAGTAATTACATATTTGAATGTTAAAAAATTTGCTACTTTTCATAATTTCTTCTCTCTGTATATCAAAATAAACTTTAACGGATATTTAGCAAGAATGTTAAGATATATTAATAAAATGTACGAATTACACTTACTGATATGCTTTATATAATCAATACAATTTTCTTTATTCTCATTAACAAGATTTCGTATACATAAACATTAGAAATTATTCAATTATATCATTCCTAATCAAAATTAAAATTGTTATAATGAGTTTAACATAATCTATTCAACTGTCGAGAACGATTACAAGTTTTTTTTCAAGAACATAAGAAGCTTTATTCTAGAATGTATTATTTGTGATGAATAGTGACGACGCAGACGAATCCGAGGGCAAAAAGGATTGGAAGGATGGGAAGGTAGAATCTGAAAAGGTTGAAAAAATGGAAGATGAAAAGACGGAAGATGCCGAGAAAAAGGTGGAAAATCCTGTCGCTGCAGACGATTTCGCGACAAAAGAGACGAAAGAGACATCTGAAAAACCCGAGAAAGAGAACACGAAAACGCCTGGCAAGAAATCAGAGGCCAGACACGCCGAGAGTCGTTACGCCGAAGTTCCGATGAGCCATATGTTTTGCCACATTTGCAACAAACATATGTGGGATGGATTTGTACGTATTATAAACAAGCTTAATTGATCTGTATAATCTTTCAATTTATGCAATAATTCTATTTTTTTCTCACAGTCCTTCGAAAATCATCTACGCGGACGTGCGCATCAGCTGATGATGGAAAAATTGGACGAATCGTATAAATTAAAAGTCGATCTAATGAGACATGAATTGCGAGTCGCCGAGGAGCAGCGCGAACTTAGCTTAAACAACTCGAAACGGCGCGGCAAAAAAGTAAGAAAATCGTGTCTTCTAGAAGAGTTAAACATATATTTTTGAATAAACAATATTTTTTATATATAATATTTTGATTACAGGTTTCTGTGGATTTTAATGTGAGAGAATATTGTACGATGTGTGATCTGAACTTTTATGGAACTTTATCTACACATAGAAAGAGCGAAAAGCATCAGCAATTGAAAACATTCTTGCATCCCCGATGTTTCCCCTGTTTAAAGGAATTCCCCTCTCGCATTGAATATGACGAACATTGTTTAACACCCGCTCATATGAAAAATGCCGTTCAGTGCGAGGAGCAACGAAAAAATAAGAAGAAAGGTACATGAAGTAGACATAAGGAAAAATTAACTTTTTGAGTTAATTATTATAAGATAATTTTTAAAATTAATAAAATATCTTTTTGTGCAGAAAAACTGGCAAAAGGAGAAGCTGAAGTTCGTACTGCAGAAGATGAAGAGAAGGATGTTTGCCATGATGTAAAGAATGAAAAAGAAGAGGATTCAGGAGAACAAGAATATATCACAGATATTTCTGAAAATCTGAATGAAAAGAAATTTAAAATACCGTCTTATAAATATTGCCGTCAAAATCAGATATTTATCGGTATGGATTTTGAAAAAATTGTAACATTAATCTATACAAATCAATTTTGTATGTTCTTTATATTACAAAAAAATGCATTATTCTCTTAGGTAAATCTATGGTTAAGGAAGTCCAAGGATTTTATTGCGAGCGTTGCCGAAGATTCATGCTCTTGGCAGAAGATATGAACGCTCACTTACGTAGCATCACTCACTATCGAAACTTCTTAGCAGAGGTAAAATCGTTAACATCAAATACAACAGCTACAGAATCGAAAGATACTGAACAAACTGAGGTAAGAAAGAATTTATTACAAAACTAATTGCAGCGTACAAGAAACTTATTTTAAAAATTGCTTATTTTGAATATTGTTCATAGAATGAGAAACATGCCGTCGAAGTTCAGGAAGAATGCGATAGGAAACGTCGCAAGATCGGTGATGAAAATGAAGATAACGATAAATTGAAAGAATCGCAGGAAAATAATGCTGATAATGCGAACGCAGCGCCGAAAAGACCGGATGGAGAAGAGAAATATGATCCCTTGGAAGCCGACGCTGCTGAATCAGAGGAGGACGAAACTCGCGAGGCGGAGGAAGATGCGAAAGATGTTAACGCGGGAAACGCTGCTAACACTGCACAGGAAAAGAAAACACCGGTTGACGAAATGTGGGCGGATATAGACAATGATAATGATGTGGAAATGGGTAATTTGGTCGACGATGCGGACGAGAAAGAACACGTGGATCATGAAAAGCCTCTTCAGAAGGTAGATCGAAATCACAGTCCTCAAATTAAACCTAGAGGCCGTGGATACGTACGCGGTCGTGGTGGTCCGCGCGCTAGAAGATCTCGGCGATAAGGTAATACTAAATGATAAAAATGCATGAAAATGCGAAAAAATGCATTGGAAAGAAAATTTCAATTATATGTTTTGTGTTTTAAGATAAGTTTTAATGATATAAAAAATATAAAACACGTTTTTTATTGAAGCATCTCGGTATGCTTGTGTAATGTTACGCATAATATTTACAAGCGTAAACACACAAATATATAACATAAAATCTTATTCATAGGGGATTTATTTCGTTAGTATCGCCTATCAGAAAAGACGCGTGAGAGACGTCAGGATGTTTGTACATGTATCAATTTTAGCCACATATATATAATATATTATAATAATATAATAATATATATATTAATATATTATTATATATATAATATTTATATTATATATTATACAATAATACATTAATATGTTAATATATTAATATATTAATATATTAATATATTACTTTTCTCCCAGATTTTACGGATCTGATATGGCACTATTATGTATCAACGAAGAAAAATATGGATAATGCATGATTATAATTATATTTAGAGAAAATTGTATTTGTGTATACGAAAACCTGTAGAATCTTGTATTAACATAAATAAGAAAAAATTGATTGATACCGAACTTTAAGTATACATTTAATACAATGATATACGTAATTGAGATATATGTGTAATGTTTAAATTTAGACTCTTTATAGTCAGAGGAATATTCGTATGATTCCTATGATATAATTCTTTGATATAACAGAGAATTATAAGAATTCCTGAATAATTTATGCTTGTGAATATAGATAGATAAACTCTGTCTTCATTTCCTAACTATTTAAATTTTTTTCTTATGCTAATATATATTTTACGATAATCTAAAAATTTTATGAATGTCTATATTTTATTAAGTCATTTATTGATATTTTATTATTACATAAAATCATTGGTAATTTTATTAGCTCAATAAGATTGTTGTAGAAATAGAAAAATTATTATATATAATCCTTTTTTCACTTTAACATACATTCAAAATTATACTAAATGATTAAAAATTATGTTAAAGATAATAATTATAACATCTACATTTCCTATTTTATTACTTACTCTCTTCAATCATGTAATTATTTTTTAAAATAATATAAAAATAACATTTTTGTAGGCAAACAAAAATTAATCAGTTGATCTATGCATTCTTATTATATAAGAATAATACATTCATAAAATATACTTTTCATGAATATCTATTTAATATAAATTGCATTACAAAAATTTTTTTAAATTTTAATTGATATTTATCAAGATTTAATGCATATTAAAAATATGTACAATGATGCAAAAAGTAAGATATCAACTGACATCATGTTTTGGAATGTGAACTTATACAAAAAATAATCATACACACTCACACACATATATATATATATATATATATGTATATGTATGTATGTACATGTACTCAAATATATATATTCAGTAGATAGTACATTAAGAATTCAGTAGAAATAACATGTGTTAATCCAATATATTTGTGTCCTAATTTTCTTAATCCTTAGAAAGATGAGTAGATAGAAATTCATCCACAGAATCTGTGTCCCATTTATGTATATCAAGTATATCTTCAATTCTATTTTCCTCATCATATAGCTTGATGATTGGATCTAAGCCTCTCACATATTTTATGCTAAGATTCTTGTATTTCTTTGGTCGATCACTTTTAATGAAAGCTGAAAAAAAATATATAAGTTAACAATTTATATTGCAACATTTAGATCACAATTTTTATGTTATGTAATTGAATAGTATTGATACCCTGTATTTGTGGATATTGTCCAAATTTACATGTGCAAACTTCGAGGACAGCCTTAGGATAACGTTTTGATCCAGACAAATCGTTGTCATTATCTTTTAGACAACATTCTTGGCATGTATTACTAATGAAAAAATGAAAAATTAATTTAGATAACAATGAAAAAATTTAATAAAATAAATTTTTATACATACAAAACTTCTTCTAATTTGAGATCACTGAAACGTTCACAGGTCGAGCAAAGAACACTGGCTTTATTAAATCCTAACATCGTACAATCATCTGCTGTAAATTCTGCGATGATAATGTCCATCTGTAAAATACATTATTTGGTGTTATTACTTCTCTATAAATGTCATAGCAAACAATTTATTCTTTAATATTATACTACTATATTTAAAGTAATTGCAATTAATTATTAATTATTAATGAAGAAAAGTATTGGTTATTTTAGAAAGAGTTTATATAGATATACACATAATTGGAACTTGTTCTACATACGAAAGTTATATTTCCTATTATTATTACTTACCGCAGAGATGAATAAAAATAAAACCGTATAGAATGACTGATTCATATTCTGCAGTTCTTTCTGTTTTCAGTTATAGAAACAAACTAAAAAATTGAAATATATACAGTACAAATACACAGCATATTAAAAAATAAAAATGATGGAATAATCGATCGACTTACAATTTTTCCATGAAAGTGAAAAATTGTTGACTAGTCCGTCGTTTTTTGATATATCTAACACGTTGATACGTCTTGTGTTTTGGTTATAAGCTCCAAGAACTTTGGGCGGATTCACACCTTGGCAGAAAACAAAAAGCCAATCAGAACTCGTGGTGACAGTAAGTTTACTAGCACCGAGTTTACTATCTAGTAGCAGAAAGAAGCCTGAGAACGGCTTCCGCGATTCAGTGGACGCGTGTACTAACTTTCAGATCTATAATAAGAGAAGCGCCGACTCCGAAACAGTTTTTGATTGACTCTTGGAGTCATTTGGTTTTTCCGCCATCTTCTAACCATTGCAAGCGCGCGTCGACACAAAATTTTTATTTTGAATATTTTTTAATTAGATTTAATCAGTGAATTTTTAAAAATAATATATAACATGAAAGAAAAGTAAGTTTAATAGAAAACATTTAGTAAAAATTATGAGGAAGAGTTATATTCAAATATCACATAAATATGTTTATTCCTTACAATATTTTACATATATAAATTATTCTTTACAATATATATATTTGTGAAAAATTTTTTAACAGTTGCGTACAAATTTTTTAAAATAATTTTATTATGAATTATTAATTAATTAAATTCCAAGGATATTAAAAGACGTGTATTATACTGTACGTCAATTGCAAATTTGAAAGTAAATTATTTAATTATAAAATACAAATTATATATTCTCTTTGTACGAGTCTGGTTTTTGAGGCAGATGACAAATACCCCTCCTGCGATCAGCTGACAACGATCAGCTGAAACGAGTGCACCTGTCGCATCATATTGATTCATCGCGTCGATTATCATTAAAGGGAATCGTCATCAATGAAGCTATTTCACGCTTCTCTCACGCGAGTGATAAGAAAAATACTATAATTCTGCAATCAGGTTATTGTGCGCGCGCGCACACGTTTCGATATTGACGCGATTGACACTACATCCTTAGCCACTTTGTTTACGATTGTGGCATGGGTGCTCCTGGAGTCTATGTGTGCGTTGATTTTCTCCATCCCTACTCCCGGTGTCGATGAGAACGAGAGATACCCGCCAACTCGTCTGAGAGCAACGTGTCTCTCGATCGATTTTGATCAAATGCCAAATGTGTGACATCTGAAGCCGAAGCTCTCTTTTTTATCTCTGTATACGTTCTCCCATCGGACAGAGTTAGGTCTCCTTAATTCTGTATTAAATAAGGTTAGAACGATCTCTTCAGGTTACATCTGTGTGTACGACGTAATAACTTATGTTGGAGAAAGCGGCGAGTTCCTCGTCTCGTCATTTTTCTCCTCGAAAATGAACACGATTCTCGACGAGAATTCGTCCTAGAATTCTGTTGGATGTTCTCGTGAATTGTGCAAAAGTTATATCGAGCAAACTGCGTTTAATGTCAACGTAACATTTGGGGTACGATGGACGGAGAGGATCTCGCAGACGTGGACCCGCGAGAGCTGCAAGAGACCCTTCAGACGTATAGGAAACTTGCGGATGATTTTGTGAACCATGACACAATCTTAAAGGTATAATTCAATTTTGAATTCTATTCTCTAATTCTTGGTTAAATTTCTGCAAATCATATGCTACAATTTTTTTTTATCGTTCATCGTTAATTATTTGTCTATTGCAGGATAAAACGGTCTTATCGTATCTAGCGTACGTTTTAGAGGTACCTGATGTAGATGTGGTTACTTTAGCCTTAGACATTCTTGAGATATTTGTCAAGAATGTAGACAATTATATACACATAACATCCACCTTTGGTGTGCGTGAATCCTTAGAAGCAATTATAAACAAATACAGTCTGAGCGAACCAAAATTGGCCAATCGAGCACAACACATCAAAGATGACATAGAGCGGATGAAACCTCCTATATATAATTTACGCAGTCGTTGTAGGCGAGTTATAGAGCCTAAAAAATTAAAGACTCATGTAATAGTTTTACATGTCCAAGGTCTACTACCGGTAAGTACCCTGAGTTACAGTTTGCTATAACGTATGTAAAAAAATAAATATCAAAAAAATATATGTATCGAATATAGTTTTATGTATATTAAGTTATAATGGTGACAAACAATTGTAGGAAACTCGATCCGAGTTGGAAGGAATATTGATAAGAATCGAAGGTCTCGTTTCACTTGTTGTTGATGTAGAGCATCAGCGTGTAACTATGCGTACCTTGAATTTTGTCACTGCAAAACAAATTGCGGAAGCAATCGACAAAAATACAGACATTATGGAAGCAAGATTGGTGACAAGAAACAAATTTAATCAAGAGTTTCTTGTAAAATTGGTAAGAATTATTATAATTCCTTGTAAGTGATTTGCAGTTTGCTTTTTCCTTACGATGAATAGATTCTATTCTCTTTGATATAAATTTCATTCATTAAACTATAAATAATTCTAATGTGATTCAAAGGAATGGATATAAGAAGCATGAGAATATTATAGTATTTTATGAAAAAAAATGACAAACAATATAATATAGATATCTAAATTTAAAAAGGAATCTTGTAAAATGCTCAAAGATACAGAACAATCAATTCTTTAAGAAAATAAATTTTGATTTTTCGTCAAGTAACTTCATTGATAGATTTGAAATTTTATTTTGAAAAAGAATTCGCGCATATATGTGTATTCGTGCGCGTTTCAAATTAAATACGAATGTAATAAACTTACAGCTACAAACGGGCGATAGCGATAGTGAAGAGATGCCTGACTATTTACCTGAAGAGGAAGAAGAAGATGATAGGGAAGGAGTTGTGTCGTTATTTACCGGTTTAAAACAAAGCGCTTCATCTCTATATAAATCTACCGCTGAGTTTCTAAGTAATTCCTTTTATTGGTAAAATTTGTAATTGTAATAGAAATTGTAATTATAATTAGCATTATTATTGTTTATAATTTTATTTATTTGAAATCTTAATTGTCGTTTTAAAAGAAGGCCAGGAACAATTGTGCATATAGACCATATATATATTACCCGAATATAGATGTATATTAAGGAAAAATCCTAAATAATTTTTAGTAATAATTGTGACCAATGAAATATACATTATTTCAGAATCTCATACTTTGCATCAGCATATTTATGCTTGATAATGATCAGTCATTAACAAATCGGTTTTTATAGTGTTTATATAAATAAGCCTTTCTGACCTTCTGTACTAAAATTAATGTGTATAAACAAATTTCTAAGTCTTTACATCTATATTTGTAAAAGAGGGAAGTATGTTCTTATATTTGTATGTATACAAAGTTAACTTTTTTATTTTTCATATTTTAACAGTCATGCATGTTCCATCTTGAATTAGCTGATTAATTTAATATCAATAAATATCAATAATGTATACATACATTATGTTGCATATAGATCAGAGAATGTTTTTCTAATATATTAATATAAGCATGTAAGCAAATTTCAATGTGCACTATATGTACTAAAAATTTAATTATTTAAGTAAACAAATCTGATATAAATAAGAATTCATTGTAGAAGCTTGTAAGATATCAGATTAAATATATATGACATGACATTCAAGTCACAATTCGCAATATATATAGTACAGTTCTTGCAAATTCGATTTTACAATAATTGTTATCAATGTCAACTGTTTCTATTTACAAGTTGCTTATATTTATGAAAATTTCGCTATTTACAAAAAACTAATAAATAACGTTTAACTAATCGTCGAAATTTGCGCTTTTGTATGTTTATTATTATTATATGATTAATAACTTTCTTTTTAAAATAAAGTAATCATATAGAAAAGAAAAAAGTTTAAAAAGCTATTACTTAAATCATTTTTCAAAAAGTACAGATTATGTATTAAAATACTCTTTCAAATGTTCTGGTAAACTTTGTACAATTCATCGTAATATATTTCCATATTCGTCAGATTTGTACAAAGAATGAAGTGTATAGAGATGAAACGTCCTGTAAATCAACTTTATTTTATGTATAACACAAATTTTGTGTACTACTTCTATTATTATATAATAATAGAACTTGTCAGTTTTAGCTGCCACTGCACGAAAAGGAACAATTTATGCAACTACTCGCATAATGTATGAGGTGTGGATACAATATGTATGATTACTACAAAGTACATCTCTCTAATAATACGCCTTAGAAATTATTTCGTTTAAATGAGCACATCCAAATTTTTATTTTATCTTATTCTTAACTCGCTAAAAATTTCGGTATAGTATTGTCTATGTGTATATTTACAGATGTAATATATAATTGTCATTAAGGCAATTTGAGTTTCAAAGCAGGTACAATAGATGGATGCAAAACATCATTCTTTTCGATAATTGAGTAAACGCAACAGTTCATGGGTATGTGTATGTGAGAAATATAATATATAGCTTACAATAATTATTAGTACTGGTAATATTCACGGAATGAGTATGAAGTTTTCGTGTGCAGTCTAGCCAAGTTTGACTATTTCGCTTACAATATAACTCACATCGTAAACTATATATAAATGCTTAAGGCTGAAATCAATAAGTACATAGTCGCTTACTTATTTTTTGACTTTTGTTGGCTGTGAAGTAAAAAAAATTAAGTTCTTTACGTATGAGCGTTTTCTTAGGAGATACATACATTGACACAAAATAATTCTCCTATTATGTAAATGGAGTAGCTTTCAGGGAAGCAAACTTTATATTTTTGTATTTTTTTCTATTCATTTTTGTCTAAACGTCTTTTTGTACCCATAATATATTGCAAATATAAAAGATCGATACAGGTACAATAATATCTTTCGATACATGCTTCAAAACTAAATTGTGCATATTTATTAATATATATTTATATATAATATTTATTACATATACATATAAAATATACATATATATAATATTATTTATTATATATAATATTATTAATATTCTAACTTTTTCATTAGACACTTGAACGCGGTCGATGCATGCAAATTGCCATAGGCACTTATGTCATAATAAAATTCGTTCAATTCATTATCGTTATATTGTACGTGTTATTCCATTTTGAGAGATTTATTTGATCTTCTTTTTCTCTCTTTTCCATTTTTTTAATTTGCGTTTAAACTGCGCATATACATAATATCATTAGTCAGATGCTTTTAGAATTATGAAAAGCATCTTACTACTTATAGCTGCCTTTCTATTTGACATAGACATATATATGTATATATATAATATAATAATATTATATTATAATATATATAAATAAATATATAAATAATATATTTATAAATTTATATATAAATTTGAAATATATATATATAAATAATATATATATAAATATATATTCAAATTTATATATATATATATATTATTTATATATATATATTTCAAATTTATATATAAATAATATTATATATATATAAATTTGAAGAGTTGTTCAATGCGCAAAAAATGTCCATGCCAATTTGAGTATATGCACAGTTTAAAATTAAATTTGTGACTTAAAAATGACCCGTATATAGGCGTTTTATTCAAAAATAATTATTAAATTAGTAGATGCAAAATACCATGAAAAAATAAATATATGATTGCTGAAGTATGTATGTTGGGCATTATATATACTTTAACATTCACTAATGAATCTAGTGAATGACTGTCGGAGCGTATATAATATACGATGCATGTAGCGTTTTCGAATGATATCAATGATTCATTTGTGAAATAACATTTTTCAAAGCAATATTTCGATTTGTTGGACGAAAATTACATTATAAATCTAAATTCATGATCTCATACGGTATGCATATATGCTATAAAAAATCTTATGTATACTCAAATAAACTTGAGCAATATTAATCTAATTCTTTACTAATTTATATATGCAATTGATCATATACATTGATGAAGAATGTTGTGAAGACTATACGACTTTAATATTCAATTGAGATGTAAAATCTCGAATTCTCAATCATTTACTATTATTTTCCTAAACAATTTTTAGTATATATGTATATGGTATGTGACGTATGCACTATGTATGTGTATCTATATGTATGTCATTATTTATGTGTGCATGTAAACACACATATATGAATAGATAAATATCTACAATATTTAACATAAGTTACGGAATGAAGAATGTTGTAATTATCGAATTTTATTTTAGGCAATAACTCTACCCTATCAATATAGCGCGTTCATATAAATCAAATATAAAAATTATACTACAATACACTTATACCCGACTCTCCATTTTCATAGTTCCATTCGCTGGTTGAGACGCGATTGTAACTTCACTGACTTCGTCCGTTTCCGATTGACTCGATGTATCAGAAGCGTCGTCTATTTCCTTTCTCTAAAGTTAAATAAAACAGTTTTTCATTTTGTATATGTATATCTTGTAAAAGAAATATATCACATTATTTATAAAATTAAATTATTACTTGTCAAAAAATCAAATGACTCAGAAATTAAAATTTTAAAAACAATTAAAAATGTGTTAAATATATGTAAAAATAATGTATGTGTAATATATACGTACACATAGTATATTTATTTGTAATAATAAGTTTATATCTTCTTACAGTTATTTTGCATTATTTTTTAAATTATTAAAATTCATATCACGTAAAAATAAGATTTAATTTACTTACTTTTTGAGAATTTTGTACATTACGAAGAACCCTTTGAACATCTGGATTACTCTCTAAGGTGGAGGTTTGACTGGACGGAGGATGTGAATATTCAGAAGTATTCTCCTCATCAGAAGCTAATGCCCCCTGTATTCTCCCAGGTATTGTTGGCTTAGATCTTCGTAATCTGCAGCCAGGACCAATTGGCTTCCTTGCAATACTATTCAATAAAGAGAATAGTTATGTCTTAATTATTTTTTGATAAAAGCAAACATTTCAATACTCGTTAATATTTTTAAGATACATTTTATTACTATACAAAAATATTTCTATTAAAGATTTCTGAATAAATGTTTAAAGTTAAAATTTTTTCAAATTAAAATTTTTCTGAAACTCTTGAACCTTAAATTAAACTATTACACTAAATTATTCGAAATTTTAAGATAAATAATTATACAATAAAATGTAAAATAATTGTAAAAATATTGTATTAGATTCATTATTTAAATGTATTGAAATATATTACCTTCTTCGTCTCAAAGAATAATTGTAAGTATAGCTTGGATCCTCTCCCTCTTCATCGGTCCAGCTTTCTTCACAAGCATCGTCTTCGCGATCATCTGTATTGTCTGAAGAATTTCGTAGCTTAATATCGGATTGCTCTGCATAAAGTCCAGGAAGTTTGCCCGAGTCTTCTTTATTTCTATTATATATATATATATATATATATAAATTGGTTTAATGAATTATATTTACGTTAAAATTAATTCTTTAGTGATACAAATTTATGCATCTTTAGTTTTAAAAATTACTATTCAAAGAAAATAGAATATATAAATTAATAAAATAATAATAAAAATGAATAAATTTCTTAATATGATAAATAATAGAAAATATAATTATATCTTGTTATACACTTCTAAGAAATATATATATATGTATAATAAAATTATATATATAATAATTATTAAAAATAAATTATATATTTTAGATATAATTATATATCTTAGATATTATACAATACCTATGAGAAATTATATCATCACCGTTTCCATTGTCAATAATGAGGCGATTCGCAATAATAATCTCACTGACTTTTCTACCAAGCGTCTCAAGATTGTCGTCGTCGCTATAATCTTTCAAACGTTCGTTTCCATTAGAATTATTTTCATTCAAGGGTTCGGGACTGGAGCATGAACTAGTTATCATTGAATAATGCGTTTCTGGTAAAATCGGATTTCCGTTTATACATTCCGTTGCTTGTTTATTCAATGAGTGTTTTCTGATAGTTTCCAAAGAGGATTTTTCTGGCGAGGAAGATGCCATATTCGCCATCGAGGCATGATCCATTTCACTGATGTCCATGATGTCCGTTTGTGTGTGATTATCAATGAATCTTACAGATACCTCTAGGCTCTGTAAATAAAAAGCGTAATATTATCATATGTATAATACAGATTCTTGTTGATTACATAAGATAATTAATTAATACAGAATAAAATATTTTTTGCAAAAAAATATAAAAACTTTTGAATTTTTTTCAAAGAAGGATAAAGGATGAATACATCTATTTTTTATGAGATAATATTACTTAATTCATTGTAGAATTAGAAATTTTGTCAAATAATTTAAACAGTTGAATATAATAAATTAAAAGAAAAGTAAATGTTTTTTTATCAAAGAATTTATTTCAAACTGATTCAAAACATTAACTTTAAATTTTATGTATATTTTTTGAAAGTATAAGATACTAAAAGATTTAATATAAATGTATATCTGTTATTCTTAAGGGGAGATATACACCTAGGAGCCGGAAAAAAGGTCATCTTTGTGAATTTTTTTAAGGAAAACTATTTGAAATTTCGGATTGGGGGTTTTTCTATCTAAAAGTATACACATTCAGGAATATGTCCAATTTTTTTTATTAAAAAAATCAAAAATTGACGAGGTTGTGGTATAATCTTTGGAGCGCCGTAAGAAAATCCGGGTAAACGGTACCCACTGGCGTTTCTTCAAAAATCATCTGAAACAAAAAAACCAAAAAGATTATTAAATTAGATACTATAATCTAGTACTTGTCATAGCCGATTTTGAAAATATCGATTTATGACAAAATGGCGGACGTTTGAACATAACATAGCGATTTTTCGACCAAAAATTAGTTATTATTTTGCCTATAAAACAAAAACTAAGCAACGAAAAAAAAAATCCTATGACAAGTACTAGATAATGATGTATAGAATAACCACAAAAAAATTCAAGGCAATCGGTTCATTGGTTTTCGAGAAATTTTGGGTACCGATTTGAAAAACGTGGTTTTGAGAAAAACGCGTTTGAAAATTTGGGAATGAATAAATCATTAAATTTGTCAACTTACATGGAATCATCGATACCAGGCCCATAGTGTAAGTCTTCTACGGTCGACGGAATGTTCATATTTTCTAAATTTTGTTGTCGGCGCCGTATTCGACCTTCTTTAGTCTGTTCTTGCGCTTGCAGCTCGGCTTTCGCTATGCGAGTTTCGTCTTCTTGCGCAGCGTACAAGTGCGCGCCCGATCCGACTGATATTCCTAATACGTTCATAATTTCTAACAATGACGTGACACCATTGTTGAACGTGCATGTTGCAAGAAATGCAGCAATGTTAACAATTTTGGCCCCGCTGTGCATCGTTTTTGAAGCTATCTTCCAAATAAGTTGGTTGAAGCTCTCATTGCTGTTTTGTGTGTATCCGCCAACACAGCGTTCCAACAATTTGTCATTGCTGAGGTCTTCGTAAATTGGTTTGATGGGATCTAACACCGTTTTTGGCAATGCTGAATAATCGTGACGGAAATTCCTCAGTTCTCCTTTAGCTTTCGCTTGTTGCCACTTGCACCACGATTCCGGGCCTTCGGGACAAAAATGATGTTCAGGCTTGCTGTCTGTTGAGCCGTAATGGTAGAATGTTGCCCATATCGCTTTTTTCATGTCATCCTTGGAGTTACTGTTTCTTCGAATGGCTAAGCCATAGTAAATGCTCAGTTTGTCTATAAACTTTGCCGTCAATTTGTTTTTGCCGCCGATTCCAGGATTTTTTTTCTTGCATTCGCGAAGACGGGTTCCCATTCGCTTTTGAACGTGTCCCACGCATTCTTTTTTTATAATCTCAATCTCATCACCATACGGTTTCGCATTCACTAATCCCGTGTACGTCTTAGAGTCGCCATCCCCGACGTAATTAATGTACATAACTCCATGCTTTTCGACAGATCTTGAAAATAATTCCTTCATGGCGTCTACTTCCATTTTGCCTGCCGATCCGACATGATTCGCCTGGCAATTTTCTTCGTGATTAGATTTCCATTCCTGATATTGCTCGGTATTGACGTGTTTATTCCAATAGTTGCATTCAACACAATAAGCAGACTTTACAATGAAATCAACGACTTTTCCTGTCAAGTGACCAATGAGAACCGCAACTCCATATAATGAGGTAAAACCACGTTTTCGCCACGTACCATTTCCTGAAATGGTCAGTTTTTTGATATCATCACTCGAATTTTGTTTTATTATTTCCTGTTGTTCTTCTTTTACAGCTTGTTTTAACACCAATTGAACAATACTTGAAGCAGCAGAATGAATGTTCTCAATTATCATATCATACGTCGTTTGTTGAACCGGAGGCGGTAAATCCATGAGGCCACAAAATTTCATAGCTCCACGCAAACCAATCCCCAATAAACGCATAACAAAAAAGAATCGTGTATTTATTTCGTAAGCAGTCTTGATGTACGGGCACGAAGGAATAAAAGTCGGTTTGCACGATGAACACGAAACTACAATTTTAAAACCGAGCCCTCGAGTGCTTTCTATTGAGAATCGAACATCACTATCACACTTTTTGCATTTTACACATTCCGATAAGGCAGAAAACACTGCCAGAAAATTCAAAATTCGATACCCGATGTTTGGATCTTCTGGTGCGGATGTCTCACGATCAGTCTTCAATTTTTGGCACTGGAACTAATATTCTCGTCGGAAAGTTCTACTTTTTCGGCAGTATTTCGATTTTTGGGCGGTATCTTCTTCTTGCTTCGATCTTTGCGAAAAGATCCGGATTGATGAGCTTCCCGAGAACCTTTATATCTGTTATCCATTTTCCTCAGAATATGTATTCACAGACGAAAACTCACTGTAACGCACAGTTGCACGAACGGCAAGTTACTGACGAAACGCGTCCAATTTCCGGCAAAGAATAACGGTCGTGTGATATTTGCGTTATACCTGGACCCGACCACGCCCGAAAACACAATAGAATCGTAAAACAGGTCTAGACACGCTCTCTTCGAAGGGTCGCTGCCTCTCGGCTCGGCCGCAAAACAGGCGGTACGGCGCGCTCTCGGAGACGGTTTACTCTCTCGGCTGTAACTTCGTTATTTATCGAGATATTGACTTGCAATTTTAACCAGATATTCTTGAGACCTCAAGCATCAAGAAAATGCAAAAAAAAAATCGATTTTTTCGACCATGCTAGGTGTATATCTCCCCTTAATATGCTCTATTGATTTATAATCTATCATAAGTTACTATTTGTTAAATCCTCACTTTTCTTTCACGATAAGGACTCGATCTAGGACTGGAACTCACACCACAACCTGAGCCAACTCTACGATGCCTGTATTTACGTTGTTTGAAACTATTGTTTGATGCCAAAACAGTTTCTGGTTGATTGGATTCATTCAGTTGCGTATACATGAGAGCTTTGATGGGACTCTGCGGCGAATCCGTGGGCGATGGCGGAGTAGTGGGCGTTGAGGAAGTGGAGAACTGCACTGTGCCATTCCGTTTGCGATATAGCCTCTCCTGAGCCTTCAATAAAGGACGGACAAGACGTTTCTTGTATTGCTTGTATCCTGTCGATTGCTGTTCTCTCCTAAGACAAATAAAACATTTATTTTCATATATGTTTGGGTGCATCTTAATAAAATAAAAATATTTAAATACAGAACGCAATTTTGCCAAGCGGTAACGTTGTTGCTATTAAAGAAATGTATAATTTGTAACATAATACATATTTACTTTATATATTGTATATATATATTTTTATATATATATCTATATATTTTTTTTTTGATGGGATATATATATATATATTTATAACATATTTCTTTTTATTTAATTTTATCTAATTTAATTATAATATAATATTTTCCTCACTTTATCACATCTCGTTCGCGTAACTCCAATTGCAGTAGAATAGAGTTTAATTCCAGGTATAAGTTGTTAGTGCGTTCAAGTTTACGTTCGTAATGTTCTCTGACATCTTGAGCTTGCCGTAATTCATTCTTCCTTCGTAGAATTAGGTCATTTTCGAAACGTGGACTGGTATTAGTGAACAGCGGCATATGTTCCATATGCTCCTGTATCTCTTTTTTCCAAGATCGCTGTAACAAAAAAAATGTTGTCTCTCTATGTATTTTGATTAATGATTGCAAAGAGAATACTAGTCATCCATTATTTTTTAATAAATTTTTTTCTTTTCTTCTTAAAAAAATATCTGATTTGTTTAACAAATACTTTAAATGGCAATAGATTTATTATCATCTATTCAAACACTTTAGTTTAGATTTTTGAAAATTTGTTTTACATTAATGTCGCATAATAAAACTAAACAAAACAATAATATTACCTGTGCCTTAAAGTAATCCTCGGGTTCCAAGGACAATACATCGACGGCTGCAATGTTAAGATGCATCTCGATAAGTTTGAAAGAGGGCCTATTACGCGGTTTGGTCGCCCAGCACTGCTTGACCAGCAGTCCAAAACCCTCTGGGCAACTAGTGGGAATTGGCAGGTGTAGAGAATTGCTGCCCACTCCCCACATAACAGCAGAGGAATCCACGTCCTTGTAAGGTATCTCGCCGCTTAACAATTCCCATAACACAACGCCATACGACCATATATCCACTTTTTCCGAGCAAGGATCATTTCTGATTACTTCCGGTGCCATCCACGCCACAGTACCGACAAAAGTCATTTTCGTGCTAACTTCATTCCATTGTCTACTCGTGCCGAAATCGCTGATTTTCAGTACTTCGTCTTGTCCTATTAGAACGCTATGGACATCATAATTCTCTCATTATTTCATAGCAATTATAGATTATAATAATAATAAATAATAATAGGTTTTAGATATATTTTATTTACAATACTTCATTTTATATCGTCAATTTCTTTTAATTAAATTCATATGAGTATCTCATAAATACACATATATACACATTTATCTCGAATCATTAATGAATTGTTTAGCCAAAGTTGATTTTTTCTTAATAAAATGTCGAGAAAAATCAATTTAATAATTCTTGATTTCTAATATCAAATATCTTTGTAACTAATCTTAAAATTGTATCTGCATTTATTTGAAATTAATCGAAAAATTAATTCATAATGTTATATCTAAAGTTTGTTAAAGTAGTTAATTTTTATTTTATATTGCTTATAACACAAAAAATGTCGATCAATGCTTGATAGATCTAGAATTCAATAAATCTAAAAGTAGTCTGTTTTTATTTTTAAAAAATGTTATTTATTTTGTTGTTTACTTACTTTGGACTTTTGAGATCTCTATGTATGATTTTATGAGCATGAAGATATGCCATTCCTGCAGCAATTTCTTTTGACCATGACACCAATCTGACAGGAGGAACCGGTTCTCCAGTTCTCAGAAAGTCATACAATGGTCCAAATGGACAAAACTCCATTATTATGCAATAGGAAGGAGGTTTTGTACAGACTCCTCTGTAAGCATTAAACAATAAGTATTTTATAATGTAATTTATGCCATAATAGTAGACAAGAATAAAAAGTAGCCCTTACTTGAATTGTACGATATTCGGATGATTGAGCTTTCTTAAATGGCGTATATCAGTCTCTTTCGGATCCCTCACCTTTTTTACAGCTACGATTTCCCTATTTAATTTTCCTTTAAATACTGCACCTTGAGCCCCGGATGCGACCCACTTCATCTCGCTGATATCTCCGAAAGGTATCTCCCAATCATCCGCTAAAACACAACTCATATTAATCACTCACCAAAAAAATGCAACATATAACAATTTCAAAGTTATTGATTTATCTTTCAGATTCAAAGCAAAAATGCATTATATTCATAACTTTATATCACTACTAGATTCTATTTTAAATGCAAAGAATATTTGAAATTGATTATGCAGACTATAGCTTTAATTTATTTTTGTTTCAAACACATCTCTTGAAACAATTGTACAGAATATTATGACAATTATAATGATATTTTACATTTTTGTCAATTCTTATTGCATATGAAATATAAAATCTTATATTAAATATATAAAAATTATTTTAAGAGACTACAACTTAATTAAAAAAAGAAAGAAACATAATAGATAAATAAAGCTACATAATCATATAAAAACTTATACATATAACTTACTTGCAAGATTCTTAATTTTTTCATTAATAGCTGCCTTTGATAACATCGTCCAAACAGGACGCATGCATCCCAGTATACCTTCGACCCAATTCGATCGCTGAGAATCGATGCTTTCCGTTTCGGGAGCGCATTTTGTTGCTGTACCGCTAGAACTACTTCCTGAATTCGGATTACTATTTGGTAATTGAACTTCTCGCAATTCGGTGATTAGTCGTTCAGGACTTGCCCCAATTTCACTCAACTGAGCCAGCTCTTCTTGAATGCATAACATGCTAAAAATATATAAATATTTACATTCTTATCTTTTAATGTAAATTATATTTATAGTTCACTACATATATACACATACAAACACACACATATAGATGTTTCTGAATTTCAATTATTATTTCATTTTTATAATATATAATCTTAAGAAGAAAATTATTTATTCGAATCTTATATATAATATATTAGTTTTTCCTATTATATTTAATGTATTTTTAATTTTCTTTTTAATATTTCTTCCAATGAAATAGTTTCTAAACTATGCAGCGATGCGCAGAGGGGTAAAATTTTATATTCTTGTTATATTAATATATTTTGCATATTATACGGGCACAAAATAAATTAATTTAAAAGCACAAGAAATTTATCTCGATATAAGTTGCATAGAATTAGTACTAAAGAAAAATGAATTAATTGTACGTGATTTTATCTTTGTGCAGTCCGATGAACGATAAGAAATGACGTATATATCGTACGTCACGCCAACGATATCAATCAACGAATAGTCTGATTTGTATTTAGTGTTATTCAGTATACGATTAATTGCGTACGCGAATATTATTCGTATTTAATTAAAATAATTGAATTTTGAATTATTTTCAACATAAAATATAAATATCAATATCAATGTAACAGAATTATAAACTGTACGATTTATTGGTAACATTTGTATTAGAAGTATTGAAATTCCGAAATCTTCGTACGTCAATTATCAACTGATAAACTATAATCTGAATTTCAATAACAAGAGAAGCAGACTTTTAATCTACTCTCAAGAGTGATGATCGGAATGAGATCTCTGATACTATTTTGTCACTTTTTATAATTTTTAAGACATATTACTATGAAAAATATAATATTATTATAAAACATAATATTACGTATAACATACTATGACTATACATTGTAATATAACATACCATTATAAAATTAAAAATAAAACATAATACTATTAAAACTTTTTAATATTATTTTAATACTATTAAAACATTTATATATATATATATAAAACTCTTTTCATTATTGATTGTCCCTAAATAATCTGATATTGCGAAGGTAACATCGATAATAGTTGCACTGTTCCTACACGGACGTTTTTTAGAGTTACACGTGGCATGAAGTGGTTTGCGTTTGTGTCAATGACTTTTCACGGCTAACAATAGGTAGTGAACACACTTCCTCTCTGTGAATACGAACGCATCTGATAAGCAGAGCAACCTTTCATTATTCCTGATAGAACATCAATGTTTACTTATTTATGGAACAAAACACACAAATTTGATGGCTCTAATTAATTGCTGTTTTCCCTTATTAATTAAAACACTAATAAAGAGTTTGAAAATAAAAACATTTCACAAAAAAGACTTCTATAAATTTTTGAACTTTTGCAAATTTAGATCAAATTAGATAAGATTCTGCGCCCAATAGTTTTATCATGTTGATTAATTAAATTTGATTAGAAAGCTACTGTTCTTGTGAATATATGTACACACACACACACACACACACACACACACATATATATATATATTGAAAAATTCGTGTTAATAAATTTTTCTCAAAAATCGACGCCAGATTAGTCGAGAAATTTATTTTTTAGATTACGATCGACGCTTATTAGATTTTTGTGTACTAAACATCAATATCGTATTCGTATCGCGAAAAAAATGTCACGCACACTATATAATTTTGATTAATCGAATGCAACTTTTTATACTTATTGTGAAGATTCATATTACCGGCTTTGATAATATCATATCGCGTTATCAAATGTTTCATTTGTTATGTGATCTTAGCAAACCTTTGAAACGGAATGTAACAATGTGACGTGCAACGCGAATATCGATTGTGCTCTTTATATATGACTGTATGTGGGTGTTGCATGATACAAGTACATATTCCTAAATTTAACTTATAGTAATAGTCATACTATGTTTCTTTCACATTTCACGAACAGATCTAGCCAAATTCGGAGAAAATCAAATATACTAAATATAAGTTAGTATATTTTCTAAAAAATCTATGTATATTTATTTGAATATTACATTTATGTCATAATGTACAAATAATAAGAAAGATAATTTATTTATTTTATATCTTGAATACTTAATCTCAATAATCTTGAATAAATGTAACTTTCTTTATTTCATCTTTTTTTATTGATAATTTCGTATATAAAGTTAATTTAAATTTGATCTAGCTTCCAAGATGATAAATATTCCTTATATCATATGTGATATAAAATCTAAAAAGAAAAATAGAAATTCCGCGCGCGTGCGAAAGAAATTGCATAAATAAATCAGAATGTTGTGTTTGAATTAGCTATAAACTGTTAATCTAATTGATAAATAATTAATACAAAGTGCGTGATGTTAAGCAAAAGAATCGCCTAGGAATACGATTTAACCGATTTTATATAAGTCATAGCCAATATACATTTGGCAGCAGAAATAGAAAAAATGAGTCGTAAAAAAATATCAAAGTGCCGATATATCGCTTGTATTTTCACGCCGACGTTATCACACCACGTGCTCAATCGATGACAGTCGACAATTACTATGTATACTATGTCATGTCGTAGGAATGCTAGTTGTATTTTTGAAACGTTGATATTATTCTGAAATTCCGGTGATCAAGATTTAATTTTAAATTTCAAATTTCAACTCTTTTAAAAAGATCAAAAAGAAAAAAAAATATTTTTTCAACGAAGAATTATTTATCGTAATATTATGTATCATTGTAAAAACATATTTTTGAATAAATAATTAAAAATTAAAAGTTTAATTTCCTAATAAATTTTCTTAATAAAAATAAATCGCTACTGTCCATTTTTTAATCCATACAAGAGTAAATTTATACAAGGATATATTGGTACGTAAAAGAGAGAGAGATATATCCATTTAAGGGAGTGAAAGTGGCCTTGAAGTCACGAGCGACAGTGCCCTTGGCAAAGGATTGCGTCGGTTTTAAGATAAACCGATTGTTTTCATACTGTCCTCCCCTAGTCTCTTTTCTTATCGTCTCCATTCGCAGGCAAGCAAGAAACCGAGTGTTAATGTACATACTGCATAGCGAACGCGAGTCAAGTAAACGCACAGTAGGTATGTGCATGCACGTTTACCGTGGCCTTCGTATCAGCTGTCTGCTGGCGTCACTCAATGAGGGCCGTGCTTGTCGCCGTAAACATTACGATACGTATTGGGCGCGATTTCATCTCGCTATTACATATAAATTTCTATATACGTATACATAGAGTTTTAAAAAATACATATTTGACCTATTTATTTTTTCACGTTTAATTTAAAAAATTTGCAATATTGCACTTTCCAGTCATATTTTTCAATGATATTATGATTATCATTTATATTATATAATTCGTTAGTGAAAATCCAAACTCTTTCCTTTCCTCGATATTTTTTCGTTAATTCTGCATTGCTTATAATAACAGTACGATATTTTAAATATCAATGACATGAACAATTTTGTATAAAAAACAGGAAATATAGAAACGTTCTTGTTTATTTAGTTAAAATTGAAAAAAAACCGGAAGTATTGAAAATTGTACTTAAATATGATTATACATGTACAAACGTGTTGAAGATTTGATTTTTGTAACTAATGTAAATGTGTGATTGTAATTTCTATAGTATAAGTTATATTTAACAGTAAAAAAAATCACTATAATCAAAATTTGCACAGTGTACTTAATACACATTTAATATATAAACACAAGAAGCTGCGTGGAATGTAACTATATATATATGTGTTTGAAACTCGTACGTAATATATGTAAGTATATTAAAATTTTATATTAAAATTTCTAATTAAAAAACAATATATTTCGTCGCTTCTAAATATTTACTAGCCGGTTAAATTGCGACATTACACTTGACTGCTGATATATTAAGAGGCAAGATTTATATTTTTAACACACTTTAATTATATGTGTGTGTATATATAATTGTTGTTTACAAGCAATGATATATATATATATATATATATATATATATATATATATATATATATATATAGCAAGCTTAACATTCTGCGAAAAAGTTATACTACATTTAAAATTCACGCAGCGTGACATATTAAATTCTTAATCAAAGAAGATATCTTTAATTAAAGATATCTTAATTTTTTAAGATTTTTTTATAGATATCTGTTTTTTTCTTGGTAACACAATGAAGTATAGTCAAAGACGAAAGAGCTTAGATTTCAAAGTTTTGCGTTTTTCAATTTCGGGACAAATCAAAGACATTGGACGCATTTGAGATTTTTTTTATAACGCGATGCTATCTTCTCGAGTCGCGAAATCTATAAACGTAAATAAGGAACAGTTAGGCTCGGAATCGACATCGAGACGATTGATAACAAATCAGGAACCTCGGGTGTGAGAAAGCAGAGTGAAAACGGAACCACTGTTGACGGTGTTATCGTTATCGAAAGCGCGTTCCCAAGCTTGTTGCTCCCGGGAAATTCGCTCTCACCTCTTCGCTGTAGCACTAGTTACGTCGCTGGATATTACCGCGACGGCGGCGACATCGCCACCGGCGGCATCACCGTCGTTCTGCGCCGTTGACTTCTTGAAGAAGAACCGCGCGAGCACCATCACGTCGCGTTTAGCATATGGACGGGAGTACACCAACAGTATCCGGCAACGCGAACCAAGACGAAGAATGTCGTCGTCGTCGTCGTCGTGCAGTCGCACCACTGAACACTTCGAAGACAAGAGAGTTCGAGGCGACACTCCACGTATAAAGCGTATTTCTCATTTACTGGTGTGCGGAGACTAGCGGAGACTGCGGGGAGGACCTAGAGAGACTATCTTTGTCCCTCGCTCTTTCTCTCTCTGCTAAATTCCTTCCTTATCTCTTGTTCGACTTATCTGCTCTGATATATGTATGCTGGCTATATGCCGTGAAACGGTGACAGCGCGCTTGTTAGTGTGCGACGTAATTCGCGAGCACAGACGACGCGCGCTATTTTGAATTTATAAATATATAATACAAAAGAACAGAATATATTATCAGGCTTAATATTCGATTGATATGTAAATTGATAATTTAAGTTAATGAAGAAATATATATATATATATATATATATATATATATATATATATATATATATTGCAACGTAATATATTTTGACAGCCGATATTTTTCTTGTAAAGTGGCATTTTTTTAAAGTAATATATTAAAAATAGATTTTGTGTGGGTGGGCGCGCACGATATTTAAAAATTATTAAGATTGAAATTAACTTACTTAAAAATTAATAAAGACTGAAATACCTATTAGTAAATATGTGAGCCTCCGGATGAGGAGATGACAGAATCACTCCGCTCACGTCCGCGGACATTCCTGTTTCCTCAGTTTCCAGATTATACATTTCGGATTGTGCCAGGATCTCGGCAGGAGTGCGCATTCTCGTCTACATCCCAGATTATTGCCAGATCTGAAATAAAGATGTATTTATTTCTAATTGTTAATATTAATGGATTAGTTATCTGCGTTAATCGCTCACACATAAAAATGGAGAAAACATTGCTGAATAATAAATCAAATATTGGATCTCTCCTCAATGTTATTTTCTTTAGAAACTATTACAAAAGTATATATACGAAGGAAACATGTTAATAATTAAAAAAATATGAAAACAAAAATAGCTAAAATGAAGATAAAAAGAAATTTTACTTGTCAAATATTATTTTTGTCTAAATTATTATTCTAAACATAAAATGATTATATTAATTCCATTCTTATTTTTCAATATTAACAATCACTATATATCACAAAAGTGCAGTCTCTTGTTATAACAAAATTTAACCTGATTTTTACCAAATTTTTGCGTATATTGTTATGTATAAATTAAAATTATTAAAAAAATTTGAGTTTGACGCTGCCGATTATTTCATCCAACACTACGCATTCAGGTATGCTAAAAATTTATTCTCCTGCAAGATGCCATGTGTGGTTGGCCTGTTACGTTGTGAAGTGGACTCAAACGAAAAGAGAGGAGTGAGAAATTACCTTTGGCATAATATTTATGGAGAGGCAACCGGGTTCAACGGAATGCCAATCTAGTAAAAGGAGGGATTTTTGCCTCCGCATACCAAACCTTAGCACTCGGTTTATTTTATTTTACACGTAGACTCTTTGGACTTTAAACTCATTTGACCCTGTTATTTATGTATTTTTTCTCCGATAATTAAGATAGACGTTTGCGAAACAATGAAAAGTTATACCGAAGTGCAAACAAAAGATAAATGCAAGCAAAAACGCTCACATACACAATCATGCTATTAAATAAACAATTTAGTAAATAATTTTCCCAAAGTAAAACTCATTAGACATAAGATTCGAGAAATTTGCATTACCAAACAATTCATGTTTAAAAAGTTGTGTTTTCGAAACGAATTTGAAGAAACCGATAATCAAATTGTTTGATTGATTTTCATTATCCGTAGATTATCCGAAGATTATCCGACTGTTTAAATGATTTTAATGTTGTGGAAATTCAACCAGAAATAATATTACATGCAAATACAAATAAGCACTTTTTGTTTGTTTTTAAATTATATAATTACGTTATTTTTTTTAAATTATAAATCAAGCTACAAATTTATGTATTTCTTCTGAATTTAAAAGATAACTGAACAATAAATGAGGGGTAAAAGTTATATTCGCTTCACATACATCCCTTACATGAAGGGTGAAAGCAGGAATTTCTCCATGAATGAGTCACACGTAGGTGTGCCTTCGTTTAATATTGCGCACCTGGATCGAAGTCTTGTCGAGTTCCAGGTTACTTAAACCCGGCAAACTCTGAAATATATCGTCATCAAATCTTTACGTTAAACACAATAATATAACACAAACAATTCATTTTGGATGTCATCTTTAAAAAATATGGGAAAATTTATTCCTAAATTATTATATTAACGTAGCTGAATTTTAAAATGAATAATATATAATTTTTTATATGAAATATTTAATAAATATTTTATGATACTTTAAGAATGAATAAGAGAAATTGCGAAAGAACAGTCTGTTCCGAGAGACTAATGCTGCTCGGTTATATTTTAAAGAGTTGCCAACAATCCTATACGAGAGATATGGATTTAACGAAAGGGATATATACTCTTCACGTTCTAATTCTATGCACCCCGTAAATTGCGACTTCGATCAGATATAACTTACATGCGGCCATCTGACAGAAATAGCAGCGAATACTGACATCGCATATGTTAGTTCGTTGTTCATATGACTATGTGCAATATTATATTATACTTTCTAAAATAAAAAATAGAAGATAATCTCTTTTCTTTATTAAAAAGGAAGAGAAAGAGAGAGAGAGAGTGAGAGAAAGAGAGAAACAGAGAAGATAAACATCTTACGATGATTTTTATCGCTTATGTGATAATGATAATAGTGATAATAGTAATAATTATGCACGAAATGAATGCATTACATACAGATATAGATATCTTTCTATATAAAAGAGTGAATAACTTGAAAATAATGTATAAAATTCTTTTTTATCTTTTCCTCTTTGGTATATTATTTCATGGGAACTATTATAAAAATTTATATATATAAGATAATAAAATGTATATAGAAATATATATAATAGTCCTACGAAATAATATATCAGAAAGGAAAAATAGAAAAGTTTTAAACACTGAAAAAAGTTGTTAATTTAACTAAATCGTTCAACTAAATACTATTGTGTTAATTGAACATATAGAAATATTTAAAATAAATATAACATTAAATATAACAAAATATATATTTAACTTAAATACTAATATATGTATAATTAATAAAATAGTAATTTAGTTGAACGATTTAGTCAAGTTTATAATTTTTTTCACATAATATGTATATATTGAAAATAAAGTTAAAAAGTTCCTTGATATGTTTATAATAATTTATAATAGTTTTATACGTTTGTTCTTATTCAATTTTAATGCCTGTTTTATATTTTTTAAAAAGTTCTCTCTCTTTCCAAAACTCTAATATAGAACTCTAAATCTCTTAAAATTTAACAAAGAATGAGAATAAATTCTTCTGAATATTGAATGTGTGCATCTACTATCTCAATTGATTTTCAATCAATTTATTTAACAAAAATTAATTGTTTAAACTATCAAGAACTATAAAACTATTGCATATAAAGCCAGAATTTTTTAATACATAGTTTATACATTTTCACATAATATGAACAATATCAATTTTGTACACGCAAGATTTGAGAATCACTGACTATACATATATACCTGCTAAAGAGATTAGAATTCGGTGGACAATAGAATTTAAAAAAGAATTTTTTGTAAGAAATGTGTTACCTGAGAGTTTTTTGAAATTTTACAGAGATAATGAAAGCTTAGACCGGGTTTACAATAGGTGTAGTAAGCTCTAAGCCTTAAGAAATCCACCAATAACAGTCGATTATTCCCCTCATTTTTGACTGTGATTGGTGAATTTGTTAAAGCTCAGAGCTTGCTACACCTATTGTAGACCTGGCTTTATTCTTTATTTAATTTCAACTATGTCAAAAAGAAAATACTTAAGTACAACTTAAAATTTAATTAGAAAGTTTCAATCCCTTACAACCCTAATTAAAAAAACCTAGTCTCTAAAATTGCGAACAAATCTATTAAAAAGAGATAATGCTATGCCTGGCAATACCCTGTGTAACATGCAGATGCAAATAAGAAATACATCTTTATCAAGTCTTATATGGATTTTCAAATTAGCTTCTCCTTATCTCTATCTTAATCTATTGCATAAATATTATTTTCTATAGATAACACGATGAGATAGATAAATGAGTTGAGAAACACTATGTCCGAAATAGCGTGCGTGCAGGTTGACCCATGCACACAATGGCAAGTACCTTTTTTTAGGACGGGTGCGGACCTTTAGGTACAAAAGTGAAAGTAGGAAACGCAAAAAAGCATTTTCTATCGTTATATAGATATTTACATTATACTCAAACAATGTTCAGTGAAGATTTTATGCATTTTATTCCACCACGATATTTAATCACAAAATAGCTCTTTGCTATGTCAATTATAGCTCTATTGATAAATTTCTTTTATACATAGAATCCAGTGATCGAATCTGATCTGGATTAAAATTTGTATATATTTATTTTTATATAATAATTGTATCGATATTATTATATGCAATATACTAGAATTCCCAATTTAATTTTTTTTATCTATATAACATGTTTTTAATTTTCACTGTCAAACAAGAATATTACGAAGGAAACCCTGCTCTAATATTTATAAAAAATGATTATCGTAAATTGAATTTTTCAGTTTCTTTCGGAAATATTATACAGATTTTCTGCAGCTCTGTGATCAAAGAAAAATCATTTAAAAGTAATTTAAAATTAAATGTTAAAAGGCTATTTAATAAGAACATGTATAAAAAAATAGAGCGAATGTATCAAATGACTTTAAACATTCTGTTCTGATAGAAATATCTGATCCTTTTATATAAATACCTCATAAAGAAGAATAAAGAATGAACGATCCTAATTATGAATTTTAATACATTGTATATTCGTGCGCGCGCGATTAAATACTTGCATTTGTGTAAAAATAGAAGTAAATTAAAAAAAAAATATATATATATATACCAATATACACGCAAACATGTTCAAAGATTGTATCTTTAGTGCTTATCTCATAATGTAATATCGATCGCACGAAGCTGTATGAATGAAACCGCGCCTCGGAATCGCGTAAACAAATATATACATAATGAATCGCGCAACTGAATCTTTAAAGGATAGTTTGCGTATACTTTTGCTGCGCATCCTGGCATTGAAATCACCACCCGATAATGGCTAGTGATCGCAATGCTGTCTGATAACAAATGTGATACTCCAAGATTTGCCTATATAATAAATCAAATTTTATTTTTTGAGAAATAACCCTACGAACATTAAATTTATTTTTTATATTATGAATTGGCAATTAAAATTTTTCAAATTTTTGACGAAATTTTTAATATATATTTATATCTAATCATCTAATTGTTATATATACAAAAATAACTAACAACAAGATTAGATAATAGAATACTTATGCGTTATTTAATATTAGTGTTTAAATTCATTAAGTACTATTCCTTTATATATTTCTAAAATAAAAATTAAGAATATATATAAAAAAATCGATGTAATAAGTATAAGAGTGAAAATTTGTATGTCATTGATAATTTAACAAAAATCTTTAAAATTTTATACTTAAATTAAATGCTTAAATTTCTTAATATAGCTTTTAGCCCTCTTTATGAGGTATTTATATAAAAGAATATTTCTATCAAAATAGATTATTCAGAGTCCTTCTTTATAATCAATATCTGTAACGAAATCTCTTCCTATAGTATAATTCGCATTTATTAATTATTATTGCTATATTTATACAAATCTGATAAAAGATTGAAATACAATAATAAAGCATAATCTTTTTTTTCAAAACTTTGACATTTTTGCACTACAATAATTGAAATAGGATGATTTCTATAGTGACAAGAGTTAATTATTGATATTAAATCTGATTCAAATTGGAGCAAAGAAACAAAGTATATAAATAGAAATAATTAAAAACACAAAGATCAAAATATAAATTAGAGTAATAATATGATAAATATAAAAATTTATAAAATAATCAATTACAAATCGTAATAAAAACCTATTTTCCTTTTGGAAAAAAATGCGAATAAGATAGTTTTATTGTGTCAATTTAATTTATTCTTTTCTACGTCATAATGAGATGGGCTACTCTAGTTGTACTTTGTACTATCAGCAAATTGATTACATGCACTAGAACGCATCAATGCGCACCAAATATCGTCGGTATGCAAATTACCATAAAAGCGTACGTCAACAAAATAACATAAAAACAGTTCGCTAACGCAAAATGTTCGACATGTCACATTGTATTTTTTTAGTAAAGAATGATTGACGTTTCAGAATAAGTTGAGACACTTTCATCATATGCCCTTTGACCTTTGATACCTTAATCAATGAAAACTATCACTCTCCTTTACTATCAAATGTATAACATATTTAATCTAAATTAATTTTTAAAATTTTGTATGCAAAGCATATTTTCTTAAAAAATCAAATATATATATTTATAACGCTATAACTTCACTTTTCCTTTGTTTCTTTCTCTAAACATACCTCATCCCGGCGTCTATATGGTCTACGTCATCTTAAATGCGGCGAGTGCAAAAAATTGAAGCCAGAAAACAAGCGGTCCTTCGCGAGTCGAGGCGAAACGATCGCGGTGTCGAGGCGAGCTTTCACTTTTCTCGGATTCGACTTGCACAAGCAAACGGCGAGCGTCCGTCCATCGCCGTCGTGCCGTAAGCGACGAAAGGACCAAAAATCGTGAAAATTTCCCCTCTCGCGTGATAGGGGATGAGCGTACGCTTTGTATCTCCTCCTCTCGTGGAGGAGGAAACGAGAAGGATGAACGATAAACGAAGAGACGCGCGCGCGCGTCTCTTATCGATCAGAACAACGCGCTGCCACCCTCTCTCAACACTCACCTGCAGCCGAACGCTACTCTCCGTCATTGCAACAACCGGATCGAGTCCTCGCGAGATCGTCGTCGTCGTCCTCGTCGCCATTCACGTTCTCCTCCGAATCGTTTATTTAATTAATTATTAAGCGTTGCGTGTCGACGCGATGCTACATCTGTCCTCGCAGCAGCTCGTAGCGCTCGCAATCCGAGAAGACGGTCTTCCTCTTCGTAGCCGCGCCGGACGTCGTCGCCACAGACACGAATCTAGAAGGCACGTAATACATATTACACCTGCCTCAAGCACAACAAACGCCCGTCCGCTCGTAATAACGTACGTGCGTTATTCGCACTTAATTAATGAAATCTTCGCTCTCGAATTTATTTTTCGCTCGCACAGCGTCAAACAAACAACCCCGTAGGGATACGCACCCCGACGCACGACGCGTTCGACGGACACTGGACAAAATGGCGCGGATTGTCCCGCGTTGTCCCATGACTCCGACGCCAGAGAGCGCCCGGTCGCCCGGAACGTGGAGGAGGAGGTCTGCCTGCGCCGGTGTAGAACCACGGAGGGGAATCGGAATCTCCGACGTCACAATGCTCGTAAAGCGCGGAGAACGAACAGGTTTCTATACACCAAAACCACGCCTCTTCGATATTCAAGTCGCGTTGATGACAAGTGGAGAGGAACCTCTATCTGCGACCTAGTCCGGAAGCGAGATGTTTCTTCCAGTATCTCTTTTCGAAAATAATTTCATACAGAATGTTGTTTCGTATCCTTCTTCTTAACAATGTCATTTTGATGTTTTTCTTCGCATTATAAATCTTGTCAAACCTGAAGAAAATTCAACTTAGATTACAATTGTGAAATATATATTAAAAATATATTAAATAAAAGAGAAATTCAGTTAAAATTTTTTTTAATATGTTGTTTCTAAAACAAGATATGACAATAAATGGAAAGATATAATCTTAAAATATATATTATAATTGTGAAGCAAGATTATTTAAAAATTATTTGTATATATGAATATTTTTGTATGTTTAAAATGATTGGAAATTTATAAATATTTATTTTCATATTTATGATAAAAAGATGTCAGTAATTATAATGAATTAATTTGTGTTTTGATTTTGCTAATATATATATATATATATATATATATATATATATATATATATTTATAATGTAATAAAAAAAGAAACTCAATATTGAGAGAATTTTGTTGAATATAATACATACCAAAGAGAGAAAAATAACGCGAGATATTTTGAGATTGAGTCCTGGAATCTGCTCATTTGCCGAGATTCCGTCGTTCGATCATTCCTTGGATTGTTTCCGAATGATGTAGAAGGGGTGAAAGATAGTTCCTGGAAACGTTCCCCTCTTTTCTAAGAAGCGAAATAATCTTTTTTTTATTTGTGTGTCTATCTATGGCGCGTACACATTGCGCAGAAGTACTTGAAGATATGTATTTTATACATATATATACATACATATATATATATATATATATATATATATATAATATACACATACACATACACATATATATGTGTACGTATAGATTTCTACCCCAGCAGGGATGCAGAGATGCAGGGATGCAAGGACGCAATTGCGCAGATTCCAAATATGCGGTGCATGAAATAGACGAGCCTCAGACGTCATCATGTGGTGCATCGACACAAATGACATCGTCTTATCTCGCTTTTCCCTTGGTAAGCATATATATTCGCTCGTTCGTTCTGTCGTCATCTCTCTCCCTTCTACTGCCTCCTTTTTGTTCCTTCTTTTACACGAAAGTCTCTTTCACGTGTCCCGTAACCGCAGTTCGGTCGATTCCCAAGTGACATCACAATCGCTCGCCCATCTCGTAGTAACCGTGACCGTGATACTCAAGGTCTCGCGTAAACGCCTACGCATAATGTACTTGGCAAAAATGTAGAAAAATGTGAGTCAAGAGAATAAATTCAGAAATAAATCTACATCTAACAAGTAAAGAAATTATGAGTGCAAAAACTCTTTCTTTAAGAAAAATTTGCAAAGGTTTAGAATCGTGACCTTTTATCTATTTTTAAAATGAAATTGAATATAATTAAAATAATAAAAAAATATATATACACACACACACACACACACACACACACACACACACACACACACACACACATATATATATATATATATATATTATAAAGTACATATTATATATACATATATATATATGCTTATGTTTTGTATAAAATTGCAGAAAATTCTTTGTTCAAATAACTATGTGCTGCTGCACTATATTCCACAAAAAAATATTATAAGAATTTTAGTTACTATGTGCTCCATATTCACAAATAATTATAGAATATCATTAAAATTTTAAAGTTAAAATTTTATCGTTTTGTAACTGAAAAACAATAAAAGTTTGTTCTCTTGTTTAAAGATATATTAAACTAATCAGATGGAAAGTTTGTTCTCTTGTTTAAAGATATGTTAAACTAATCAGATAGAAATATCAGTAATATACACATACAAAGTTTATATAAAAAAAACTTAATTTTCACTGAAACTCTTCAAGTTTTTATATTCTTGCACTATGTTCTCAACTTTTGCAAAAGCTTCCAAGAAATCATCTTCCTCTAAACCAAATTGTTTATATTGATGTAAGAAAGCTGCAAATTTGTAAGAACTCCATGCTTTATCCAGATATACATTCAATGGTCGATGTATCTCTGAATTGTTGGTGACCAATGCTAAGAACTTGTCTCGATTCAGAAACTTGCGTTCTTGATGCAAATGAGTGAAAAATTCTAATGTGCTCCAATCTGAGTATAGATGTCTTTTCTGCAGATCTTCCAACACTACAACATCATTCTGCATAGATTTTCCACGTGTTACAAGAACATTAGATACACAAGGACTGTACATATGAGACACAATTGTTTTGCCCAGTATAGGATTTGGTGTTTTTAACTGAACATTTGTCAATTCCGTTTGTGATTTTGATATTCGAAGAGTCTGTTTCAAATGACGTACATACACATCCCACTTGTGAGTAAGTTCATATTGTAAAGATGTTGCAGGGACATATGGAGTGCTCTTGATTGTTACAAATCTAAAATTGGGATGCGCAGCTATTTTGGATATTAAAAAATTCATGTCGTACCTTGCATTGTTAGTAGGTTGAAAAGCAGCGAGCAGATTCTCAGAAATGATACTGTTTATATCACATAACGTAGTATTCGAATTCTTCAACAAACTGGTGCTCATCGCATGCATCTGCTGGTTCTCAAACAACACAGAAAGATCTGCTTCATCGCAAAACTCAGCCAGAGTCAATATAGTATTGTAATTCTGAGTGCAGACTTCTCCGAAGGTAAATGGTAGCACAATGGCAGCACCGATGGACTTAGTCTCGTACTCCTCGCGCAAAATTTCAACCATACGGCTTCCAATTCCAGATCCCGTGCCACCAGCTGAACTGAGGAGCAGCAGAAATCCCTGGAAACGATCCAATTTCTCAAGCTCTTGTCGCGTGACGTTCAACACAGAATTCGACAAGCGTTGACTGTTGATCTTGTAACCATAAGCCCAATTGTTGGCGCAGCCACCTCCGGATTGACAAACGACGTTGCTCATCCGATAGGTCCACGACGCGTTCGTTTCCTTGCTAATCTTCTTCACTACCTTCTCCTCGGTGTCGACGAGTATCGCTCTGGCGAAATGCCGGGCGCCTCCTGTCATTCCGTCGAACCATTTCTCGACCGTGCTTTCTGCGTACTCGTAATTCGCCTTGTAAGACACGCCGGTGTTCGAACTCTCGAGATCAGCTGATATCTTCGAGAACAAGTTGTGTCCGAGCTGATTCCCGCACTGTCCGAACTGTAACGTCAACATCGAATCTCCTCTTTCTTCCTTTTATTGGCAGTTCAGCTTTGTTTATAAGGTGCTGCTCATGCTGCCAGATTCTCTTCCTAAGATAAGTACTTGGGCTTTAGTAGATCTTGAGGTAGGTACTGCTTCTTATGTTAGATGTTGATGTTTTTTGACGAATGAGGTGATAGGGAGCATAAGGAGCTCCTCTTCTTCCACTTCGCAATTCGAACGACTTGGTCTCATCGGCGTTTCTGGAAGCTGTTCAATTGTTTGTATGTGTATTTCGGATACTATACATAATATATGTAGTCTCAGATGCGAGATATATAATATTTTGGAATAATATGATACGTTTCGGTTTACTTACTCTTGAAAGAAGGATGGAAGTGACGTTATTTGAACGGCAAACACGAGCGATCTTTGAAATTTAACATCCAGCCGTTGCTTCCCGCCAGCGAACTGCGTGCTTCTATAACAAAGTGCAGGGAGTGTAACTGGTACAACTTGGTGCAACTAAAGTGCAACTGAAATGAAAGTAAATAAATAAAGCGAGACTTCTACATTTTTGACATTTGAAAAGCTTCGCTCGTTTCTTATTAAATATAAATTACTGCATAATTAAAAATTATGATAAGAGTTTACAGCTTTTTTTTCATCAACCGACAATATTGAACAATATTAGACAAGTAACCACAAAATTTAAAAATTATCTTTTATCTTGTAAAAAAAAAAAAAAGACAATGACTGATATTCGATATACATTGATTTTGTACAAAAGCTACTTACACAATATTGAAAGTATGTTATATCTGTTATATTTGCACAAATAATATTAATTAAGAGGTTAAGAAAATTATAAATTGTACTGTCATTTGTCAACAGGATTTCTGTGAACGCGCTGAAAAAAAGGTGCGCGCGGTAGCAGAAACTGCATTTCAATACACGGATTTGTTAATTGCAAGTCATTAATTTGCAATGTACAATAGGATGGGTGTCCGTATGCAGAGAATACTTTTGTGCGTGGTCGCGGTGATTTTTGGCATTGCTTATTTATGTGCAAATCGGCGCGTGAATGAAAAGGAAGTATCCTTGAAGCAACTTCTTGCCGCCGCGATAAGAGCTGCTGAAATCGGAGGATCCGAAGTGGTGGCTGTGCACGATCAGATTAAATTTAAAATAGAGAGTAAAGGCCAAACAAAGGAAGGTAATGGCTTATAATATGCAACTTGGTATTCAACGCATGATATGATATTTATATTATGTACATATAATACTGTCATATTTTCTCTTCACATTATTTGCATATTTATATAATTTTGTCAATTTTACCTTTAAAGGAGTCAATGATCCAGTAACAGCAGCGGATTATAGATCTCACTGTGCCATGTATCGTGCTTTAACAGAATCATTCCCAGGAGTTACTGTGATATCTGAGGAAACTTCGCAGGATTGTGACGAAATTGTAGTGGAAAACATTAAGAACTCTGTAAAAAGTATTGATGGATATGATTTAAGCGATGACATCGTGAACATTAACGATATTACAATTTGGATAGATCCTCTTGATGCTACCAAAGAGTTCACAGGTAACAGTACATCTTTATCATATTTTTATCTTCATTTAACTAAAAAATTAAATTTGAAATATTTGACAGTATTCTTTTATATTTTTAGAGAATTTACTTCAATATGTATCTACTATGGTATGCGTAGCTGTGAAAGGACAACCGATTATTGGTGTTATATATAAGCCATTTGAAACAAAGCAGAATTACAGTTTATATTGGACATGGACTAATCATGGTGTCTCAAGGAATTTAAAAAATTTGTCCAAGGTGATTGTAAAAATAGAATTGATTTTGAATTAAAAAATATAATTTATATATACTCAAAGGATAGTGATGTATATAAATTGGAATAAAGTCAATTTTTTGAAACATTATTGCTAATCTTTTTGTATTTTACAGACAAAGGATAATAGAACACCTATCCTGATTGTATCTCTTTCACATGCTGGACAAGTTAAGAATACATCTAAAGTTGCCTTTGGCAACAATGTTGACATTATTTCTGCTGCTGGTGCAGGTAAAAAGACGTTTCTAATAACTGTATTTTTCTAATTTACTTTCTGTTAGTTGAAGACTTATAATAGAAACAAAGCTAAATGATAAATAATAATTTGCAAGACAAATGATAATTTTTATACAACATGGATTTTCAACTCAAGATTTGTTTTTATGTTATTATATCGTGAATAAAAATTTTCATTTTAGGATATAAGTTCTTAGAAGTGGCTGTTGATAATGCAACAGCATATGTTCATACAACTGCTATCAAAAAATGGGACATATGTGCAGGAACAGCAATTCTAAGGTATTTGCTATTTTTGCTGATTATTAATCTAGTAGTATTATTCCATTTTATTTATCTATTTTATTTTCAATATAGTGCTTTAGGAGGAACAGTGACACAGTTGTATGATCAGCAACCGATCTATTTTGGAGCTAGCAATGGCAAAGTACTTACAAAGGGTCTTTTAGCAACTATGAGTGATCATGCATGGTATTCTGAAAAATTTTTACATGACTTTCCATCTGATTTTCATTAATTACAAATAAAATACATAAAGAAAAAATTAAGAGACTGTATATATTGTTTCTGAAGGTGATACAAAGTTTGTGTTCTAAGCAATTAATATTAATATACACTCATATATATATATATATATAAATATACATATATGTATATAGGTAATAAGATTACATATCTTCCGACAGCTGTTATTTCATTAAGTATTTACTGTAAGAAATATATTTCTCATAGTTGTATAAAAATAGAATTTTATACAATAAATCAAATTATAACAGTCTTTAATAGTTTTATAAATTACAAATTCAAACATTTTGTATAAATATATTCGTGAAATTTAATATAAAATAAAAACTGTTATTTGCAGGTTAATTTATTGCATTGATGTATTTTATGTATACAGCTGAATAAAAATGTTTCTCTGTTTAATATAAAGTGACATTACCTGTTTTGCTTTTTCGCTGACACCTGTATGAAAATGATTATTCAACTAAGGGTGGTAATTTTACTATATCTTCTAGAATATATATTACAGATGCTTTTTTCATCTTTTTCAATGTTTTGTTAAACTTTCTAATAGCTTCTTCACATTCTGCATCAGTCAGATTACTTACATCATGTGTATTAGAAACATAACATTTATATTTTTTAATCACTTTGCTTTGTAATTTCTTTAAAGATATTTCATTTTTAGCTTGTACAACATCTAAAACAATCTTTTTCCAATCAAACGGACTACTATTCTTTTCATTTTCGTTTGTCTCTAAAGTAGATGTTTTTGAAATCTTTGCAGCAGGTTGGACATCCTCTGCTATTTGATCATTAGTTGATTTCAATCGTCGTTTCTTAGATTTTCTCTCACACACATTATCACCATTAGTCTCGCATACTTCACCATTTCCATTGTGTTGCTTTGAAGAACCATTTTCTTTGCATATATTTTCATTATTTTGATTTTCAACAATATTTTGATTGTCAAATGAATGATTCAAATCTTTATTTTGAGTACATGTTGTCTCATCTACTAAAACACATTTCATTTATATTTATTATAAAATTATACATATATTTGTGCGTAACAAACTGTTATAATTACCATTATTTTGTTCTGGAATCTGCGTAGTGTCTTGTTCTCGAGTTTGTGTAACAGACTCTTGATTTTGTTTATGCGCAGTTTCCATTTTATCCCAGACGCTCTCCACAACTGTCATATTTACACGATTGCCCACTGCACTGCGTACAAAGTTAAGGAATTTAACCTTCTTCCTTGGTAGATTATCATATTTTGATAAAGTGTTAAGAAAGTTTCTTTCTGCCTTGGACAAATTTGTTATTCCACTCAACAAATTGTTAACAACACAAATCCATTCCTGCTGTTTTCTTTCTCCTTTATTTGCATTAGGTTTTGAAACATAATTTTTTCCGCCGTATCGTTCGGCTTCGGTTATGCATTTGGTGTGTACATTATATTCCTCACCCCTGAAAATAATCGAAAATATTAAAAACACAATTATGAGCATATAATATGATGTGTATATAATATTCAATCAACTAATACTCATAAGATTTTTAAAATTTAATATTATTAATTAAGTTCTTCATAAATTCTTACCGAAAATCTTTTAAGCAGTCCGCACATGTTAAAAAGGGTACATTCCGGCATCTAAATTGATAATGTTTAGCCACTTTGGGCTTTTGCAATGAATCACCACAGTGGTTACAAGTAAAGACAACCATGCTGTGAATGTTTATACAATCAAATTTAGTAATGATTCAAACAACTGTCAAAATATATTTACGATTATATTATCCAATAATAAAGTTAACTAACCTAATAAAATTAAAGACAGAGCACATGAAGCACGCAGCTGACTACAAAATGACGCCGGCCACTAGGTGGCGCTAATAGGATATCTTTGCTCTAATCTTTGTCAGCTTACTTCAAAATGTACGCAAATATTAATAATATTATTAGATTATTAATAATATTATTTCTACATTTTAATGCGTATTTAAGTTTCTGTGTAATACGCCATAGCGAGAGAGAAGAAGCATCTTTCTCTCTCTTTCTCTGGAAATGTTTTTGAAAAATTGTTTTATCAAAAATGTGTCACAGTGTGTCATCTACATGTATGTGTGAAAATATGTTAATAACACATATTTATAAATTAAAGATAAAATCATGCGTGATTTTTTATCGATAGTCCAAAAAAAGATGTCATATTTTAAAAATGAATACGAAATACCGCGACAAGATGAAAAATACTGAAACAAAATTAACGAATTTTTTTTGCTCACAATGATTAAAAATCTACTTTTACTGTTTACACACAAAATATAGAGAACTAAAATATTCTATAAAATTGGCGGGAACTGTTCTTTCTCATGCTTCCTTCTTTCTCTTTCGAATCTGAATACATGTATATCTGTTACACTTTAAGTGCACAAAGTGTAATGTGGAGAAGTGAATCCTCCCTTCCCCTTCTAAATGTATGTACCACGTGCTTTATACATGCCGGTTTTATTTACAATCAACAGTATAATTAATTAATCGCTGTATAGTGCGTAGTATATTAATTCAAGACATTCAATTCATTGTCAGTGAAAACAGTAGCTTTGAAAAATTTGTAAATATTATTCTTATTATACTTGAGAATTGTAAATGAGTGATGCAAAACAGTAAACCGTTGCACGAAGTTTAGATTATCTACATTAATGATTTGGAGTGTAATAATTGTATAATAGTAATATTTATAGAAGTGTGTGTACACAGTTTATAGTGTGTATAGAATTAATAAAATGCGACTATATGTTACCAAGAAAAATTATTTTAATATGGCTAGATGATAATCAAAAAAGGATTGCCAATGAAGCCTCAATTATCAGACGAGAAAAATAATGTCTTTAAAATCACTGATGCGTTCATTAAGTGTAGGAAGACGTGATAAATTTCGGATATTTTATCATCGTTTATATCAGACTGATAGTAGTAGCATAATAAACGAATCAGTACCTGGGGTGTCTATATCTCAAATAAAACAGATTCTGAAACAAAAACAGATTATCACTGTCGAAGGACATGCATGCATAAGTATAGAATGTCCTATATGTGATTTTGAAAAATTAAAAAAGGCCAAGATTTATATCAATAAGACAACAGGTAAGAAATGATAATGTTAAATATACAAGATAATTGTATAAGCAGATATCGTGTACAATTAAAGTAATTCTTTTTCTCTTAAAAAACTTATTTTCTTTTAGGGTACTTCGTGTGTGATAAATGTAGTTCTAAAGGCGAATGGAATATATTAGAGAAATTTTTGTTATTAACAAAATCAAGCAAGACAAGTAATACACAGAAAGAATTGGAAACTTTAAGAAATACTATAAGAATTCAAGAAGATTATGTTTCAAAATGGGACGACATAACAAAATCTAATCAACAAGTGGCAGATTTATCGCCAGATTTGTACGAGCAAATTCTACATACATTCTCACTCCCAGTAAGATAAATAAGTTATAGAAGTTTCAATATAGAATCTTATTTAATTATATTAAATACTAATCAAACATTACAGAAAATTTCACAACAAGACATTGCACAGTTAAATGGTGTATATTCATCTACACCATTATTGTATTTTCCATTAATTGCCTTTGGTAACATTATTGTTGGTTATAAGACTCTTTCTAGTGAATTAGGATTAGAGCAAACCATACCTATTTGCAATGTTGGTGGATTTATCAGTTACAAGCAAAAAAACACCAGAGCTGATGGAACTGCTGTAGTTGTGCCGACAATACATGATTTGTTGGCATTAGCATCTCAAAAGGCAGCAAATACGATTATCTGTTTGCCATATAATTTGCAGAACTTGCCACAGCAGCTATTGCCAAGTCTAGAAAGTTATAAGAAATTAATCTTGTGGTTTGGAAATGATGAACCTAGCTGGTATACAGCCAGACAATTTGCTAAGAAATTAAATGAAAAAAGGTGTTACTTTGTGAGACCAATTGACACACAACCTAGACCAAAACTAGCTATTGATAAAGGCTATGATCTTAAAAGTATTTTGACGAATGCACAACCAATATGGCACAAAAGTATTACTACGTTCGATGATCTCAGACAAGATGTATTATGCGATTTGCAAAATATAGATAGAGTTCAGGGTGTAAAGTGGAAAAGATATCCTGCTCTAAATCGAATTTTAAAGGGACATAGAAGAGGAGAATTTACAATTCTAACTGGACCTACAGGTAAAATAAATTTACATTAATTAAAACTTATTCTATATTAGACACCAGATGCAACAAAATAACTAAATTTCGTTTTTATTTTATTATGAAATGCTACATATCAAATATTTTTTTATACATGTTAATATATAAAATATAGCACTTGGCAGTGTATATATTTTTAGGTTGTGGAAAAACTACGTTTATGAGCGAGTATTCATTAGATTTAGCAATGCAAGGAGTTAATACATTATGGGGCAGTTTTGAAATCAGGAATGCTCGGCTAGCTAAAACTATGTTACAACAAATGGCAGAAGTATCTTTAGAAGATAATTTGGACAAGTTTAACACGTATGCAGATGCTTTCAACAAGTTACCAATTTATTTTATGACATTTCATGGTCAGCAGAACATCAAAATTGTTATGGATGTATGACTATATATTAAATTATCTATAAGTGAAAAATTTAGTATCATGCATATCACTAACTTATCTTTTTTTCAGGCAGTTGAACATGCAACATATGTGCATGATATAGCTCATGTAATAATTGATAATATGCAGTTTATGATGGGTATATCGGATGAATCAAAACATATGGATAGGTGATAGACAAATGTTTTAAAAATTCTTTTTAAAAATTGACTTTCTTATACAGCGTTATATTATAGATTTTGGAAACAGGACAAAATCATAGCAGAATTTAGAAATTTTGCTACAAAATATAACTGCCATGTTACATTAGTTATACATCCGAGAAAAGAACGAGAGGAAGAATTGACAACTTTATCTATTTTTGGCAGTGCTAAAGCAAGTCAAGAAGCTGACAATGTATTGATTATACAAGATAAAAGGCTTACTAGTTTACGAGGAAAAAAATATTTACAGGTATACATCTGCAATAATAGATGATATATTTTCAACAATAAGTATATCGAACTATAACATTTTATTGTGTCATTAGGTTGCAAAGAATCGATACAGTGGAGATTTAGGTGTAATGGTTCTGGAATTTGACAAAACCAAACTCAGTTATGCACAAAAGAAGAAAACTAAATCAGAGGAAGCAAAGGAAGGAAAAGAGATTTTCCCTACAGAAAGCTAAATACTGATAATAGTAAGGTAATAGTTTAGTGCCAAAGCTGACAATAAGAATACACTACAAAATATAATTTGTCAATAGATGTATAATTTAATTGAAATGTGTATAAATTTCTACTATATTTTCTACAAAAGTTGAAGAGAAGATATTTTATATATTAATATATAAAAAGAAGCATGTTCATAAAAAACTAATTACATGATTTGTTTTTAAATTTTCCTGTTTTATCGATCGTGCGTTACCCACGCGTTTGTGATAATAGAAAAGAGATCACGTCGTCGTGTCATCTCTTGGTATAAAATCTTTCTTAAATTTTCTTAATAGACCGCGTCGAGAAAAACACGGAAATTTAATAAACTTCGTACAAGTATTAACTTTATACGATGATACTTCGAAAATACTATTTGATTTATTTCGTTATATATATCAGTCTCGCGTGTTTTGCTACATGTGACACAGTTTTAAAGGAACCCACTCTGCTGATCGCTATCCTGGTCAGAAATAAGGCACATACATTGCCTTATTTTTTGAGTTTGCTGGAACGACAGGATTATCCCAAGGAACGCATTTGTATCTGGTAACAGAACATAACCTCACTTTACTCCTACGCGCCGGCAATATATAGAAATTCGTGAAAATATTAAAATTTATCATATTTATATGTGATAAATATTAATACACTAAATAAGAACTAATCAACGCAGATTAATTATAACCTCAAAAGCGCAAATTCGGTGAAAATATTGACGCATTACAAATTGCTCTTTTTTATAATTATTATATTCGTTGAATATATAATAAAATACTTTTAATAATGAATGGTTGAAAGAGAATAAGTTCACGAAATACCTTGAATTAAATTCCCAAGTTAATCGAAATTTCTCGTCGCACGCTTATTTATGCTCTTCGTTTTTCATTTCATTTTTCAAACTTTATTTATAAATTTGAAGTTGCGCGCCAGTCGCGCAATCGATGTACGAACAATGCAATAATCGTAAGACAGGTGCGCGTACGAACACACCTGACGTCACGTGACGTGTGACGTTTCGCGAGATTCGTTGGACGGTTGTGCAGGAAATTATTTCACTCGTATCTTTTACTGTGAAATCTAATAATCTGTAGGTAATTGCTTCTAATTCTTTCAAATCCTATTTCCTTGTCAACTCTGTCGTTGAATAAGTAATTAAATGATACAATCAGAAACGCGTGAATATACAAATTGAACTATTAAAGAAGATGAACTTTCACACACGCACACATATGTACATACACATACACGCATTTGAATTTGTGCTCAATCTTACATCATATATCATTGCGACTAACTTTCTAATAAAATATTTTTCTAATAAAATATTCTAATAAAATTCTAATAAAATTTTCTAATAAAATATTAATAAAATAATTTTTAAATATAATATATAATTTATTTATATCAAGTTTTCTATAATAATATATATACATATATATATATAGAAAATAATCATGATAGGATAAATTGACTATTTTTTTACACTGTTTTAGGATACGCAGTGATAATAATGTCGACAATTCGATAGATGTATTAAGAAAGTGGATCACTTTGGAAGGCGAAAAGTATCATTCCTTGAATATTCAGTTAAATGCAACATCAACGAGGTTCGAGGATGAAAGGACATTTGCCGATTGGTCGCCCCGCAGGTTTGCGCATGTAATAGATTTGCGTGAACAAGCCCTCAATTATGCAAAAGAAATATGGGCGGATTTCATTTTAGTAAGTTAATTTCTGTAATCTTAATAATTATTAATAATCTAATGTCTTAGTAATCTAATGAAAGAAATTTATTTTGAGAGAATAAATTTATTCTTCGCATGAATCAATTTTGTACGAGTATATTTTTCTTGACATAAATATATAGTTGTTTTTATTAATATACAAAGTTAACTACGAGCTGAAAATTTTCTTATAAATAAACTATAGATATTTTAACAACTATCAAGATGTATTAATCACATAAAATGTTTTATTAATTTACTCTGTTATTTGTGTGATGTGTGCATGTGTGTTTGTGTATACATGCTCTATATTTTTTATATATTACGCACTTATATTTTTACATTTACATATTCTTATGAATTTTTTGTCACGTTAATTTCACTTTGATTATTATAAAAAATTATTTAAATTTAAGAGTTAAATTTTTTAAACATGCACTTTTAAATATTCACAATAAATGCATTATTATTTTTTTGTCTTTAATATCTAACATACTTGCAACTGATATTTTAAGATTGTCTGAAGAGAAACCAAATTTTTGATTGACAGATGCTGGACGCTGATGTTTTTTTGACTAATTCAAGCACTATACACAGTTTGATACTTAAGGGACAGACTGTCGTGGCACCTTTATTGAGATCGGACGGCATGTACAGTAATTTTTGGGCTGGAATGACAGCGGAATATTATTATATTAGAACGGATCTCTACGAACCGATTTTATATCGCGAAAATATTGGATGTCATCACGTGCCTATGGTCCATAGCGCAGTACTTATAGATCTAAGAAGATACGATTCCGATCGTCTGACTTACAAGGCTGAAAAATTGATCGCCTATAACGGACCCGAAGACGATATTATAACTTTCGCCGTAGGAGCTAATAAATCGGGTAAATGCTTATAATTGTCTCACTTATATATCTACTATAAATTATTATATATCACTTATACATTATAAACTATAGCATAGATTTAAAATTATCGCACTTATATCAGTTATAGATTATATATTCTAATTTATTGATCTTTGCTTTCTTTACTTTACATCAATGAAAAGTTTGATTTTTCTCGATTATAAATTGGTAAAAAAAAGATTTGTGCTTAGCACATACAGCATATTGTATTTATGTTATAGATGTACCATTATTCGTATGTAACGACGAAATTTACGGTTTTATCATGGTGCCTCTAGAAAACGACGAAACAATCACAGAAGATATGGAACGGTTGACTAATACAAAAGTGGAAATATTGGGTAAGTTTTCTCGTATATATGTGCATATATGTATATATTGAGCTATAATAAATTTATAAATAAATATACTAGAGTTATGTAAAACATACACATATAACGGAATTAATTAATTATGAAATAAGTTAAGATTAATTTAAATTAAATAAATCTAAATTTTGAGTAATGTTTTCTTACAATTGTTTTAATGTGTTTCTTGTAATAAAGTATTATCTTTTCATTCAAGATTCTTTTTTATGTACATATGTATATTATAATGTGGAAAACGATATATATTATGTAATATTAAATGTATGCCAAATGATTATATTTGTGTCTTTTTGTAGCATTTAACGATTATTTGCCGTTATCGGACGAGTTGAAAGAATTTGTGACATATCCGGAAAAGGACACATTGGGTCTGGATCACATTTATATGATTAATCTAATCAGAAGGCCAGAGAGACGTACCAGAATGCTCCGACTTTTTGATGAACTTGGTATAAAAGCAGAAATTATCAACGCCGTGGATGGTAGGTAAGTTACACAGATAATTAATAAATATTTGTTATAAACGTAGAAATTGAAAACGGATATAATATGATGAATCTCGATAAATATGCGAGTTATTTAATTCTGCTGTTCCCTATTCTGATTTATTTTGAGCAATTTTTATTTTTAAAATATGATAATTCTATATATTCTATTTTTAAGTATATTTATCAAATATAAAAAGAGAAAAAAATATATGTGTATACGCACATAAAATATAATTTTTTAGATAAATAATTTATTTTTTTTTCTTTACTTATTTATTTATAAATTCTATTTATAAATATTCAAGTGTAAATTAAATGTATTGTAGATGCAATTGTATTATGCAATTAAAAACAATAGATAGTGCAAGATAAAATTACATATTTTCATGCAAAATATAACTTTAATATATTTCATTAAAATTGCAATAGAACATATAGAAGTCTATTCACCTTCAAATGTATAACAAACGAATATGGTAGCAGAATTAAAAATATTGAGATACTGCTTTTAAATGCACTTATCAAAAGTTTTATGTCTTTAACGAGATAATTACTATAAATTATATACTTTTTTTGCAAAAATTATTTACACAATTATATGAAAAATAGTTATAATGACATATTGACTTGACATTTAATAGTCATTATATAGATATATTAAAATAAAGGAAGAGACAAAAAGAGAGAGCAAAAAAATAATAAGATTTTTAATATATTATATTAAAAGATTTTTGTAGCCATCATTTCGCTCGTTAACTGATACTTCATATTTACATGATTCATTAAAAAATATATGTATCTCTCTCTTTTTCTCGCATATCGCGCTGTTTACACAGGTGTGTTGCCATATTCACGTGTATTGTGACGCGCGCACGTGTATGTACTTCCGTTTCGCGCTTTTCGAATGCTTATTTTATGAAATAATCGACAAGTGCCGGTTCTTGATTGCGAATGTCTGCTTTCGTCGCTGCTGTAAACTCTGCTGATTTCTCGGTTGGTTGTAAAACGGGTAAGTGTCGTCCATTCGCAGAAAACGTTGTGCATCCGCCTCGTAGCAATCTGAAAAAATACTCTTCCCTAAATTTCAAATTCATATTTGTCTGAAAAATCCGATGCAAGCTCTTTGCTTTTTAAGGTGCCTTTTCACGAGCCGCTGAAACTGATTGTTTGAGCGACAAAATGATCATGTAACAACTTTTGTCGCTGAACTAAACAGCGATAATTTTTGTACATGAAAAGGATAACAGCGCGATAGAATTGAAAAGTTGAGCGTTTCAGCAGTAAATGCTTTGTAGTTAAACTGATTCAAACTATAAAATTGTTGATGCTGGATTACGAGCGACAAATCTGTCGCTTTAATCACTTGTTTTAGCAGCACGTGAAATTGCGCCTTTAATTTGCGATAAAACTTTGAATTCATTAATTTCTATATCTAATAATTCAAGGATTCAAGGTCCTGAGATTAAAAATAATTTAAAATTGATACAATTTTTTAATCACTTAATCACACAATATTAATTACACATTAATAAAATATATATTTTCCTAAATAATTATAAAATTATAGAATATCAAATATTATAAACTGTATAAAATAGACGATTTACCTTAATCTCATGCATTCTGGCTGCATAAATAATGGGATTGACCAAGGTCTTCAGGATAATAAGACCGTTAATTACGGCGTAAATAAAGAATGTGGTATGCATTGATCCATTTAATTGGAATATACAGTCGTTACAAAACAACATGTACACTATCACTGCAGGCATCCAGCCGATTACGAAGCTTCCTTAGAAATTGCGTACAGTTACGTTAAATTTTATTTAAATGCAAATATATATTTTGAAAAAATAAATAATATATTTTATATATTATTTTTATATATAATATATATTTTATATTATATTTTTTCTTATTATAAAAAATTTATTGATACGATTGGTAGCGCTCCATAACTGTTTCTCTTATATTAAATACATCATATAACTCATTCTTTCTTACCAAGAATGTATAAAGTTGTATGGATAGCTTTAACGTTCCGTGCCATTTGTCTGGAATTATTACGCATTGCTTCTGATGTTCTTCCATGAACGAAAGAACCTGCTCTGCGGAAGCGTAATCTTGTGGCTTGATGTTTTTTTACTATGCAGAATATGTGTATATAAATGCAGACCATCACACCGAAGGGTCCGAAAAAAGACTACTGAACAATATTCGAAATTGCTTATGAGATAAAAATCTGAAAGTAGTGAAAATTTTATTAAATTCATCCTATGGCATAAATGTTATTTTGAGATTTAGCTTATTTGAATACAATGTAGAATAAATTCATAAATATATCAAAGACTTTTACTCTATAATTTCCAAGTCTATATTTTAGGAATTTAATAAATTATAAAAAAAACAAGAGTATGAGACAGAAAAAAATTATTTGGTTTACATCTGCGAAATGTAATGTAGTTATAAAATTACTTGTTACTTAAATATTCTTATATCTTAAATATTTATGTACATATATATATATATATATAGTGTGTGTGTGTGTGTGTGTGTGTGTGTGTGTGTGTGCGTGTGTGTGTATTGTATATATACATATGTATATTATATATATGTATATACATAGATATGAAACTTTTAACATACAAACTGATTCGTAATTTTACAATCATATTATATAGTTTCATAGAAAATATAAAAATCAAATAATTTTATTTTTATTACAAAAAATATTACAAACTACTATTCTTCCTTACAATTTTTTACTAAAATGTAAATTTAGAATTCTATATTCTAATTCTTTTGAAACGGAAACATTGAAGATTCTTTATGCAGTAATTTTAAAAATATTACACTTACACGCTTTCTTTGCATCCTTCAGATTGAAAACCGTCGTTTTCAATCAAATTAAAATACACCGCAAAAAAAGAAATTGGCAGCACCCATAGTAGAATCACTAATATTGTGGTATTCCTTAAAAGAAAAAGAAAAATTGAGTTATGTATTGCTTAAATAGATTTTTAATAATAACTAAATGATATTACACTTGTATGTTAGAATTGAAAGATAGTGGAGCGGTTTGAGAATACCCAGATAATGATTGACAGCTAAAGCCATTAGATGAAGTACAGTAATTATCACTCCTCCTAATCTCACAACTTCGAGTACCAATAAAAAACAATCCACACCTAAAAGCATAATACAATTTTTTTACACATACATATATATACATATTCGCGCGCGCATATACTCGTGCTTAATATTTTACAATCTATTTTACAATATATTGATTCGATATTCGATGATATAAATATATTTTTGTTGGAAAAGTAATTAGAAATACAATTTAAAATAATTTTTATATATTTTTTTCTTATTATTTATCAAATTGCTAATGAAAATAATTTAATTTATTTTAAAATATAGTTATTACTTTTTAAATTGAATTATGTTTGAAGTTTGTAAAGTTTCGTATGAAATGTATCTATCTCTCTCTCTCTCTCTCTCTCTCCTTTCTGTTTCTAATTAATTAATATTTAATTACGAAATAATCCATATCCATCAACAGGATTTTACCTTTTAATTTGATTCCAAGACCTTTGGGTATGAAACTATTCATGATTAATCCTATACCTAGAGCACTGCTAGAAAAAGCATCTGCACCTAGAAGTGCAATATAATTTGTACATGTAGTTTTTCTTAAAGAGTAATTTTTTATTTAAATAATTATATTTATTAACTAGAATTTATAATTATTTACGCGCATATAAAATATTATTTCCAGTATATTTTTCAAGAGAAATTTTAATATCAAATTTTTTATTTTATAATAAAATATGGAATATTATTAATCTTAGAAAGATCGTATTAAAGATATTGAAAATATATATAAAAATAATTATTAGCAATACACACGGTTATATTATTATACGCACGAGTATTTTAAATTTATCAAGGATTTAAACTTTACAGCTAGCAATACATAATACAACATTATTCTTTAGTTATTGTTAGTTGCAAGTGTTTTCATAATTTTCCTTGGTTTTGCTTATAATTTTAATTTTAATATAAATTAACTTTAAAAAGCTAATTTATGTTAAATTTATATTACCAAGATAAATAGATTAATATTGAGACTGAAGAGAATCACATAGTCAAAAGATTTCATCAAATTTTCATTAAATGATTCAAAGACTTTATTGATAAAATACATTATGTTCAAAGATCTCTGTTTTTTTACTTAAAATATAAAATAACGCAAAGTTTGTAAAATAGAAAAATGAGAGAGAGAAAATATAATTTTTATCTATAAAAGATCGCAATTTAGTTTTCATAGTTTTTGATACACGGTATTTAATTTCTCATGGCAATTTTATTATTTTAAATTAAACATATATATTTTTGTGAAAAAAAATATATTATATTACCTGCTAAGCTTAAACTGATGTACAATGTTGGACTGAGCGGGCGTCTTATCCAAAATACACTTATAAGAACCTTAATATTTACGGTTATCGAAATGATACAGAAGAAAATCAGCGGCGGTGCTCCATACAGATATAATACACTGTCGACATTCTTGATTTGATTTGATATATTCGCGTTTTGCACTGCCGATTCATTAATTAGCATCACGTTCGTGGGTTCTATCGGCATGCTCGTAGGTTCCATCTTCTCAGACAAAGAATGAATCTTCTCAGATAAAGTTTAACCTGCCATATGAGTGTTGTTTCGTAAAAGTTTTCTCGGGCTGCATAATAATATCATCATAATATTTGTTTTTATATTTATTTTTATCAGTGTTATATTCATCTTCCCAAATAATAAATATTCTTAAGTTGTTTATTTCGAACCTTAAAAAGTTGAGCATCTAAAGATTCAATAGCAACAATTACACTTTGCACATAAGGCTCAAGGCTCTGTTTGAAAAAATATAATTGTGTTATTAAAAAATATCCAATAAAAATTTATTAAAACTAGAAAATAAAAGCGTAGGGAGGTCATCGTAAAATTACTGTAAGCCTAGGAAATGTTTTTCTCTAAATATTTAAGCAAATTAAAATTGAATATATTTATTTGTTACGATATTATTTAAGGTAAATTGTTTAAAATATTTTTTATTCTAGATATATCATAAAACTGAGATTTTACTTTTTAAATATTAAATTTAAATTTAATTAATATTACACAATCATTAAATTAAACAAATTTGCGGAAACAAATATGTTTGATTAAGTCCAACAATCAAAATAATAAATTATACATGCACATAAATGAATTTTTAAAATATCAATTATATATATATATATATATATATATATATATATAATGAATTTGTAATTGATAAAAACATCAAACTGATGCATATGTTTTAAAAAATTTTATAATATTTAAATAAAAAGGGTTTTTTAATAACATTCGTTTTCGATATTATTAAAGTATTTTTGTTAACGTAATAAATATTAATGAACATGTTGTTTTTATATCTTATGCATTTTTATTATATATAAATAACATATTTGCTTATTGGAAAGCCAGTGTAAATAAGAATTCGGAAAAATATATTACGTTTATTCTCTTGCTTTCTTCGATCACTTTAAGAACTTTTCTTACTTTCACCAGTGACTCGAAATTCCAACTTTTGATTGTTGAAAGAAAATGTGATAATATACTTTTATGTGTTCGGATTTTGTCAAACTTCTCTTTACGAAGGAAAAATTTCGAAAGATCAATCCCGTCATGTTCAGTGATCCGTGCATGAAGAATTTCGTGCGTAGATTTTTAATAGTCTTTAGCATTCGTGAGGCCGACGTGCTGAAAATTTTCTGTTCTTGATTGTCGTTAATATTCTGATCCGATAACTACTTTGGAAAAGGATCGTAATTTACGAGAAAACCATTATCCAAGCGCGTCAAACAAATCTGACGAACGAGCCTAATCTGTAAAGAGATAAGTTATTCTTTCGAGAGTTGATGAAAGCTTTTGAGAGAAACTTTGCATAACCACTTTATTAAATCTTCATGCCGCACTTTGTAATTTTTGTGAACGTAAAATTATCTCGATAAGATGAAATTCTAATTATTCTTCAAAGTTATTGATATTTACGAGAGTATCTTTTAGAATTTCAAATTATCTTCTTGAGAAATGAAAAAAAATTATTACTTTACTCGAATTTAAATATTTTTAAACATAATATAAAATGATTTTTTAAGATATCTTTTCTCTTCTTTTTTGGACGGTGCATACATTCTTAATAAATATTAATTGAAAAAGGATTATATAATTATTATATCATATATTATCTTAGATGTCATAGGATGTTTAAAGAACACGATCAGTAAATTATTTTCGTATTACAAACATTTGTAGAAATTGATACTAGCGAATTTCTCTATTTTATGAAAAATTAAAATTTATTTAACTGCAGCAATTTGATGCTTTCTTTCTTCAATAAAAAACTTAAACAAAAAATTTGTACGATTTATAAAACATTATGATTTTTCCTGATCATAATGTCTGTTTTTTTATATAATCTGTCTTTAGCGACAAAACAAATATTCGAAAACGAAATAAATCTTGTAACAAATTGAAAACAATAATGTCTCAGAAAAAGAGAATGGGAAAGAAGGACAATATCTTGAGGGATTCAAATAAATTTCAAAGCAAAAATAATGTCATTAGCTTGACGTATGTATCGACTTATTGTATCAGTAGCTTGGCAATTTAATGATACAATAAGAGAAAACGCGTCGAGCCGTTAATAAATTATTACTTGCACGCAGTGTAAAAGAGAGTTTGATTATTTGCAACTTGAATTTTTCCCACAATGAAAAAAATATTAATAAAACAACAGACTAACGGCTATGAATATTTCAGGTTGGAGAATAAAATAATTTGCCCTTTCCAGATAATCTGTGATATATACAATATATATATATATATATATATATATATATATATATATATATATATATATATATACATTATATTATAGATCAATTGCGTGCTTTTCTTTTAAGCTTTAAATGTATTATGGAAAAAATTGTTTTTTCGCGTTTCTTTATTTTACTGATTAAAACATACCATTTTGATCAATTTGTTTCTTTAAAAATGAAGTAGAAAGCAAACAATTTTAAATTAAAAAAATAATTATGGATTAAATTCCACGTGAAGAAAAATATCAGATTATAGATTTTTAATAAATTATATCAATTGTATTTAAAAACTTCTCCATGTTTAACGCTATTTTAAATTAGAAGTCTTATTATAAAAAGAGATTTAAAAATACTTAATATGACACAATAATGTTAAAGCAACTTTTTCTTCAGAAAAATCGATTTCATGAATTAAAACAAAATCATAGAAAAACAGGAATGTAATAAATCTAGCAAAATATTGTTACTTTTTTGTGCTCTTGAAAGTTAATGATAAATTATCATCATTTTTCATCTCACATTTAATTCTGAATTTATTAATCATTCCAAGAGCAGTGATTAAGAGACTAATGAGTAGTAATCTAAAGTTAAAGAAATACTTTTTTCCTTTTATTCAACTTTGGATTATAATTAATGTCTCTTATAATTAGGCTAATATATATTCTTAAGATTTTGTACACATTATTAGTTACAAATCACCGCGTATGTGTGTATATATTAGAAAAAATTATTTTAGAATTATTTAAAAATTTTGCTGAACATTCTGTATAGAAAACACATTTATTTTTATACATATTTATTATTGCACAGCATGAGGCATAAGGCAAAAGTGCGATATGCATGTGAAGTTAAAAAAACTGCATTTTCGATAAATATTTTTCTCACTCTATCTGCTTTATAGATTTAAAAATACAAACTTTTTTGCATAGTGTAAAACTTTGCTTAGTTTACGTTTCGGAATATAATAAAATGTGAAATAATATAAACAATAATAGGTTTAATTAATCATAATCAGGTTGTGAAAAAATTTTATAGTGGATATCTATATTAGAAAGTATGTGAATATCGGGGATTTAAACTGGAGGAAGATGGACATTACAAACAGCAATATGTATGACGATCTTATTTTGTGTAACTAGGAGATAATTGAAGACGAAATTAAGATATATTCGCAAAATTAAAAAAAAAAACAACGGACTATATAACACAAATTAATAAACTCTTATTTCTTATCACAAAAATTCTACATACAAGAAAAAATATTATTTTAACAAATTTAGTCAACTATCAATAATTATAATATTTTAAATATTATTTATTAATATAGAGCTATATTTTTTTTTATAAATTTTTATTTCATATATTAACGAAACTGGACCAATCTTTTGTATTTTACTGACAAATTTTACTGTGAAATAATATAAACATTTGATCCAACATCACTAAATAAATAGTTAAATATAAAATTCGATATTTGAAACATGAACTATTTTACTAGTTCGAAAAAATCATGTACATATATTCAGATTTATTTGAACAGTAACTTTCTTTATTAGATCATTTATAGTCTCAACATTTCCATGTCCAGATTATAAATGATCTAATATACAAAGTTACTGTTCAAATAAATCTGAATGTATGTACATGATTTTTTCGAACTAGTAAAATAGCTTATGTTTCAAATATTGAATTTCATATTTAACTATTTATTTAATGATGTTGAATAAAATGTTTATATCATTTTATGAGCTTATCACAAATTTAATACAATTTATAAAGTATTAGATCAATTCTTCGGTCATTTATAGTTTCAACATGGAGATGTATACTCTATAAATTGTAGTATAATTGTACTCTATAAATTGTATTAAATTTGTGAAAAGCTCATGTCATCTCTCGCGGCGTGCTATAAACTCGCAGAACCCTACTCTTCTTCCTTGTCCCAGTATTGTAAGGTAGCGCACGTCTCGTAGGTGATAAATATCCTCCCAGGGGTAAATGATACGCAGTTCAAGTGAAGGAGGAATCGATAGACTTCGTTACTTTGATGTGTGAAATGCGCACGTGTTGTAAAATGCACGGTTCAGATATGCCAAGTAGAACAGAAAAGTCAAAATAATGTCAATTTGACGTCATATTGATCACATTTGAACTCCAAATTTGATCAATATGACGTCAAAATGATATCATTTTGATTTTCTGTTCTACTTGGGATGGGACAGTAACGTGACGAATTATTTGAAGAGCCACAGCATTAATATAGCTTATTACTTATTAGCATGCGAAAGGATTAAATTTAATGTACAACTATATGTTAACATTTTATATTGGTCAAATTGAGATAAAATTAATTTGTATAATTAGTACAGAATTATGGTAATTGGCAGATGATTTAAATAACTTTATGTATTTTACGACAGATTATACAAAAATCAAGTGAATACTTCTGTCATAAACAGAATTAAAGGGGAAAAAATTATAAATAAGTGGTATCTCTTCCCTCTTTCATTCATCGATGCTTTTTTTTAACAGATAGATATATGAGCCTTTAATTAATATATTAATACACCATCTAATGGGTATAATAATACACAAAATAATGTACAAAATAATAATATATAATAAATGCTCGTTTTAACGATTTTATTTGTCGCCCACGCGCACGTACATTATTCTAATTACATCTGAAGTTGTCGTGCAATTTCGTAATGAGTCTGAAGAGGACTGTCCAGAATACCACCTGCTACTTGCGCATGACTTTATTAGATTGTCGATTGATAATATATTGAGATTTTGAATCGTCATTTGAAAAATTTTTAATAAATCAGATAATTTTTTATTATCTCTGTACGTCTTTCAAGAGGATTTTACATGTTCAAATTTGATATGAGGAGTTTCTTACATATAATCTTTCTCTTTCTCTACAAGGATGCAATATTATTTCTGAAAATGCATATTTGCACGTTTATATTAGATATTTAGTCAGAAATTAATGAAATATATATTTTAGTATCAAAGAAATGTCTCTTAATAAAAGAATTAATGGAGATTA